TTCAGTACAAATCGGCAATTTCATACTTTAACCCCTATTATTTTGAAATTTTGAACCCAAAGCTATTTAGACTATTATAATTGTTTTATTTTAAAGTTGGTAACCCCGGCCAATTTTAAGTTTGCCATTTTGTTTATTCCTTGATTGACCATTCGTCACCAATTCTTTCATGCGTTCAGGTCATTGACATAAGCCAATGGTTCAGGTGCTATGTTTCTTTTATGTGTTTTAACTGACAGTTTGTTTTGCCTACCAATTGCCAATTGAGAGGAAGAGTTGCCTTAGTAATAATAATAATATAGTTTATTTGCTAAACACACAACCCTATAACAATACTTTAAAACATTATTCATTATTCAATTATTATTCAGAAAACAATGGCCGTCAAGAATTAGTCATATGAGAGATAAGCAAAAATTTCATTTAAACAAAGCAAAATTGTTGTAAAGTGTTGCTTTTAACTTACACACTTACTATCTTTAACTGATCCTATGTTTGAACAATAATAGACTTTTCATAATCTGTGAAATTCTTTTTATGCAGCCCACCTTCTACCAATTGTGTTTGTCTAATCATGTGTATCAAAATACCATCAGTATCTAATCACATGTGCTTTGTCAGTGATCAGCAAAAAATAACTGTTATTCCAACTGATTAAATTGAGCAAATATTAAAATTGTTGTTAAATTAATCAATTAATTTGTAATTGGCAGTGCAATTAGCATTGATTAAACTGTCTATGGCCAGGTCAGTTACCTGTTTCTTTACCTTTCATGTAGAATAGATTGAAAATAACTGTATATAATATGCTCTAGTTTGTTACTGTCTCTCTAGAGAAACTTTTACCCAACTAGAGATACAGAGTGCATGATTTGATACAGTCAACAAATGTATTTGAAATCTTTAATGTTGTGGTGACAATGTATATTTCTATTTCTGTAAATACATAATGTTTTTTTGTAGGAAAAACTTGATGATGAATACCATAGGAAAATAGAAGAAAATAGAAAAGCTGCAGAAGAACGAACTGCCAAGAAAAGATCTAGAAGGTTGAAGAAGAAAAAGAATGCCAGAGCAAAAGTTAAAAAGCCAAACAGCAGTCAGCAACAGACGACATCATCATTATCTGATAGCTCCAGTGAAGATGAAAATAATAAAACTGACGAAAATGTAAACAAAGTGACGAATTAATAAAAAATACAGAAAACAAATAATGGAAAGGAAAGTCCCGCTAATAATGAAATATTGTAAATAACCGAAATATTGTAATTGAACCCCAAAACAAACATAATATGAATGAAAAAAAGGAAAACTGTGACAATGACAACAGTTAATCGTGTTGATAATGAAACTTAATATTGTACAAACTTAATGAATGTTTTATTTGGCATGTATTCATTTAATTACGTAACATGCCGTAGCCTGCAATATGGATGGCATTTGTTTCATGAAGGTAATGGGTCTTGCCGTGTTTGCTCGTTATTTCAGCTGTCCTTCATTCAGACTCCCGACTCTTGTATCCCGCTGAGGCGGAGGCTCTTGCGGTGATGCCGGTACTGTACACATGTCTCGGTGGACGATCTGCGCCGTGCAATCCTTCGCTTTAAATCCACTTCGCCTGCAGGTCCCGATGGTATTCTTACATTCCTAATGATGGACTGTAGGTACTAAACAAACATGTATGTAACCTTTCGATCCATAAAGGACAATCCCCAAGTACGTGGAAGATGTCAAATGTAACACCTGTCCCGAACAGTGGCACTTCTAAATAAATCACAAACCAACACAAAGTTTTTGAGCACATCTTAAAACTTTCACGTAAAATTACAAGTCAGTAATCGCTGAGATCGCAAGTCAGTAATCGCTCAGCATGGATTTCAAATACCACCACAAACCTCATTTCCTTTGCTGACTATGTGGCATCATATTTTAAATGGATACTTCAATTTCACAAAGACGTAAGGTAGAGACGTTTGACTTAGTGGACAATGATATTTTATTGAAGAAGCTTTCCGGGATAGGACTTGCACTTGACCTGGCTTGTTAAAGCTGTTTACTACCTATCTTGCGACCGCAAACAATATGCTAAATTGAAAAATTATAAATCTGAATCCTATATCACAACGTGTGAGTCAGGGTAGCATTTTGAGACCAACACGCTTTCTTCTCATGATAGATCTTCTCAAGGTTCTCAACACAGTTGTACGTTTGCTGTTTGCAGATAACTTAAAACTATTCCATCTAATTCAGTCACAGATTTTTCGGCTCTGCAGTGCGATATTGACGCGGTACCTTATGGTGTGAAGACAATGGGTTGACATTTAATATCGCTAAATGCAAAATAATGTCCCAAAACACGAGATCAGTATTCAACTATAGGTATTACAATACTTAAACGAATAATCTTGTCGCGATAGCCAAGCTCAACTTTCATAACCACATCCAATAAAACTCTTGGTTTTATCAAGCGAGCATCCTCACAGTTTCGTGATACCTACTGGGGTGGCATTTATGACTCTAAAATTGAACTTCGACACACACTACTCCGACAATATGTTACATCGATATGATTTTATTCAGACATTACCGACAATATGTTACTACCGACATTACTCAGACACTACGCTACTCCGAAAATATGTTACATCGACATGATTTTACTCAGATACTACGCTACTTCGACAACAGAGACGAGATATTTCTTAAAAAAATCTTTGTACTCAGATAAGAAAAATTATCATTACAAATCCACGTAGGAAATTATTTCTTATATGGATCAATATAACAAAAAAAGGTCAACATTATATAATCGGAAATTTATTTTATTAAAATACAGTGTTTTTTAAAATGGGACATCCGAAACCATAGAAGATACAAGGAAACTATCTTAGGAACCATAAAGTTAGTATAGTTATTTATATAAATAACTATACTAACTATAATATATATATATTTATAATCGACTTCATTCAAGAAGGAAGATGGTATATGTGACATGGAAGATGTGATGATATCTGAATTCACAAGGCTTTTTGTTGGTAATATGGGAAGAGCAATGCACTGCTTCGAATTGGAAAATTCCACAGACTTGTACTTGCAAAATCGCACCATAAGCCGTCTGCAAAAAATATGCAAGCATTATTTATAGCAGGGAAAATAGCAGCTATACCAGATGTTCTATCGTGGACTGCAAACCTTCAAAGGTTTTTCACTATTGCATACAAACCAAATTTGATAGTAAAAAGTAGTGATTAAAAGAAGCTTTCAATAATTACTGAACAGTATCGATCAATTCAAAGCCTTGAGGTTTCCATCAACATTAAAATATGCTCTGTTGGGCTCCACGTGATCGATATTTATAGCGTAGCAAATTCATTATACTTGCCTAGTTATGGATTATATTATTTTTTTTGTCGCGCATACTTTTATTACAAATTTCAGTTACGTGCTATATCCATTTTCAATATCTTTTCAACTAAAGAGTGACTAATTATTAAATTTTGTAACTAGAACTGACTAATTAACGACTTTTTTTCGGGTGCACTCAAAAGAAAAGTCTTAAAAGCTCTATCGAGATTAACATATGGCGCTGCCGGAAGTTTTTCTTATGTGGACAGTAAAACATACATTAAAACTACTATTTCGCGAAGTGGACAGTAAAACGTTTATAACTGAAACGGCGTGGCGAACTCAGCACATTTACTTTTGTGGGCCTAGAGCATACTATTTGCCTGGCTTATAAAATGTACCAAATACTCGATTAAAATCACACTAGAATAAGGCACACGTTTCTAAGATATGAATAAATTTCTCATAAACTTACCCAATAATTATTAGTACTGCAAAACTTATTGCCACAGGAATTACGAAAAGACAGTGCCACAACTCAAACATAATTATGTATCTATATAACTTGGTCTACAAAACTGTAAATTGGTTAATTAAATTTTGTAGGTACTTAATACCTTTACCTACATCCACCAGACATTTGTTTCAGTCACGTTATGGTTCATGAAGCCCGCAAACGATAGCTAGGTAAACATTACCCTACATTCATTAAGTAACGGTTGTGTAAATGTAGACGTAGCTAATTGCTATTAGCGTAAGTAGCATTAAAACGCGATGTAAGTTACGACATCATTTTTATTAAAAGTTTTATATTTAATACAGACATTTGAATAAATTGTTTGTTCAATAAGCGATAATGTTACAAAAATGTGAACAGTATAAAGCATCCTGAGTCCCCAGATAATTGTATGTTTAAATAAATACTATTATATTTGCACTTTAGGATGTACGATTTTCAATGCAAATTGTGTAACTGTAGTAGGTAGTATGAATAGTAACGCAACCATTTTTTTATCATCGCTTAATGAACAAGCAAACTAGTAGGAATACGTTAATTATCTCTAAAATACGCTAGTTATCTACTGAATAGATGCCATGACGCTGTCTTCATTTTTCTTCAATATGACAAAACCCTCCATAACCGGTGAAAGAGGGATGTATTCATCTGTGGCGAGCTCTGCTCGTTCACCAAATGATAGCAGTACTGGCGTCGTGTGCGTATGTGAACCTGCGATTGTTTTTGGGGTACCAGCCTTGCCGATTACGTCTACAGCCTGCAAAGAAAATTTTTATTAACAATGCCATTCCATTAAACAAATTCCCGTTCGTCCTACCTATAACTTCAAATTGCAATGTTCTTTTGCTTACCTACCTACATCGGTCGGGATCGACAGTCATTATTGATCGTATTGATGTGTATAATCAGTTAGTAGCCTCTTAAAATCTTAGAAATAAGTTAGTGATCTACAGACAAGTGACATTCCTTGTCACTTTGCAACTATCTCATTTCTTCAATTGTTAAGTAATTAAACGCCAAAATAGACCAAAACGACGACAGTACATTTCAAAAACGTAGTTCCGTTACCTGTCCAACTCGCACGCTGACATTGAGGGGCTGCAGGTTCTCGTCGAGGGTGACTAGCCAGCGTGGCTGCATCGCCGTCGCCAACACATATAGAAGGTAGTGCGATTTGCCTAGGATTACTGGAAGATGGAATAACGTCAAAATTAAGTAAGTGATGTGATTATCTATAAATAAGCTATTTTTGTTATCATTTTCATCTGTACGCGTGAGACCGTAAAGGGTAAAGAGTTGAACGCTATTTAATATAGAGACCCGACTATAGGGCCGGTCTGAAACTTACTAAGGAATCTTTGTAGAAGACACTTTAATTGCAAGCGCGTAGCGTAAACGTCCGGTTGTATGGACATATTTCAAATTCGGAGAAATGTCCGACTGTATGATTAGATCTTTGCACTATGAGAATCACATATAGTTCTATTGACATGGTATTCACTGAATCATTGTGGCGTAAAATGTATTTAGACATAAAATAACAATAAATTGGTTTACATTAAACTAACAAAAAAAAGAATCATCAAAATCGGTTCACAAATTATGGAGTTATCGCATAACATACATACAAAAAAAAGCATACAGTCGAATTGAGAACCTCCTCCTTTTTTTTGAAGTCGGTTAAAGAAAAGATAAAGCTAAATTAAAACAAAAAATTGAAATAAAATAACAAAAAAATAAAATCATTCACAACAACTAAGCAAACATTAAATATTCAACACATTTAAAGTTAATGTCATGTCTGCGGTTGTGGAGTATGTAAAAGGATCCCCTCAGCTATTGTCACCGCCGAGAAAGGCTGTGAAGCTGATTTTCAGTGGACTTTACAACCTAGTGAGTACCGGACGTGTGTGTCGCGAATATACGAGTAAACTTAAATAAATTACGTAAATATTTCTGTAATGTAGCGTGTGGTGTTCTCCTATTTATGTACAGAATACTTAAATAATGAATTTGATACAGTGATAAATGTACAACAAACAAAATATAACTTATTTAGTTTAAAATGGAACCGATTGCGAGATTTGTGTCACGCGGGCGACGCAAGAAGAGCGGGTAGGCGCGCGGGAAGCGGAATGGCGTTTGAACTAACTATTTTTGCAGTCGAGGAAGGCGGTGAGCACGACGAGCAACCCGGCGAGCGCGGGCTGGTTGACGAGCCGCTTATCCGCGTGTGCGGGGCACAGCGTCACCGTGCCTTTGCCCGCATGGCACAGGCCCTGCGCGAGCCGGACCATGAACAGGTGCACAGGCGACTTCCCGTGATACAGGGCCAGCGCACGCAGCATTGTCGCCAGTCTGTTCAAACAATTGTTGTTCCACCAATAACATCGGGTTCGGAAATTATTCCATCGTGGTGCAGTCAATATGTAGGCGTTTGAAAGTACATAAAACTCATTGAAAATTATTGACGTCCTCTATTTATTGTTAAATATGTTTTAATAAGAATACATTTCATACAAGCTTACATTTTTCTATTTTATTTTCAGTCTTTTATGTATTCTGGTATTTTATTATATGTTTTTTGGACCTTTGGCGTGAACTTAATATTTACTTATCTAAAGTAAAATTTTATTTGACTGAAGAACATAGTTGCAAACACAAATAATAGTATGATATTTAAAAAACATGTATCATTGTAATCACATTACAAACCTCGCATTGTTAGTACCGGCACCGACCAGGCCCATAGCGAAAATGGCATTATACGCGACATCGTTATCAGAGTCGTGCGAGTACTTGTTGAGTACGTCGATGACAGACAGTTGCGGGTTGGAGATCGAGCAGAGCGCAATCGCTAATGGCACTGCGCGGCGTACTGCCGGTTCGCCGTAACGACCCTGCCAAGTTAACATCGAGTATTATTTTACATTCAAAAAGTTGTTTTAGTAGCACCCCACGTTTCTTCCCACTTTCTACATAAATTTTGATTATAGTAACTCTCCTACCGACTTTTAGGGTATACGAGCAGGATATGCCAGGGACCTTCTCAGTCGGAGCTGTAGGCAAGCTCACTTCCCGTTGTGCATTTTGCGCAACTAACGGTGTCCACCACTAAGCCGTTGATTCTAAATCTCCACTTTAGTGGCGGAGCTATAGGCACGCTCGCTCACCTCCCTACACCCAAGTGTCTCTCAAGTTCCCAGAAACCTACGCGGCTGGAAGGACCGTAGGATGTCTAACTCTTCCTCCGGGCTAGTGCCGAAGATGCCGGTCGCAGTGTTCTGCGATAATGTCCGGACAAAGCGTTCGACTTAAAGTTTCTTTGAGTCGGTAGCTGCCCACGTGCCTCGCCTTTAGCCCTCATCTAAACCGCTACTAAGGCGCGCTAGTTAACCACAAACCCCGGTGAGTCCTTATACAGTTCGGGTCCATCAGAGACGCCCGTGAAGGCGTATCACTGACGGAGGGTTTGGTCCCGGCGCCCGCCGTACCCTGGTTTTACCGGGAAGCCCATAATCTCCCAGGAATTCCCTATCTCTCGAATCAGTAGATAGGCAAGGTTGCCACCTTTGCAGTACTTCCCTGAATGAGCTCTTTCGCAAAGAGCTCTATTATGTTTTAAAGTGGGTATTGTAACTTTGTGACATTGTAACATCGATTAAGAAACTACGAATCTCAATAGTTCATAAGCATATTTCTCACCAATTGTCCAAAGATACGTGTGCACATTTCGGCGCCAGTCTCCTCTGCGAAAGCGATAACGGCCACACCGAGAGTGGCCACGGCTTGTACCGACGACAGCTCTTTATTGGCTTCCTTTTCCTTGTCCTTTTCCTTGCTTTTGCTATCCTTTGACTTGCCTGGAAGTAGTTAAAATAAAAAGTTAAATCTTTGAAAATTCAACATTAATATAAAGGGTGGAATGGAACGACCAACGAAGTCGAAAACTGTGAAGTCTTAAATGCGTACTTAAATGTACTGAAAATTTTTTGCTGTAAGTGTGGTTTGTTTTCCGAATTTATTTCTTGACAAAGATTTGCTTGTAAAGTCTGTGTTGTCAACCCTAAAACATAAAATCAATAGCTGTTTGGGGCCAACCATACCCGCAACCACAGGGGAGAATAATCAGGGCAAAAATGTTGTATTTTTAATAGGTCGTTCATCAGCAAAATAATACTCCATCAGTCCCTTCCTTTAATCAATCATCATGTGAATGATATGCGCATATTTTTTGTTAATTTTTTTTTTATTACAAATTAAGTGCGCACTTGGTTTCCGTCTCACCTATTGGAAAGTGATGATGAAGTCGATGATGGAGGATGCACTTTGAGAGTCATTAAAAAAAAATAAAAGAAATAAAAACTGAACAAAAAAATTTTAACACCCCTAAATTCCGTGTCTGGGTAATTTTCAGGTAAGTCTTTTGTACACAATTTTGGTGACAATTTCTTTTTATGTAAATCATTATAGAATATCATCATGAAATCTTATTTCATATTTCAGTGTGGTAACCTGAAATATTCTTTAATATTTCACAATGACATATTCGAGTAATTAAATAATAAAAATTGTTACCAAAATTGAATACAAAAAACTTACTTGAAAATTACTGTCCTGATGGCCCAATATTTATATTTACCGAAAAAATAAACCTCTCATAGAGCAGCCTTCAATTACTAGACTAGTCCCCGTAACTCTTAATCCGGCCCTAGCTTAGTAATTAATCCATTTCTATAAAAAATTAACCGTGCTGCTTTGAAATCGCGCCGCCTAGAGTTGAACTAGTTACTTATTGATTATTGATTGCATTATCGTTTTTTTGTACTGATTTATTTTTCAATTGCATTTGAAAATACTTTTAATTTATACTACAAGGAGTTACTAACTGCAAGACGAAGAGTTTGTTGTAATGACTTCAACATTTAAAACTAAATTTACTAAATTTTCTGTTAACTTGAGTTGAGTAGTTGCAATTTTAACAATTATAATGTAAATAAATCGTTTCTTGGAGGTCCGATAAACACCTCCACAGTTCGTTTTCTTATTTTCGAGTATCGATTCAGCTTCAGATAACAGCTACTTCTTGGAATAGTGCCGTATACGTCACTATTGATTGCAAGTAGTGTTTGTATTCAGCATGTGGAAAACCAGATGCTTGCGCGTGTATGTAAGTGTGTCGGGAATGTCTGCAAGAGTAAAGGGGAGGTGGACATTTTCCATATATTCCGTCCTCTTTAAATCCAAGGTAACAGGAAAGCTGTTCTCTCTCACTTTGTGTAACTCTCCCGCGAGTGCCGGAAAAATAAACGGCGCCGTGGAGCGATAAATATACTAACGTCATTCGGCTGCATTAGTAGAGCTGTCGCAATGCGTAAAGTCAACATCTGGATGAGAACATTTCAACTGCACTGATTTTACATTTACAGTAAATAAAGCTCATATATGAAGGGTACTTAACGTGATAATTTGGGCTTTGTCGGTCATTCCGCTCCACCCGGTATTTCACACAATGAACAATTGTTACAGTCCGCATGTATGTAAGTCTATGTTTACTTGAAACTTAAGTGGGAATCTTAATGGTATTACTTACTCTTATTTTTGTCGTCTTTCGAGGTACCCGCCGCAGTGCTAGTGCCTTCTTTAGTATCCTTCTTGTCTGTCTTCTTGAATGCGGTGTCTTCAGTTGATGATTGTTCATTCTAAAATTAAAAAATGTACTTGTATCGTACATAGTGTAATCGGGACACTTTCTACAGACCTTAGGAAAAAACTCTCGATATGTAAAGAAAATAAAAAACAAATAATTCAATTTACGTCAGTCTCGTAGTGTTTAGAGCATATGTGCAGCATCTGTTGCACGACGAGTACGTCACCAGTGCCGGCGTATGCGCACATCGAGAGCGTTGTCTGGCATAGCGATTGCTGCGGTTCCGGTAGAACTTCTAGCGCTGCCATTGTTGCCTCTGTGCGTTCTTTGCAGCCTGTTAGACATAAATGAAATTTAATTGTGAACAGAAATGAAAAAAAAATCCTACTTTTTCATATGAATCAGAATTACTAACAGAATACATCCAGGAAAAATTTTGCTATTCTTTTAATTTATTATTTATTTTTTCCAATTATTCTAGAGCCTGGAAGACGTAACATTTGTTCCTGCTTATTTACGTGACATAGCCTAATTCCATAGTACAATTCAAAAACTCAATTAATTACAAATGTCAATCCGCAACGTAGGCTTCGTCGGGTAGATACAAATAAGAATCAGCAATAGGCTTCGTCACATAAAAATGAACAATGCAATTCGCCACATACTTAGTAATTGTTACTTAATTATGATAATAAAAAGGACCATTCTGAATCGTAAATTACCGTGCTGAATAGCTAACAAAATTTGTTACAACAGGTGAGATCCTGAGCGTGGATCACAACCCCTATCTCTAAGCCGACGACCCAACCCCCTGATGAATTCCTTGGCCTCCGCAACCCAAGTCTCCGCAGTCACGACTCCAATTGGCACAAAATGGTACACCGGTTCCAAGGCACTGTACTTGGCATGTTTCAATTTTGCCGCACACTCCACGGCCGATTCGACGGATCTGGTGGTGTGACTCAGGTGGAACGGTGCAAACGTACTGACACACACACGTAGTGTCTCATGCGCCATGGAACCATTGTGAGACCGTCACCCCTCTTGATATCTGTATGGCACAATTCCGGAGGCTCCAAGGCACAAGACACGATAGCTAATGCTAAAGCGCGGCGAACTAAATAATTTACTGCATGATGTCTTGAAAACCGCCTTGCGCACCTGTGGACAACTAAAGACGTGGTGGCCGTTTTCCTGAACCATAAGATAAATTATATATTATTTATATATTATTTATATTTAACCGCTGGCGTCAGCGATTAATAAATTATAAAGAAGATAAGAAGCAACCGCACACCCTATTTGTTTTTCCCTGTTTACATTGGATGCGCGCATGTAAAAATGTATTTCAATTTTGAACACTACGAAATGGTCCGAGTATAGACCGAAAGAGAACGCCTTTACAGAGCTCAGACTAAGAGATGAATTATATATATATAAAATGTTTCAATTTATGTACTTGGTACTTGGTGTAACGGGCTGGTGTCCGCAACTCGACGTCAAGGCGCCTATTTTGCGTGTGTTTAATTTATGTATTCTTTTTATTCTAAATGAAGCTCCCTTAAAAAAAATATATGAATTTTTTATCACCCTGTCACTGTCATTCCTTGGCCTTTTCCGCGATTTTCTTTTTTTGTTAGTAACGCGTTTTCAAGTAAAAAGTTGTGGAAGTTGTTAACTTATTAACTCACCTAAGAAACACAATCCAAGACCCAAGTGCAGGAATCTCGCGTAAGTGGAAGAGTGAAGGTCCTTATTGTCGTCAATCAAGCGCTGGATGATGGCACAAGTGACCTGAAACGAAAGTATTTATTTGTATGAAGTTTTTAATTATTATATAATTTTGAGCCAAGATATTCAGCACAGCCGATTCGACAATTATCATTATATTTCATCCGCAACCAATCGGTGTGAGTGTATTTTAATTGAATAGTCGTGCCGCCTGTCATGTGTCGCGGGGTTATTATTACTATGCATATCTATTTTAAGACTGTCGCCTCTCCCACGGCATAAAAGATTAATTTTGAATTTTTAAATGTGAGAGAGAATGATTAAGAATCGGCGAACAATACGTGCAATATCGAGCAGGTTATTATTATTATAAGACGGCTTCATTCAGGGTACATGCAGTCCCTTATCACTGCATTAACTGATCTATTGTGATCACCACTAATTACACCTCGGAGCTAAGGCCAACAGTGCTAAAGAATTGAAGGCTCTCCATGGCAACGACAGTTTTGATGTCCTTTGATATGTACAAGTACCTTCCCAGCAGGAACGCTGCATATGTAGGTTATGACAACATCTGCAGACACAGATGCTGTTGTGAATTTTTCATCGTTAAAATCTGCAGATGCGGATGTGTGAAAGAAAAAATTTTTTTTCGGAACAAAACTGGATCATTCTGGCTTTGGTGATTACTGGCCTTTGAGTATAAGATAATAATTTAATTTGATTACAAAAGAGATGAAAGCCAGAAGGCATAGTTATTACAACATTTATTAAGACTTAAAATTTTTAAAGATGTCGTGGGCCGTCTATAAACTAATAAAGCTGGGCTACCTTCAATGAAAAATTTCGTTAGTCAATGTAAACTCAATATTTTTTGTTTAGAAAACAAACAAGTCGTTGACTGCACTAAACGCTGCCGAATTCTCGACCTCTAATTGGCTAATTAGCACTAGTACTCGGCATGCACTTTTACCCAACGATCTTGTCGTGACCTGCAAAACATCCGTATCCGCAATAACTCTGCATCGATTGATTCGGATGCGGAAGCACATATAATTATTATTATTATGCGGATGATCCCCGGTTGCGGATGCAGGTGCAAACATGTGTGACATCTCTATTTCCAGTATGGACCTTCGTACACCCATCAAGGGGCAGGGACATGTGCATGTTCAATGTCACGGGGTTACAAAGCAAAATCACCTTTTAAAGTTTTACTAAAGTTCAGTATTTGAGTGTCAGCGAGAAACTAATGTGCAACTAACGTCCCCGTTGCAGGATCCGACGGCGATAAGTCCGCAGGAGATGGCGGCCAGGGCGCAGATCTCGGGTGGCGCCGCCGTGTCATACAACACCGGCAGCAGGTGCGACAGTACATCCGCGCGCTGCGTGCCCGCATACGCTATGCCCAGACCTGCAAAATAATAGATTATTAATTGTTTACCTATTTATTTAAGGATCTCTTATACTCAAACTCAAATAATCTTCATTTCTTAGGTAAGTGAATTACACATGAAAGCATCACAATGATTAAACTCCACTATGCATTCTTTAGGCAGATTCCCCTGAGAAGAGTGAGTAAGAGACTCTAGGGGTTGCTCATTGCAGATAAATTTTTACACTCCTTTCAGTACTTATAAGTAGTAAATTCGCGTTAATAAACGTGATCATGGATGGTATAATGGAATTTCATTGCAAACGTAACAAAAATGTTGACCAACCGTCTTCCACATTTGTATTTAAAATATCAATCAGATTTCAAAATAACCAACAAATTATTTACAAATAACTTACCCAAAACACTGCCAATCCTAAGGTTGGAGCTGGAATGCAGTACGTAGTCAGATAACAGAGCCAGCGCGGGGTCGCATTCGTTGCGAACTCCGCAGTTGACCAACCCAAGGGCGAGTAACGCGCCTGCCTTGATGTGCTCGTCGGCAGTGTACAGGTACTTGTCGATGGGGGTTAGACCGCCGTCCACATCCCACAGATGGATCATACCAAGAGATGCCGCTGCTGATAACATGCCTAGAGAAACAAGCCATATTATTTGTAGCATTGCTTGGATTTTTATATTTTGCTTTATTTTATTAAATCTAAGCTTTAATTATCATAACTTCACTGTTTACAATGTTATAATAAATAACAGAAGAAAACTAAATCAGAAAAGAAATAAAGATCAATTTTATTAATTTTTTATATAAGTGCGCATTTGACCTCCATCTCAGCTGATGGGAAGTGGCGATGAGAATAATGCCTATTCACTCACGCCTTCAAACGACTCAAGTTATACCATTCAACGAACAAATCTGCAGGCAGGGAATTCTACTTCGTAGCAAACGGCTTTGTGTGCAAAAAATTAATCAATGCTCTGGAAGTCATAACGAAAACACTAATTACCATGGTCCTTGTTTTTATACATCCATTTATTGCCATCCTCAGTGGTGACCAACTTGTCGCGGCCGAAGCCGGCATTGACGAACGCATTGACAAACGTCGCGGATAGATTCTGTCTGGCTGAATCAACTGGGTGTTCCGCAAGGAGAGAAGGACGAAGAGCCGACCCAGCGGACTCAAGCCACGTCTTGTACACTTCTTCTGGAGTTTTAGGTTCCATGATATCAAGCTATAATATAATAGTTCATATTTTATAAGTTGAATCATCAAAATAATTTAATAACACAATTCTCAAAAGCTTTTTAATTCGAACCTCTCTAGCTAGGCTGAGGAAGTGGTCATTAATGTGTGCATTGAGAAGAATGGAGCGAAGATCTTCGTCATCCAGCTCCAGAGGTATGTACTGCCGCGCTAACATATAGCAGAGCTGTTTCTTGATCAATCTGTGAATCAGTGCTTGGATATAACAAGTTTGTATTCGTAAGAGAATTATTATAGTGAAGTTGACAAAATTCTGAAAGAGATCACACAGAGTTACAAAGATTGGCAAGCACATTACAATAAGATGACTAAAATTGGAGGCCTTTGCCCAGCACTGGGATACATCAGGCTAATTGTATAAAAATTGACACTTGAGAATGAGTTCATCTCCAAAAAATATCTTCTTCTTCTTCTTCGTTTTGCTCAATGGCGGTTCCTTCTTTTTAAGATTTCGCCAGTGTCGAGTTTTCCGCTTAGCAGAATGTAAGGGCTACTGCAGCTGTGTTACTACGGTACAACGAGTATTGTGGGAGGACAATGTGAGAAATGCAAGTTTTAATACATAGAATTTAAATTTTGATGCTGCGGAGCTGTTGATTTACCTGAAAGGACGGACACAATATATAAACACAAGTGTTAGTATATTAGATAGAACAAACACATTACAATTTTATGTTATTGCTAGTTATATAATTACATAGGATAACAATAAAAGGGGAGTTAACATAATTAAGGAGTGTTTTAAAATTTGTGGGTTTGGGAATGTATGGGGGAAGGATATCGTACAGTGAAACAGAATATTTGGGACAATTGAAAAAGATGTGGTCTGGAGAACCATCATCAAGCCCGCATTCACAAAGTGAGTTGTCCCTAATCCTAATTTTGGCTAAATGTACAGGAGTACTTGAGTGGCCCAGCCTTAGTCGACATAAAGTGGAGGTGCAAAATTTAGATGCTTCATTGTATTCAAAGAACCAAGGCTTCTTAGGAATAAAATTTTGAATGTCGGCGTAATATTTTCCTTTCACCTTACTAGACTCTTTCCATTCGGCGAGCCATGATGACATCATCTTTTGGGTTGCTAATGAGAATAAGTCATGACAAAATACTTGAGGGTGAGTGAGGCAACTATTATTAGTGGCATCTTTGGCCATCAGGTCAACGGCTTCGTTACCTACTATTCCTGAATGGCCTGGGATCCAGGCCAAGGAAACTCTAATTCCTTGAAGGTGGCACCTGTATAACACGTCTCTAATTATCAGGATACAAGGGAAGTTGGATTTATTACGGAAGGGGTTGGACAAAATAGCCTGGAGACAACTTTTAGAATCTGATAAAATGACAGTTTTATCAACATTATGCGACTCTGTATATAGGAGAGCCTCAAGGATAGCAATGGCTTCACCCGAAAAGACTGAAGAGACCGGTGGGCATTTAAAATTTAGAATTATTTTATATTTGGGAATCCAAACAGCAGCACCAACACACTCTTGATCAGATAGCTTTGAGGCATCTGTGTACATAACAAGCCAGTTGTTCCATTTTTTACTGATGTAGTCCTGTAACCGAACCTCAGCATCAGTGGATTTTTTACTGATGCCTAAGTCAAGAGAGATGTCAGGTTGATATACTAGTGAGTGATAAGGATTGTCAAATAGAGGGTTTAGGACACATTGGTGCACTGGAGAAGGAAGTCGCAGAAATTTAAGGAAGCTTCGGAACAAGGATGGAGTCGTTTTATATGTCCAGGATTTATCGTATGATATAAATTCTGATAATTGATGAAGTTTATCGATAAGCGGGTGGGATGAATTTTGGATAACTTTGAAAAGGAATCTGTCTGCCAAATATTGCCTTCTAATGGATAAATGGTCCGAGCATTCCACCTGCAGGGCGTTAGTGGGAGAAGATTTCATAGCTCCTACTATAATTCGGAGAGACTTATATTGTATTTTGTCTAGGGCACTTAAAGAGGATTTGTTACATGGTTCCAGTAGAAAAGCTCCGTAGTCTAGGTGAGATCGAATTAAAGCATTGTACAGTAGTTTCTGGCACTGTGGGTGTGCTCCCCACCATGCTCCAGACAGTGAACGAAGAATATTAATACTTTTCTCGCATTTTTTAAGAATATGTGTAATGTGTTGAACACCTGTCATTTTTTAATCAACTACAACTCCAAGGAATTTGGCTTGAGTTTTCAAAGGAATGGGCTGATTATCATATTTAATAATAGTATTAGGAGTATTTCTCGCACGGGAAAAGATGACCATGTTACTTTTCTCGACCGACAACGAAAGGCCGTGGTCGGATAGCCAACCACAGAGGTAGTCCAGAGCAGAATTAAGGCGGGCAGAGGCAGTTTCGGTATTGCTATCTGAAATGTATAAGGCCAAATCATCGGCATACTGGAGAACGTTGCAAAATGGATTGAGAGACAGCTCAAGGTCATATGTGTAGAGGCTGTAAAGTAATGGGCTTAAAACTGACACCTGTGGGAGGCCTCTCCAAACGGTCCTTTGTGGTAAAAGTAAGTTGTTAACACTCACTTGAATTGAACGGGCAAAGAGGAGATTAAAAATTATATTAACAAGCCTCACGGGAATACTCAGATTGAGCAGTTTCTGCCTGAGTAACGGAAGCAAAACATTATCATACGCTGATGATATATCTAAAAATACTCCAATTATATGCTCCCGCTTAGATAAACCAATCCAGATGTCAGTCAGGAAAATGCTTAGACTGTCCATTGTACTAACGCCTTTCCGGAAACCGAATTGGCTTTTGGCCAGTATACCCTTGCTCTCCACAATCCACTCAAGGCGATTTTTGATAAGATACTACTATGATGCTACTATGATGATACTAGGACTTTGGACATTGTGCAGGAAAGGGCTATGGGTCTATATCCATTAGGGTCATTACTTTGTTTACCAGGTTTTAATATGGGTATAACAATTTGTGTTTTCCATTCTTCTGGAGGGAGCCCTGTTACAAATATGCAATTGAGGATACTAAGGAACAACTCTTTATTTGCATTACCGCTGTTAACAATAAAAGAGTATGGAATCCCATCCACCCCAGGGGCAGAATCAATGAGGCCTCCCAGAGCTGCTTCGAGTTCCTCTCGAGAGAATGGATCATTAAAAACTGTGTGTGGGGAAAATGATGGGGGTACACCCGAACGGATTGCAATGTCTGTAGGAACTGAAGGAGGAGCCAGTTTATTTTGAAATTGATCAAGCCACTCTGCGGTGTCATTGGAACTAATGTTGCTGTTGCAAGACATAGCACCCCTAAATCTTTTGATATTCCTCCAAACTAATGAAGGGGGGGACCTTGGTGAGAGAGTTGCACAAAATCTATGCCAGCCAAATTTTTTTTTAGAACTTAGTATTCTTGTAGCTTTTGCTGCAGCTGCACGGTAAATTATAAAATTGGATTCTGACATTGTCTGGGCATATATAAGTTCTGCTGTTTTTCTTTCTTTGCAGACTACGGTGCATTCGGAATCCGACCAAGGTGGAGATGGAGGGTACCCCTTATATATATTTTTGATAGGGAAGGATTTTTCTGTTGATGTGAGCAGGCAGTTTCTAAAATCAATATAAACTGAGAGGACATTGTCAGGATTGACTACAGGAAGATGTTGGGTTTCTTGTTCTAAAATACTACTAAATTTTGACCAGTCAGCCCTTGCCAAATTGAATTTTAAATGAGGGCGTGGAATACCCTGCACATTAGTACGGTCAACACGGTGCTGTGTTGACTCTATGATGATGGGGAAATGGTCACTGCCATGTGTTACTGGCAAGATTGTCCAGATAAGTCGGGAGGATATGGATGGGGTGCATAGGGACAGATCGACAGCGCTTCTAATATTTTGAGATGGATAAACTCTACGCGTCGGGGAGTCATCGTTAAGGATGCAGAGATCATATCTGTCAATGATGTCCAAAAAAGAGGAAGATAAATGGTCATTAAAATATGAGCCCCAGGAAGTGTGGTGGATATTAAAATCACCCAAAATTATAAGCGGAGGGCTCAGATGGGAGAGAATATCAGAAAACTCAGCAAGGCATGCATGGTTGGGGTGGGGTATGTAAACTGAGAGGTAAGTTACTTCGAGGGATTTGACAGATACTGCATTGATATGTTCACTATGGGGCGGGAGGGGGATCTGGGAGAAAGGAATAGATCGCGACACAAGGAGGGCGAACCTCCTTGTCCATCTGTTCTGTCGTCCCGGAGACACGAGTAACCCGGAAACCGAACTCGGTCGCCAGGCCTACGCCGCATCTCCTGGATGGCAAAAACGTCAGGAGAGTATTTATTATTTAGAAATAATATTTCATTTTCTTTATTCTTGCTGCTCCGGCAGTTCCATTGGAGTATGGGAGCCATTGGAAAAGGTAAGATTAAGGAGCTGAGACAGTTGGTCTTTGGCATTGTTCGGTAGGGGGACGTCACTAAAACGACCCAAAAGATTGATGATGGTTGATAGAAGATATTAGATTATCATTCGGCAATGAGGGGGTATTTGGCAATGCGCAACCATTTGAGAGTTGAGACCTAGGGGGCTTAACTATGTCCCTATGAGCTTGCTGATTAAATCTTGGACTAGAGCCAGGGAGGGGTTGATGTCTAGGAGTATATACTGTTTTGCGGTAGGGAATGGATTGCGGAGGACTGAGTTGCGGGGAAAGATGGTAGGGGGAAGCATAGTGAGGGGTTGGAGAGGGTTGGAAACCACGAATGTCCGCCCATGCTGTATCAGCAAAAGATCTTCGGACTTGGGCAAATCAGGCAGATGCTTCAGAGTATGAAACATTATCCTGGGACATAGCTAGCTTAATATGTTTCTGTCTTATTTGTTCAGGGCATAAGGGATCTGTTGCTTTATGGCAACCAGAGCAGTACAGACAAGTTGGAATTTCCTTGGTGCAAGATATGCCCTCATGGGCTTGTGCGCAAATAAAACAACGACCTTCTGATCTGCATTGAGTCTGGATGTGTCCAAACCTGCAGCACTTGTTGCATTGGATCGTTGGAAGGACATATGTTTCTACTGGGAGTGAGGTAAAGAAACAATAAACATGGGAGGGCAGTCTTTGTCCAGAGAAGGTTAGTACCACTGTCTGGATGGGGATCCATGTAGGCGAGCCATTACTGTTGTAAGTTTTCCTGTTTAGCCTGCGAGCCCTAACAATAGAGCCATAACCTGTTGGTATCTCCAGTGCTTCTACTAATTCTTCCAGAGTCCATTCTACAGGAACTTGCCGGACAATACCCATTCTGGTTACACTGTAGGTGGGAATAATTGCCTCATATTTAGCTGGGGAAAGAGCAGGGTGTTCAAGGAAAGCATTAGCATCGTTAGAAGATTTAAATTCAATGGAAATTCTATTTCTACCAACACGATTCACACCATCTTTAATAATATTTTTAACATTAATTTTATACAAAAAATGTCCAAATTTAATGGGGCGCAATGCCGTTCCAGACGCTTGATCCGACACAATTTTATTAACGTGAACAATAAATGGGGCCGAATCCTCGTCCGTGTACTTAATTTTCGTGTCCAAGAATTTTGGGTTGTTGTATGTAGATTGAATAGAAGGGGATGATTGCCCGGTATTAGTTTTTTTGGAGGGCAGGGATGTTTCTTCGGCTGCGGGGGCTCGTTTTCTATTTCGGACCGGATTGTCTAACTCCATTATGTCCACTTGGGATTGTGTAAACAATGGCGGAGATGACCGAGCACGTGGCTCGGCATCGCCTCCACCAGGATCGGGGGGCTCGAACATTTACAAGACAAACACAAATATAAAGCAACTATTTATCTATCTACTCACCAATATAATGTATAATAACCACAAACCAGTTAACTAAACACATAACATAGGTCAACAGGGGATATAAAAATGGAAATTCGCCAAAACACAAACAGCCTCTTGCAGTTCCCAACGCGAATCCCCAAAAAATATCGTTAATCATGTTGTGTAATTTTTTTAGGAATACCCATTCCTATCCACCATTCAATATAGCTTTTTCTGAATATCGTATCGAAACTATACAGGGTGTCCCACAAATAACACGCCAGAGCGACACTGTGGGTAGGTGAGCTATGTACCTACCAGCAAAAAAATATTTTGACCCTAGTAAAAGTCTTTTTTATTTTTTTGCAACAACTCTACTCTTTGTTGGGTTTTATGCTATTATTGCCATGGTTAGCTCCCGATGATTGTTATTTTTATTTTTCGAGTATTCTGAATAGTTTTTCCAGGTACAGCAACTAATATTTTACTGAGAAATATCATAAACTATGAAAAAAGTGATTAATTTGGTATACCTCTCGTACCCTTGTAAAAAGTTAAATATTAACTTTGAATAGCTAGTGTGAAAAAAAATTGTATGAATCTGAATTTATAAACGATCTTAAAAACTACTCCACTTAATGCAGAATCAGGAATTGTACAATACTATTGAAATTTTTGATAAGAACTTAGTCATTTAATTTTTTTTCGACATCAACACCCTACTAGCCGAATTGCTTTCTAAACAAAAATTGTGTTAAATTATTGAGCTTTATGACTAACTACTCTGTCGCTAGGCCCCAGGTAGTAAAAAATGAGCGAGAGGTATGACCCTTATTTGTTATCTCTCTCTTACGTCGGTATCGGTCGCCAGGTGGGATCGGGTCGGGTTGGGCCTGTATTACCCGTTATACCTTTGTGTTTTGTGCTACGTACGCGTTTTTCGTTTTATCGCTGCTTCCGTTTCTACACTTTTGACGACTTGGCATCACTTTGGACTTTGATTTGATAACGATCGGAAAAGTTTTTTTAGTAATCATATCAACAACTTGGCATTACTTTGGACCCTGATTTGCGTACTATTTGGACCATGTTGTTTGTGTGTGATCGACGGCTGCGCCCCCGGATACTGCCTTTATACAGTTAAAATGGCAGATCAACAGAATATCGTTGGAGCAAACCCCGAATTCACTCATAGTGATTACGCTGATATGTACCTAATTTTCGGCGAAACTAGACGTGTTTCTGCTTGCGGCATGGTATCGTTAAATGCAAGATTAGCAGCAAGATTGTATGCGGTAAGATTTCCTAACCGTAAGCCACCGACCCATGAGACCATAATAAGAGATGATGCTGCATACAGAGAAGGTAGGAACCCTGGCCATCGTGGTGGAGGCAGACCTCGTACCGTCGCAGACGAAATAGTTTTGCAGGAAGTGTCAAGAGATCCGTCCACTTCAGTTCGCCTGATAGAAAGACGGACTGGCATTTCAAAGTCTACGGCACAGCGAATTTTAAAAAGGCACCGATACCACCTATGTCATATTCAGAGAGTTCAAACTTTACTGCCGAGCGATTACGCTAAACGCGTACAGTTTTGTCAACAAATGCTTCAAAAGCACAGTGAAGACCTCAACTTTTTTAATACGATTTTGTGGAGTGATGAATCAGCATGTCGCAGAGATGGCTATGTAAATCTCCACAATATCCATAGCTGGCAGTTAGAGAACCCGCACGAGAGAAGAGAAGATCGGTCCCAACACCAGTTTAAAATTAATTTATGGACCGGAATTTTCAATGGGGAAATATTTGGTCCAGTTGAACTGCCTCCGACTCTAAATGGCGAAAATTATTTAGAGTTTTTACAAAACCATTTGCCAAACCTTCTCGAAGATGTGCCAATAGCATTACTAAGAAGAATGTGGTTTCAAAATGATGGGTGTCCAGCCCACTACGCTCGCGACGTCCGAACGCACCTCGACCAGACGTTCCCACGAAGATGGATTGGCCGATTGGAACCAATTTTGTGGCCACCGAGATCACCTGATCTGAACCCCCTCGACTTCTTCTATTGGGGGTGCTTAAAAGATAAAGTTTACTCCAAAGCTATCACTACAGAAACCGAACTACGACGACGAGTCTATGAAGCAGCTCGAGAAATTTTTCAAATGAGTTTGAGGCGTCTGAGAAGCTCATTCGTCAAAAGATGTCGCATGTGCATTAGAGTCAGAGGGAGGCAGTTTGAACACTTGCTTATAATATCTAATAAAAATTAAATTATTTAAATTTTATTGTTTTATTTTCCATTAAGTAAAAACGGCGACAAATCAAGCGACACACAAAGGCACTCTACCACGATATTAGTAGCTAAATCCGCATGCTTTTGGGAAGTTTGATTTGTCACAGTTTGTTTGTACCAGTTCAGAGAGAGAAAGAAAAGCCTAGTAACTATCTCACTCCTTTATTACGAATACAACGTGGGAAAAAGATTGATGCGCCGTTACCTAGCGCTTAGCAATTAATTCATTTAAAAGTTTAAATTTAATTTAGTTTAGAAACTGATTAGGCTGGTAGGGTGTTATGACGAAAAATAAATTAAATGGCTATGTTCTTGTGAAAAATCTCAATAATATTGTACCATTCCTGATTCTGCATTAAGTGGAGCAATTTTTAAGATCATTTGCAAATTCAGTTTCATACATTTTTTTCACACTAGCTATTCAAAGTTAACGTTTAACTTTTTACAAGGGTACGAGGTATACCAAATTAATAACTTTTTTCACATTTTATGACATTTATCAGATAAAATATTAGTTGCAGTACCTGGAAAAACGATTCAGGTTACTTGAAAAATAAAAACAACTACCATCTGGAGCTAACCCTGGCAATAGTAGCAAAAAACTCAACAAAAAGTAGAGTTAATCCAAAAAAATAAAAAAGTGCAAATATCTCGAAAACTAAAAGACTTTTACTAAGGTCAAATTATTTTTTTCTGGTAGGTATATAGCTCACCTACCCACAGTGTCGCTCTGGCGTGTTATTTTTGGGACACCCTGTATATCAATATTCGAAATCGCATTTCGAAACTATACATATATTTTCTGACACTATTATATTCATGGATACAGCCCGCGTGCGCGCTGCATTGATACATTGCCGTTACTGATATTCGGAATCAGATTTCGAAACTATATATTATTGGACGTGTGTGTTGGATTGAGTGAGCACCCTCTGTAAAATGTTTAAAATGTTAACACATCACATGTCAATTAGTAAAAGTTCTAAAACAATTGTAGAAACCAATCTTTCTATTTGTAAAAAGATTAAAACAAGAGAAAAATAACTTAATGTGTATAAAAGTATTAAGTTTACATATAATATTATTGTACTAGTTTTTAGTAAAAGTTTAGTTAAACTATCGTTTTCAATTACAGATCGATTAGTGCCTTTTTCAATTTTTTACAAATACTTTCTTATGCTCACTCAATCCGCACGTTTTTAAAAGGAACGATTTCTTAAGAACCGGTAAAGTTCTAACTACATTACATTAAGTTATTTTTCTCTTATTTCATCTTTTTACAAATAGAAAGATTGGTTTCTACAATTGTTTTAGAACTTTTACTAAATGACTAACACATTCTAAACGTTTTACAGAGGGTGCTCACTCAATCCACACACACGTTATTATTGGATATAGTTTTACAAGAGCAATGCGGGCCAATGTTAGTATACAGTTTCGAAGACGCACAAAAGATGGTTTCGTGTTGATTTCCACTCAGTGAATATCTGATGCGAAGCAATATCGGTATATACACGAAATTATATGGAAAATATATAATTTCGTGTTGGTATCCATCGCTCGGCTTGATTCGGCATCGCTATAAAATACGCGATGCGGAGCAATATCGATATATAGTTTCTAGGATACATGATATCGGATATTCGATTTTGCCACAATATATAGTTTTAATAACTATATATGATTTGTGACGCTTCCTAATTTATTTACTCCATAAATTCTAGAACTCAAAGAGTTATACATTCTCTTAATAAACATGTTTGTTTACTCACGGATCATTACAAGTATTGAAGACCTCTTCACACTTAGCTTTGTCGTGCAACTGCATGGCTACTAATAGAGCGCGAGGGTACTCTCCAAAACGCCGGTATGTGTCCAGCACACCTTGCAGAATTTGAGTTGACTCAGGCTCAACCACGTAGCTGGCACAACTACAATGCAAAGATGAAGTATTCAGATATGTACGGAAAAGTATAAACAAAAGAACTCTGCATCTAAATAAGCCTTTATGTTTTAATTTATTCACAGCTGTCTAGGTTAAATTTAGGGAAAAACAAATTTGCAATATCTTGTCATCGATGAATTTAAAGTACTTTCCTAAATTAATTCTAGGCTGGGTGTTCCGTGTAATGTCCCGGAGTGATTTCTGTTGCTCTGATACTTATAGAATAGAAATTTTATAGTTTGAGACCAAGTAAGGGGAGTGTTTGTCTGACTCATTATTATTATTTACTTTAAATAAAAAAAGCATTATTTCTTACCCAATCAAATACAGACAGACTCTAGGATAGTTGCTTTGATCCATGTGTTGTGTAAGCAAATCAAGGCGATCAATCTCCATCAATAAATCACATGCCTGGATCTCAGCTGAGTGTTTCATGTCAAACGATACCACATCTTTCACTAATGGGAGCAGTGTCTCCATGTTGTCTACATTCCAGTCTTCTGCTATTTCACCTTCTAATTGCCTGGTTGACAAGAGTTTATTTTGTTATAATAGTCCATTTCACATAGGATGGGTACAGTGACATTTCAAATTTTTAGTTTACATGCATACTATTTCAATTACTCTCACAATCAGATTAAAAAAAGAAATAGTATATTTGTTACAATAGACCAAAAACAAACAATACTTGTTTTAATCACAATAATAAGTAAAAATGACAGTATATAAAGTAGACAGAAACTAAAGTGATAAAGACTAAAATAAATTACCCGAACTACTTGATGCGTAAACTGGAATATTTATCCATAGAGATTTATACCATAGAGTCAATAAATCAAATTGGCTATTGTGTATCTCGTATCAGCAGGTAAGCATACATCTTGTATGCCTGGTAGTTTTCTTTTCTTTTGAGCTTTGCATGATGTTTTGGAGTAATTGTACAAATTTCATTTTGTTAGTGTAGATTTATGCCTTTTTTTTAACTTTCTGATTGGATGTTGTTGATTTTTTAAATTGTTGTGTAGCTTTTTAGTAATTTAATAACATAAAACTTAACAGAATCCTATTTATTTTGTTTATTATTCATTCTTAAAGTATAGTCTCTAAATTAATTCTCTCTTCATTATAAAATATCTCAATACGATATATAATTTGATATTTTCCATTCAATTTTACATCACTACATCTCAAGAAACTTATATCAAACGTCACCATATTCAAGCTATGTAATATATGTTACAACTAAATATACATACATAAGATACTTATTTTATTGAATATCATAATGTTTTTACTACCCTATAGAGAGCAATAGTCCCAGCGTGGCCGAAAAAGTGGCTGGTTCTCCAAAGGATTTTTTTTTGTGTTTGTTTAATTTTTGTATCAATAATTCACATAAGATTTTATAAAGCAAGTACACTGTTGTAATTGGACACAAAAATCAAACATGTGTTATGAAAGTCAAGTGTTATAAATAATGTTGATGGGATGGAAACCATCCTTAATATTAAATGTATTGTCAATATTACAAGATTACAACAAGACACATTACCTGACATATTCATGACCCCAATCTCCTACATTTGACATGGTTCCAAGAAGACAGTATTTCAAACATTCCCTCTTTTCTGCAGCATCCTAGAAATGGAAGTTGGCTATTATAAATTAAACAATCAAACAAAATACATAATAATACTTGTCACAATATATTTTCGGTAGGTACATAAGCAAAATATATTAATATAAAATGCTATTATTTTTATAGAAGCAGGTCAAAAAAGTATGTTTACTTACTGCAGAGCCACTGACACCCATAGCAAGTACTGAAACTACATCGGCACAGAACTTCTTTGTTTTAGGATCTTTGATCTTCTCATACACTTGCTTCAATGCAGGGTAGTGCTCTCTGAGAAACTTCAAAGGTTTAGGGACTGATGTCATTGATGTTGTAGATGTCCTAATAAGGTTGCTCAACATTTGCAGTGCCGGAAAATATAGATCGACTTCATTTCCCTGAATCACAGAAACAAAGAGTAAGGTTATGGCAATAATTACCAAATATTACAAAGATAATTCACAAAAATACTCACCACAAGCTTCTCAACAAGCATGTTGAGCTCTTCTTGAAGTTTTTTGTCTTCCTCCGACTGAAATTTGGAGCATAATTAGAAAAAATAACGTACAATCTTACATATGAAAACTGAAGAAAAATGTAACTAAATCTTACTAGATCATCGTTGGGTGCTGGGGCAGGCTCCGCTTTTTCCTTCTTCGGTTCTTCTGGTTTATTTTTTAACGTCATTTTTGCACAATATCAATTTCCTAGAATAAAATTTTAAGATGTGGATGAGTATCGCAAAATTTGACAAGTCACGGCGTCAGGGTATCGAGGTATAATTTAAATTCCTACCATGTATTTCTACCGCACGTCAGATGTTATAATAAAAATTCAATCAAACATGTTCTAGTTCCAATACTATCGTAAACAAACACAAATATTTGTGCGATTCGTCAAACATATAATTCTTTTAGTTGCAGTAGTAGCCTAGTCTAACGAGACAACAAATATTTTACTGTAGGGAGGTATTTTAAAAGACAAAAAAATAACACGGCAGGTATTTTCTACCTGGCGCAGCCTCAGATTCTGAAACCAAAACAAGAGCTTCACATTACCATAATTATTATTCATACGGTCGGTCAACTTAATACATAATTCACTGAATTATTATTAGCCTCAAGCGATAATAGGGGTTCTATTTCAGTGTGTGATCAGCGGCCTTAAAGCATACAACATCGTACTACTTAGAACAAAAACTTGTAACTGTAAAATTAAAAGGTAAGTGCATGTTTTCTGTTTACAGTAAACATATATTATAGTGGTCAGATAATGGCAATCATGTAAAATTTGTGGGGTACTTAGGATTAAAGTTACCATCACGCTCAACTATGAATTTAAGTTGAGAATGAAGTCATCAGTACAGCAACAATACACCTCATATTTAATTCATCTTTGTGTCACTTGGGATAAAAATGGTCAAAAGTGCAAAGAGTATGTACAACTGAGTATACTGTAGTCTGAACTTGCTCGCACGACGTACCATTCCTTTCCTGTGAGTCGGGCGCAACCTGAGCAGCAACCGGCGAGTACCTTACACCGATTGGCAAATCCTTTCACCACGATGACGAAACTGAACCTTTTTTCCTGTGGTGAGTGGTCTTCAAACAATCTTAATATACTCATAATAATGTTATTTCGGTTTGAACGTTAGGTAGAGGTACAGAAGAAGTAAGGGCCGTATTCCAGAACTTTACTTAATGCTCAAGTCAGGACTTGAGTATGATTTCATTCATTCATTTAATTTAAGAGCCATGCTCTTGTCGGTGTAGCCTCCTCCACTCCTCACGGTCCATAGCCAACTCCTTGACCTCCCTGTAACTGCTCACATTAACCTTAAAGCACTAGAAATCATACTCAAGTCCTGGCCATTAGGGTCGTATTTCCAGTGCTTGAAATCATACTCAAGTTCTGACTAGAGCATTGAGTAAAGTTCTGGAATACGATCCTAAGTATAGGAAAATTATACTTGGTTCTGCTAACTTGCATACAAACAAAGTAACTTCTTTTAAGTTACAGATGCTACATGCCAGAGATATGATATTGAAACAACAAATACTTAAACATTTAAGATATTTTACCCGAAATATCACAAAACAAAAACCTGCTGCTCCTTTGACGTTAATAAATATGCCGCATCCATTATCTTGGCCCATTGTGGGAACAAAATTGAACTTCCTGGTTACCGGAAGTAGTACCACGTAAGAGAAATAATAAAATTTATTAAACTTTTTTGTGTTTCTTCACAGCCGGTTGAATTTTTAATGGAATTAAACAATCTTGAACTTTTATTGACATCATTAATAGTCAACATTCTCCTAAGTTTTTAAAATTTTTCTATTTATGGATATCGTGCAAAAGTTTATTTGGGATACGTGAATGTTATACTTTTTCTATTGAGTGTAAGAAATGGTAATATTAATTTATTTATTACTTATCCTATTAGATTACACGATTATGTTCATCAAAGACATGCACAGCTTGGGCCCATTTTCTGTGAAAGCCTTGGTGGGCGTACAGAACTTGTATTCGTTAGTGACCCTCAGCTCATGAAATCGTTATTCCTAAACTTGGAAGGAAAGTATCCTGTACATATTTTACCTGAGCCTTGGTTATTATATGAGAAATTATATGGATCTAAACGAGGTCTTTTCTTTATGAATGGCGAAGAATGGTTAATCAATCGCCGAATTATGAATAAGCATTTACTCCGAGAAGATAGTGACAAATGGCTAGAAATGTCCATAAAGGATACTGTGAGTGGTTTCGTTCAAGATTTGAAAGTAAAAGTTGGACGAGGAAATTTTATTTCTGATTTGGAATCGGAATTCTACAGACTTTCTTTAAATGGTATGGATGCTCGAAAATGATTTGTGTGTCACTCTCTAATAAGCTATGTCCTTTGTTTAAATTATCTTTACTAACTGCTTTGTTTTAGTCATCATCAATATTTTGATGGGCACTGAATCTGGATTGATGACTAGTAAACATAACGAAGAATTGTTACATATATTTTCGCAAAGTGTGAAGAGGATATTTGAAACCACAAACCGATTGTACAGTATGCCGGTTTATTGGTGTGAACGCTTTAATCTCAAAGTTTGGAAAGATTTTAAGGAGTCCGTCGATTTATCGTTGCACTTAGGTAATTTACATTATGTTGTGCGACATGACTTATTTCGTAATGTATACTTTATGATAAGAGTTTAGGACACACAGGGTGTGGTGCTATTTAAATTGTGAACTAAGATGAGGTATTTTTTCCCCAAAGGTAAAAAAATAGTAAATGAAATGTTAAGTATGAGACACAAAAGCAATGGATTGATAGGGAAAATTGAAGAAATGGATGATACAACCATTAAAAGTGTAGTGACAGACCTAATTATTGCAGCAGGAGATACGGTAAGAAAAACGTCGTGATTTGATTCAAAATCGAGATTGAAAAATTCCGAACTAGGTAGGTAATCAAGAGCATATCAAACATGACACTTTGGACTGTTCATATAGCAAGCACGAGTTGAATTTATAAGTGTCAAGTTCAACTTGTTCTTGGCACTGTACGTAAAAGTAAATATGTAATAAGTACTTGTTTGTTTTACAGACTGCTTACACAACATTGTGGATTCTATTGTTACTTTCCAAAAATGATGAGGTGAAGAAAGAAGTATTTTTGAATAACGATTACGTGAAACACGTTGTCAAAGAAACTATGAGATTGTATCCTGTGGCACCATTCCTAACAAGAATACTTACGAAGGAAGGTATTTTAGGATCGTACCAATTGAAAGAAGGAGTAAGTAACAGTGCCTTACATAGTCGCAAAAACTACTAAATAGTAGCAAATTTAAATTGGCAACTCCAATTAATATTTAGCTAAATAAAGGTCTTTTAAACAGACGCGAAGTTTCAAGCAAACAAGCGATTGAAATCTCTGATAACTTTGGCTTCACCTGCTTTACTAACTTTATCTGTTACATCGGTCTCGCGCGTTCTGTACCCTAGCCACTGCAATTATAACAACAAAAATATCTTTCAAAAGATTTTTTTTTACCTACTTTTAATGTCACATAAAATTTTATATTGTATTACTAACCTGTAAACACACCAACAAAACTCACAACCGTAAAAAATGGTATCTCAACAAGCATTGTGCATTCCCGATCAAATAATGATTGTGCCACATTTCCGTAATGTGAATCTACTTTAGGGCAGCATAATACAATCATTATTGAATTCAAATTAAGTGTCAAACTTGACATACTTTTTTCAAGTCCTGTCAAGCTTGGGCCCTGTATCAAGATTATTTATCAAATTTCGGAAACACTACCACAGTTTGAGTCAAGATAATGCGGACCGGTCCGTCTGAACACCTCACCGCTATTATTATAATCAGTTTCCAGCGTTTCAGTCTTATTATGATACGCGTATCCGAACGCTATCATTCTTGACATTTGTCAGTTGTTTTTGACATCGACAAAATGACAAATTCAACAATATTCAACGTCGCGTAAAACGACGATAGATATTAAAAGTTGAAGTTGATTTATTTGTGGCTAAGTTTTGTTGTGGTGATCAAAAAGTGCTTTGTTGGTGGTTAGTGGAATAAATAAAAATGATTTGCTACAAAATAGCAACTAGATTAACCAGGAAGATAGTATTGTTAAATACGCGATCGTTCAGCGGATTATCTGTAAATGATACTAAATACGAAAAACCATTAATGAATGTTTCGCCATCACCACGAACTCATATAATATTACCTCACGTAAGCAGCAAACGGCATTTATCACTGGAAGGGTTCATGAAATGGCAAGAACAGACCTACACTTGTATAGCAAACAGTAATCTCGTTCATGTATTGCAAGACGGTCTGGTTTATTTCCATGATACTACAGGGTTGTCATGGTGGGCAACCATCGTCACATCTACCATACTTGTACGAGCTCTCATGACACTACCTCTAACAGTATATCAGAATTACATCTTAGCTAAAGTAGAGAACATAGGATTAGAGCTAAAAGAGTTGGTTAATGAACTAAAGAAGGAAACTGCAATTGCTAAAACTGCATACGAACTATCAGACAAGCAAACAGTAGCATTATACAAGAGATCACTCAAGAAGCAGTGGAGAAATCTCATTGAGAGAGATAACTGTCACCCCTTTAAAGCTAGCTTAGTAATTTGGGTACAAATACCCATATGGGTATGTATGTCTTTTGCTCTCAGGAACTTGGTAAATATGAACCCTCCTGATGGTGCGGCTTTAGTGACTTTTATGGAGATGTCAACCGGGGGACTGGGCTGGATACCTAATCTTACACTTCCTGATCATTCTTGGATTCTTCCTGTTGGCTTTGGACTAACAAATTTAGTCATAATTGAACTACAAAGAATGTCAAAGCTTAGGCAGCCTTCAAAGATGTACAATGTGTTTACAAATGTATTCAGAGTATTTTCAATAGTAATGATACCTGTTGCCGCCAGTGTACCTTCTTGTATGTGCCTCTACTGGATGACATCATGCAGTTTTGGTCTCCTACAGAACATCACACTCTTGTCTCCATCTTTAAGAAGAAAGCTGAGGATTCCAGAAGCTCCAAGTGAACTTGAAGAACCCTATGAACATATTAAAGGGGAAATTAGTAATAAATTTTGCAAAATTATAGCAAGGAAAACTTACTAAACTTGTTTATTTGCCTAAGTATTTTGGACTGTCAAATTTTCTATTTTATTCTATAGTAAGTAACAAAAATATAGTAACTCTTTAAGTATGGGTTTTAGACGGACTTCCCAAATATATAAATAGAGTGTAGGGTCTTCAATTGTTGTTCCATCAAATGTGCATAATAATATACTTGATTGATACTAAATCAATATGCATATTGATTTGCTACACTAAGTACTCATGTATTCCAGCTAATATTTTGATACTTATGAATCTATAATATTTTTTCACATGATTTCCCCTTCAGAGTCAATCGACTCTGAAGGGGAAATGATGTGAAAAAAAAATTAAGTTTTGCTTTTCCACAAAGCCAACATTGAGCTCTGGTCTTTTTGCACTTTACTCTAACTGTGGTTGTTTTCTCACTTATAGAACTTTTTTATTATTACCTTTGCATGTTTTTCTTGCAATAGTCATATTAATGATTTATCTACAGTTATACATAATGTACATATCAACATACCACATTTATCTAAGATTTAGGACAATAGACACTAAGAGCGCCGTCAAATTAGATACTTGTAGATGCGCAGCCGCTGCAATCTGTAGAACTTCAGTAATTTCTAGTTCACTACTTGTGACTGCAAAAGCGGTGCGAGTGTCACGACAGTGACGCTGCAACTGCCCTTCTAAATATTGAATAAAAATTAGTAATAGCGCGCGCGGCTGCAACGCTTCTATAAGCATCTAATATTACACATGTTGTAATTTTGATAATTTTAAATTATTCCAGACACCAATTGTTGCGTCAATTTACACGTCTGGTAGAGATGAGCGTAATTTCACTAGAGCCAATGAGTTTTTACCTTATCGTTGGGATCGCAATGATCCCAGGAAGCAAGATTTGGCGAACCATGTGACATCAGCGTCGCTGCCTTTTGCTCTTGGTGCACGATCTTGTGTGGGAAAAAAGATCGCTATGACGCAGTTGAGCGAAATTACCCAGCAGGTAAATCTCTTATTTTTAGGCGCGTATTTGACAAGTGATAAATCATTGACAACATGTAATGGCCAATAAGGTTGATTTCCGAATACAAACTAAGTAATCTGCATGTAACCCCGCACTTTTTCCACTTCCTTTTACTAAAAGTACACATGGTTTAGAACTCATAAATGTAATTTTTTTGCAGATAGTCAACAATTTTGATTTCAAATGCACAAATACTGAAGAAGTTAAGCCAATAATGTCGATGGTGTTGGTGCCAGATCAAAAGATAAAATTATCACTTACTGAGAAAAATGCAATGCAAATGTTTAATTAGAAACTGTGATTTCAGACTATTAATAATAGTTAATATACAAAACAATAATTAATAATCACAACTATAGTGAATATTTATATAAACAACTTTTTGAAATGAAATTGTGATGTGTTGATTGCGTTTGACAAGGGATATTGTATGGGTACGTAATTAGAAGACTTTTTCATTGATAAAAAACAAAACTTTATATTTCTATTGTAACATGAAATACTGACTTGATGTCTAAATAGTTTTCAATTTCAATTAATTAATAAGTAAATGTAGTGTTTAGCAGTTTCTATCTATAATATAAAAATGCATGTTCAGTAGTGTGATAAGATAGACAAGTCACCTGAGGCGATGATAAATGCTGGACCATGTAAATTTTAAATCACAATTAAAACCAATGCTTAACTTAAACAGACATTATCATAAAAGCATGTGTTAAATTGACCTGTACTATTATTATACATCGCAACTTGCCCATCTTAAAGATACATAATATACCCTGATAAGTTAATGTTATGTAAAGTAACAAAGGCTCTATATTACATAGTAATGTAAAATAATATTGAATACAAATCATTACAACGCAAATTAATACTATATACATAGGTAAACTACAGGATGCTTATACATTAGATTTACATAAATTAATCACAAGGCTCAAATTTATTTCACCAACTGCCTTAAAATCATATTTTTAATATCATCCAACCATTGATCCTTGTATTTCATATTTAAAATATTTTGAAATGAACGTGTTCGGTCCAATTCTCCCATTTTTCCAGTAAGTATATACGCCGTGGACTCCACGCAAAGGAAACCCATTCCTTCGCTTAGAGACCATATGTAGATTTTATCGGCAGTTTCTGGCGTTAATTGAAATTGTAGTATAGCGCTACTGACTAACTCTTTAACCCTTTCAAATAAAAATCTATCTGCTAGTAGAAGAACCTCCAAATTAATTTCTAAACTATCCGTCATCGGAAATATCTGAATATCAGTTTTGAGGCTGTCTAACCCACATTGTAGAAGCGTAAATAAGTATTCGAGGGCAGGTTTCGTCACGTTTTTAAGGCGCACACACTTTTCTATAGATTCCTTAAAACATCCCATTAGCATTGCGCTGAAAACTTCAGAGTTCTGACATAAAAACACCTTATTCGCCTTTACAGTGGACAAATCATCTAGCTCAAACGTAACTATATCGTCCGCAGATAAATTGTCTAACATAGGATCGTAACCTACACACACTTTGTCTTTAAATCTGTTTTCTAAAGTTTTTGGGTCTTTAATATTAACATTAGAGGCGAGTTTCATTAAAGCTGTGACGCAATCATGAAGTTCTTCTTTGGATTCGGATATGATTGCAAAGAGTAGATTTAGCGCGCTGCAATCAATGAAGTATTTCTTCAAAGCTTTCTCAGTTCTGTAAATCAATTCAAAATTAGTATCGCAAACCAGTGCATGCTTACATGTGTATTGTTTGGCTTGGTGAAGGTACAGTCACTTGCATTAGTATGTATACACGTAGCGAAATTAGGAACAAATATTCCCCCGAAATACCTATTGAAATTGTAAAATATTTTATAACACATTTACTTCATTAGGAAAATTTTTAATTTTATGAAGATTGCCTACGAAAATCGACTGCATGTGAAAAGTCTACGTTTTAATGCCAATGTAAGCAGAAATTTAACATATTTATTGATTTCTAGAGCGGTTACACACGACGACTTTAAGCAGCGCGTATGCAGAGATCGCTAGTCGTCTATCTTTACACACACGCACGACATAAGCAATGATACAGTCCCATATCTATCAACGTCTTGGTTATGCGGGTAGGGCACTATGACCGCTCGCACAGGGAGGGACCTTCTAAGTCAGGTCCTAACCTCGGATCAGCACGTTTGCACGTACCTCATCCGGTTCTCTGTAAGGCAAGTGCTTTAGGTGAGCCCCCCCCCCCCCCCCCGGGGTGCACGTACAGCACCCTCCCTATTTTCCAGATAGGTACCGGAGCTGTAGGCACGCTCACTTCCCGTTGCTCTCCGCGCGACTAACGGTATGCCACCGCTGAGCCGCCGACTCTAAGCCGACTACCAAATCTCCTCCTTGGTGGCGGAGCTGTAAGGCATGCTCACTTCCCGACGCCGAATGAGCGGCGTGTCTCCATTTTTTAGATTCCTATGCGGCCGGAGAGACCGGAAGATGTCTAGCTCATCCTCTTCTAGCTCTCTGGGCTAGTGCTGGAGATGCCAAGTGGCAGTGTCCTACGGCAATGTCCGGACATAGCCACCGACTTAAAGGGCGACTCACGTGCCCCGCGCGTCTCCTCGCCTCAGGCCCTCAACTAGACCACTACTGAGGGCCGTATTCCAGAACTCTACTCAATGCTCAAGTCAGGACTTGAGTATGATTTCAAGCACTGGAAATACGACTCTAATGACAATGACTTAAGTATGATTTCTAGTGCTTTAAATCATACACAAATCCTGACTTGAGCATTGAGTAGAGTTCTAGAATACGATCCTAAGACGCGCTAGCTGCGCGCGAGACGAACGCCCCGGTCACACCCGACAGGGGCAGACGAACGTGTTCGTCCCTGCACCTAACCACAAACCCCAGCGAATCCATACCCAAGCCCAGGTCCGCCAGATACGGCCGTGAAGACGTATAACTGGCGGAGTGCTTGATCCGGACACCCGCCGTACCCTGGTAGTCTCTCCGGAAAACCCTGTCTCTCGGGTCAGTGATGCACATTTTAATGATTCAACATAGCGACTGCATCGATGTAATCGCGCGTTTCTCAAACGTATCGCTGCTAAAAGTCACCGTGTGTAACCGCTCTTAAATTGTATGGCATGTCAAAATTTTAAACAATGACATTTCATTCATTTTTTCACATTTTATTTTAAAAAAGAGGTTAGTCTTCTACCATTCTCCTGAAAGTAACCTCTATATCGGTAGTATCAAGGACGACTAAAATTTTGCAACGTTTACGCATAGAGATGCACGCGAATGTAAAAGGATTATGTACCTTACGATATACGGCAGTGTAAGTGACAAGGTTTGCTTCATAGAAGGCGTTCCTTTGAGTAACTGGTAACTGATTTCGCCGATACCGTAACTAGACTCCGCTAATATTGTCAGCTGAGTTAATAATTTCGCACTTAGTCGTATTATCTGAAAAAAGAAACGCCATATTGTTACTCGTTAGACCCGATTCCGCCATTTTAAAAATTAAGCAAGCAATAGAAATTACATTAAGAGACTCTTCAATTATTTACACTATTTACAAGATACCCTAAAATTTACCACTTACTTGTTTACATTGAAGGCACTTAGCAGGAGGGTGCCTCGAACTGACAGACATCTTATGAAGCCGCAGAGCCAGCCTGTGTTTTAGTATGCTCATTAGACATAGAGCATTGCTTAAAAAACATATTAAGACTTATTAGTGATATAAACTCTAATAAAAACAAAAAATATCTGATAAATTGGTCGTTGTAGGATAGGTCGTACTTGTACTGAGCAAGACACGCAAACCGGTTAAATAAATGAACCGATTTCAGTTTCATAAGTTTTGCTCGTTGCAAACTATATAGACCAGTTGACTTGAGTTTATCTCGTCATACAGGTGGTAACAAATAAATTTTTAGGCAAATTGTGAAGTCGTCATAATTTGTGTTGTGATGTTGCTATCGTACGCAAAAGTCATGGACTTCCGCTTGAACTTTATAATAGTTAGTTTTCACACTGTGCGCTGTGCGGTTTAATGATGGGAGCGGCGGTAACCGCTGTTACGGTTACCACACGGCCACGGGTAGTTTCTGCAGCGGGTAACAAGCCGGTAGGCATTACTGACATGTAAACAAAAATTGTAGCTAACTTTAGTTGAGCTGCACGCTGTCTTCCAGGATTGGCCTTACTCTTTGAATTTTACAATTGATTTTTTTTAATACAGTTGTAAACGATGTTATTGATTATCTCTACTTAAACGTGGTTTTTTGAGCATGTTATGTTTCTTTAGGTTATGCCTGATCGATTTTTATAATTCTTTCATTTTTACTCATCTAAGATATAAAAATACCGTTTGATTATGGAAATCGATCATTTCAGGTCCAGGTTATACAAAATAAAATTCCCGATTAATATTCCGTGTGTGATTCTGATTTTACATATCTGTTGTGGTAACCGGGTATAAAAAGACTTCGAAGTAGCGAGTGACGTCCATACTATTAACACAGTCTAACCAATTCCTACAGTCGTCCAAAAGTCGTCGTTAAATACATCTGTGTTGTAGTGGTCTGTTGTGTGGAAAATGGTACATACTACATGTGACTGCATATCATCATCTCGCATGGATCAAAATCTTAAATTTCATCAGTGTCCACATACAGAAGAAAGGTGAGGCAAATAATTTTATTTTATTTGGAGTTTTAGGTTTTTTAATGTGTATAAAGGTTGCCAGGATAGTGACGTCCAAAAAAAAATTTTGGTGCCTCACATTGAGGGACAACCGAATCACCCCCATGTATGTTCCGCGATTTTTCGTAGTTTTCGAGTTATTTTTTTTAATGGATTTTTTTGAATTTTCAACCGGATAGGCTTAAATTATTATTTTTTTTTTTTTCAATTTCTACACCAATTTTTCAGGGTTTTTTCGTAACTCAATCTTTATGAATTGTACTTTAACACACTTAATATCAATTTAACACACTTATAATCGACTTCGTAACGTCAATAGAAGCTACGAAAGTTTTGACTCAAAGTGGAAAATTCGCGTTTGAGCGAGTCAGACTTGAATTTTCAACTTTAAATTAAAAATCTATACCGGCAATTCCATAGTTCCTGGGTTACTTTAAAAACTGCGCTAGAACTAAACTTTCATTAATACGAAAGTTTAGTTCTAGCAACACAAAAAAAAAAAATTAACAGTACTTAAAAGGCCTTTATTTGCTGAAATCAGCCTTCAAAGATACTGAGGTCGAAAATTCCTACGATAGTAATTTGATTTAAAAAATAAATTATTACCTAATAATATATAATAAGTGTAAAAAGCAATAAAATAATAACTTAATAGGGATTCGCTCTGGACCTTTTGGAGGGAAAAGTGTCGTTTTTATTTTGACTTTCAATTATTTTGTGAAATCTAGTTTAAAGTGGAATAGGATAGTGCTAATGTGCCTTAATCGAAGATTAAAACGCGAAATTATACGAATCTCGAACTAAAATACCCGTATCGGCCCGTTTTAAGGAATCCCGAGTCAATCCAAGCACGCCGCCTCAAATTGCCTATCCTCTTTGTGGCGGCCATATTTACAGAAACATATTTAAATTTCATGTTTAGGTTGATGGCTTTGCCAAAGCCTTAATAAATAAATAATAATATAATAACTTAATAGCTTTTAGTTTTAGCTTTTGAAATTATATTATGATAAAGCAAAATCGCAGACATTAACGACTAAAATAAAGCTGCTTGCTTTTACTCATTATGTATTCGGATATGGTATTATTTCTAAATCCAAGATGACGGACACGACTTTTCAAATAAATGCAAAATGGGTGTAATTTTTTAGATATTTGGGGGTGCTCATTACGAATATGGCACTTATTTCTAAATTCAAGATGGGGGCACGACTTTTCAAATAATGGCAAGTTGGGTATCGTCTTCGATCGAGGTATTTGGGGTGCTCATTACGAATATGGCACTTATTTCTAAATCCAAGATGGCGGGCACGACTTTCAAATAATAGCGAGTTGGGTAATGTTTTCGAAGTATTTGGTGGTGCTCATTACGAATATAGATTTATTTCTAAATCCAAGATGGCGGACACGACTATTTAAATAAATGCAATATGAGTATCGTGTTAACTGTTATCGGAGTTGATAATTATGAATATCATAATTAAATCCTTGATTGACTTGATACTAGACTTGAAGATTTATAAAAAAATATTTTTCTTAAATTTAAAATATATATATATATTCCTTGTATACTACACACTACAACTACTGCACATACTATAAAACGTCTTGTGAAAAAGTCCCATATCAACATCTTTTTTTTTATTAAAGCCAATATGCACATAGTAGTAGGACACTGACCCCAACAGACTAAATAAAAAAACACAAGGTGACAACTCTGCGGTATGATGTAATGTCTAGATGAAAGCGGCATTTCGCGAGACTTCACAGACGATGTCGCACTGCATGTTGTATACATTGTGCTATTAAGGTCAATAGATGCTTTAAGAATGATGAATAGAAAGTCGAATAAATACAATACATTAATTAAACAATGCGAATGCGGCGAGCGTCTCAGTAAAACCTGTTAATTTAAATCAACAAATCAATGGACACGGCGTTAAAGTGGGTCCGTATTAAAGATACAATGACATTCATATGAAAGCTTTGCCCGCGTATTATAAAATTATATTTAATTTGATTGGACGTAGTTAAACAAAAAGGATCCAATCCACATCCACTCACTTTCGAGATATGGCAGTTGGAAGTTTAAGGGTCGTATTCCAGAACTCTACTCAATACTCAAGTCAGGACTTGAGTATTGCAGTGAGCACTGAAAATCATACTCGAGTCCTTGCCATGAGGGTCGTATTTCCAGTGCTTGAAATCATACTTAAGTCTGCTCAAGTCAGCACTTGACCTACACGACCCTAAGGATCGTATTCTAGAACTCTACTCAATGCTCAAGTCAGAATTTGAGTATGGTTTAAAGCACTCGAAATCATACTCAAGTCCCTGCCATTAGGGTCGTATTTCCAGTGCTTGTGTTGCCAGTGCAATCCTGACTTGAGCATTGAATAGAGTTCTAGAATACGGCCCTTAGTGTTTGTCACTCTTGATTTTTTTTTCAGAACTTATAATGTCATGTAACTCCAGAGATATTTATTTATGTTTATGTTGTTTTTTTTTTGCTGATCTAACGGCCGTTTTCTATATTTGATCCTGAATCTAAGATTGTTTTCTATCCAGATTTTATTCGATCCATCGATCGCTGCCGAATCTGTATTTCAATATGTCTATCTCGGCTTTAGCGCCCTTAAAAAAAAAAAGGATCGGTCGTAAATTTACTCCCTCTCTGACGTTTAGTTCCACGTAATCGCAGTAAAAGATCATTACATGAATTAGTGAATAAAATGGTGGTTATGTTTCTAAGATTAATTTATTTATACAAGTGATTTTGGCAAAAATATAAATTAATTGCAAACTTTCAAGTATAAAATATTTAAACCGTAAGTACGGCAAGAATAACGTGTTTCTAGGAACAGAACGGAACGTCTATTGTCCAGAACGGACCGTTTATTGTCAAACGAGCGGGATGGCCATATAGGATGGAAAAAAATAAAGGGACGGCGCGCGGCGGCGGCGGCAAAATGTTAGTGTCAATTTATGTTTTGTTGATGTTTGTTCGTATTCGTGACGTGATAAATAATCTAAATTATAAAAATACCGTTTTGATTTGACTTTGATAAACGGCATTATTTCAGTTAAAACTGATGTAAACATCTGATGTTTTGTTCAGCCTAAATTTGGATGTAAATTCAGCGTCAGTTAAATTTACCATGAAGTTTATACGCCTAAACGTTCTTGAGGACACAAGCTGCTCTTGGTCGCTGTCGCTATTATCCCAGTCCGATAACTGAGCAAATGTTCAAGTTCACAGTCGCTATCACTTAAAAATAACATCCATTTTTACACGATTACACAGTACAATTGGAGGATCGCTACTATAGATCGAACACGTGCAAAATCCGATTTGTCAAAACTATGGATTGGATATTGAAAGCGCACAACTGGCACTACCATACAAATGTCAATCTCAAAATGCCATACTTCAATCCATCTGTGGGAGGGCTCCCACAGATGGATTGAAACAAAAGATCGGAATAACGATCCATCGATCGGTTATTGAAATAGTAAAAAATAGGATTTGGATTGATTATTCAAGCTTAGATAGCAAATTATGGATTGAGATTGAATGTAGAAAGCGGCCGTAAGAGGTTACACCTTAGGAACAATTTGGTACATATTTTGATAATTTGTGGATTGGATCCTTTTTGCTTAACTACGTCCAATTGTAAAATTGTCATTTTATTTTTAGTATGGACGAGATACTGAAGCATCTTACTACCGAACGGCTACCATGGGCCATGCAGAGGTCCCAGGTTCTATTCCCGGGCTGGGAGAAATATTTGTATGTCCTACTTTTATTTCTCTTGTGAGTTCGGCTGTAACTTGTGGTTGTCTATGTGCGTGTACATGGCACCCGCGAGGCAGGTCTGGGCTATGTTGAGTGTGTGCGTTATTATATTATTATTATATTGATATAAATATCCTAATGGATTACCTTAATACGCGAGCAAGAATCCTTGCAGCCCGACCCAAAGGTCTTTTACATCTCTCCACATAGTCCAATAGGGCATTTAAGCATTCTCTCCCAGTCAACAACTCCAACGTATGGTTCGACACAGGTTCCTCACGAATCGCTCCGTAAGAACTGCACGCACCGTGCGATACACGGAACAACAACACTAAGATACAGGCAATGCGTGACGACTTTGTGTTGGTGTCCATTTTGTTATTGTCTTCTGGAAAATAAAAAGGAACTTGTATTTTGTCACATAAAAACGCATAGAAAGTTTTACAAATTCCATAAAATCAATGTTCTGTAGAATAGCCCTTATTACCTTCTAAAGGCGCTTCCTCATCGACACTTTCATCGTCTTCCATAATAAGTTCGTCAAGATCGTGAGCGACTTGGGCCGCGTTCAGCTCGTTCGCGGCGCGCCTGCCCGCTGTCATATCTACTGCATCTTCACTTCCTATTGGTCCTGCCTCAATCTCCGCGTCACTACACACTGGCGAATAGCGTCCAGATATTTCGGAATCTGAACTCTCTGAAAGTTTAACACGGGATAAATAAATACACCACACATTAAAATCAGATTTCATAATGTTTCGACAGACAAATCCTTACGTAAATAGTAGCAATTAATGAAAAAAATACCTAAGTGAAAATAAGGTATTTTTCAGTACTTAACAAATAAAACTGCTGACTGTAATAACACGTTTTTAGTTTATGGCCATAATGAAACATCTATGTAGGCTGTGAAAATTTTACCTTCATTTGCACTGAAAGGAGTAGTAGGTCCGGAACTATTTGGGCTCCACTGGTACTCTGTCCAGTAAGGAGAAGGTGTGCTTCCTTCGCCTATACTAATGCCTGACTCAGGACTCCAGTCCCATCTAGCTCTTTTGTTTGAAAACCCTCTGTATTCGGGACTGAATCCCGATTGGTGACCATCCGAGTATGGTGACAAAGGACCATAGTCCGAACGGTCAGGGCTCATTGCAGAATGAGACCCTGGCTGTTGGGATATCGACGGCCATTCAGGGCTCTTTGGTTCCCAGTATACACCTGCTGACCAATCTTTACAAGCCATTTTGATTAGCTGTGATTTCTGTAAAACAAATAGTGTTTTTAAGTACACAGTCCAAAACGTGAAACTAGCCTGTAAATCTCAAACACTGGTTTACCTTAGCAATTATTGGGCTCCGAGACCTCGCTCTTTTAAAGGATTTCCGCTTTGGTAGCAGATTCTCATCGTCACTATGACTATCGTCACTTGCGTCACTATCAACTGCATCAACAAACCCGACTATCATGTTATCCCTTTCTATTACAACTTTTAATTCATCTTCATTCTTTGATGAGAGTTGACTTCTTCGCCTCATGAAGAGGCTTCCTTTCGCTTCAGAAGTAGAAGTATCATACTTAGTTGTTGTTTCACATTCACCTTTAGAATCTTTCCCCTTTTCTTCATTTGAAGCAATAGTCTCATTTAACATACTAACATTTTCCAAATGAGAATGTTCAAAATTCATTGTAGCCAAATATTTTGTGAGTTCATCAGTAAGTAGGTTTATTAATCCTTCGTTAACCAGTATTTGGAATGCTGTTGATAAAGTAAATAAGTAACATATACACAACATTCAATAATTTCTAAACGGACACAAGTCTATTGATAAAAGTGACTATAAGAATATTTAAAATAGATTTACACTCACAAGTATCGTCAAAAACATATTGCAAGAGTGCGTGCATAGCGTAAGGGTTACTTCTTGCCGCCGTTACAAGAAGCGGCAAACCAGTACAACAGCGCAGTCGTGAGCGATTGACAGATTCGCCACTCAGTTGAGCTAGAGCTCGTGCAGTTCCTTCTGGCCACCATGCTACATCTGAAATCCAACATTTTGCATTGAGATACAAATTAAATTATATTTCTCAACATAAATATTGCAGTATAGCTTTTAAGCTTTATGATTCTCTTGGCAAACTTTTGTTTTTTTTTTCTTCCTATAGCAACTTTATCTACTTCAGATTGATAGTGCTTTTGGCCAACACTTTATCTGGTGTTTATTAAAACAATATTACACACTCTTCTCTCTAAACAGTCATAAGGCATGTCTTTTCCATTAGTAATTTAGATTAGATTATGTATTTCTCATATAAAGTATAAGAAATTATATTGAGATGAAAATTTAAACAACAAAAGCAATGTGATTGATGCAGAATAAACTTATACCTGAAATTTTCTGCAATATTCCAACTAAACACTCTACTAAACCCGCAGTGCCTAGCAATGGCCGACAGGATGATAAGTAGCACAGATTCATCAAACATTTGAGAGCTAAAGACTCATATATTTTTGTTAATGCTACTAAACATTGATATCCTCTGCCATCGCCTTGCATCTGTAATTATTAAATTTAATCAGTGAGCGCTAAAACAATTGAAGGTAGGAGTAGGAATCTTTCAGTTCTTTAATACTGTAGGTCTTGGCTCTGTGTTGTAGTAGCGGTGATCACCATAGATCAACTGCTGGTTGCAGTGATAAAGGACTGCAGAGACCCCAGGTCCTTGCAAAAAAAGTCCATTATCTACCCAAGATGTTGCGAGACGTCATTGACATTAAAAAAAATCCTAATTTCAATAGGGAAGATGGTTTCTCGGTACCACCAGTTTGGGATCCTGTATTTCCTCTGATGAAAAATCCCTAAGACATATTTACGTCAAAATTTATTGCTTTTTTCTGCTGTTATGGTACATGGTAATAGCATGATAATTTCAAAGGCTTCATATTCAAATGTTTCACTAATTCTCCAAGTATTAGTAATTTTATTGCGGTCTGTACTTCTCGACTGGTCAGTGTGTGTTTTTTGGAGAAGGCCGTCAGCCTTCCTGCTTTATTGGCAATCTTCTCCATCATGTCGTGAACGAAATTATTCATTATTAACATTGAAGATCTTGATATACCCATTTAGTATTGCATAACTTGCCCTAATAACTTGTATAGGTAAATTGAAAAGTTGTGATACTTTTTTCTTCATTTTCTTGTCCTTTGGTTTTTTCAAAATTAATTTCTCAATTGGTTTCTCCATTGTCTTCACAAGTTTCTTTGCCGGTTCCTTTGGCGCCATTTTGGTATTTTTATTTGAATTTTTGGTAATAGATACCACTACACCACATAGATTAATATGTTTTACTTTCTATTATCAATTAATAATAAATTGAACTTAATAAAAATTCATTGAATAAAATAATTTGTAAAACATAATGTAGCGTAAATTGGAATGTTTGTTTGTAAAATTGAAAATAATGTATTTAATTAATAACTTTTCTGACTATAGCGAAAAAATAGGGTGGTTTGCGTTAATATTAGACATAACTGGTTGATGACTGTACCACCTCAGTCAGCCGTGACCACAGGACCCGTAAAGGGCCCGAAATGTCCGTTTGTTTAAAAAAACAAATATACGCAAAATAAACAAATAAATATATTTCCTAAAGCCTAAGTACTCGATAACTATTTCAGATTAAATAATTTAGTTATTACTATAGGTTTCTTCTACAGTATGACTTAATTTAGGTTCATTTGGTGAATCTGCAGAAAACTTACTCATGCGGACAAATATTTGCATGCCACCTTGCATCATCATCCAAAACACCTACATTCAGATGTCAGGTCACAAACAATTAGAGCTTGTTCTTTATTATGCATAACACTTACTATTTATGAAGACAGGTTTGAACTATTCAGTCTGGGGAAATTGGTACTTACAACAGTAATAATAAAAAGCAAACATGGTTCAAGTTCAGGTTCACATGTACACAGTTAGTGTGGTTTGTAGGAAAAAAGTGAAGGACAATAGTAGTGCTTCAAGAAATCAAGATGAGAATGAGAAAGAGCAAAAGAGAGGTTAGATATGCCTGTTATTAGTCCTCGCAGCTGCCATTGGCCAGTCAAATACATAGTAATAATAGCTTGTATCTATTCCAAAATATAAGGATAATAAGAAGTCATACCGTGGTCAGAAACCTGTAACTATACAGTTTGTGAAAAACCAGGAGGTTCTTAAAATCTACAATTCAGCATTGTTCAAATATATACCTGCTCAGCACATAGAGAAGCAGTATGAGTAGTAAAGTAACCCAAACATTTCAAAATGCCAGTAATTAGCTCTTCTTGGCTCTTCCTAAGCCCTTCGGTTTCTTTTGCAGGATTGGCTGATTTTATTATCCCAGCAGATTCACATTCAGTAGTTAACAGGATAGCTACACAGCGGACTGTGTTTAGACTGAGCATCTCATCCCTCTTGTCAATCACCATCCAGAGTTGTCTGACAAATAAATATATACAGAACTTAGTCATTAAAACATACAGAATGGCCTTGTAGGCCTTGAATGGATTTAATAACGTATTAACATAATTAGGCTCCTTTGTAATTTATTTTTTGTCAAAGATGCCTTCAACTCATTTAGTTTTAAATTAATAACTTATTTAAAATACGTACCTAATGGCTCTCACAGCCATAGTTAAAGTAGGGTATGATGTGTTTTTATCCCTACTCTCAATAAGGGTAACCAAAGCACTAACTGTCCCATGATTATGCAGGATTTCTGCATTGCTGATCCTTTGTGCTAGGTTGCCTACCAAGCGACAGGCTCTCCCTACAATGCTGTCACGACATACTGTCTTCAGAATATTCACAAGAGGTCCAAATGTATTTAATTTGCCCACCTGAAATATAAACAAATTGTAGTATGATTAATTGCTAATAAAACTTGCACAAATGAAGACTACAGCAAGAAAGGATTGCTAGTCAGTAGTTTAGAGATTTAGTTCTTGGTATCTAAAAGTAAAATACGGATAATTATGGTATAATAAATATAATATCCTAAACTTGCCTTGAAACATGGGTCAAAAGAAAAAACGTCTTATAAGGCAAAGTATTGTTTGTCAAAAATGTCCTCAGACGCGTTTCTTTACTAATGCCAACTTACCGCTAGACTGCTTTCTTCTTCTAAACAACAATTGCCTAAAATACTAAGCGTAATGTCGAGAATTCTTTCGTTAGGCTTACGCAGATGTGGCAGCAAGTAATCTAAACCATCACATTCCCGAAATAATTTTATTCCCGCATCGTTCACTGCGATTTTACTTCTAATCTTCAACAAACTTTCTTGTATTTTAGTTGAAGATGAAGATTTAAGTCCATCTATGACAGATTTTACATAGGTTTTATCCATGTTTTATGACTTTTTAATGCATTTTGTTGATAAAAATCACAGAAAAACAACAAAAAATGTTGACTTGCGTTTTGACAGTTTTGTTTTTTTTCTTGTGAGTATGACAGAATACAACAGCTGCTTTTGTTTATGGTACGCTGGAAGCGGAATAAGAACTTGATTTTCTCTGAAAACCAACAGCATCATTAAGAACGAACTTTTCCTCCCTCCATTCAGTAGATGATTTTATTTTGTTAATTCACCGATCAATCAACATATTGCGACCACGATTCGATCGATCTGTGTTTCAGTTTCACAAAATCGATGAGAAGTGTGAAAAAAAAGAACGAGTGAAGAATAGACAAGTATTTGAATCTGTGGACAAAAATGAAGGATCAAAATGAAATAATGATTGACAATTGTCTTTATTTGTGATGCATACGTTTTTTACATTGTTAATTTATCGTGAAACATTGTCAGTCCTAACGATTGTAACATACAATTGTCATGAAATCGCTTTGTGAGAGATGAGTGTCTTTGGGGATTTTCAACGCGTGTGGGTGCAACGTTTTCCGGAGAGCGCCTTGCCAGCCGCTTGGGAGGAAGATGTCAGGGCCAATTTGGCTAAACACAAACAGAAAGTGGCTATTCTTAGAGAAGAATTGGAGAAGGAGGAGTTTTACGTAGAGTACTTGGAGACGTTGTTGTCGGATGTAGAGAAACACAAGGCATCTGCTCAGGGGAAGCCACCGCCCTTAGGGGTTGACGTGCTCAATCCTGACGATAAGACGACAGATAGCAAGCAGGTAATTTAGTATGTTTATACGCTTATCTTTCATTGCACCAATTGTTCCTTTTAATTTCCTATAAAATTAAATAAAAATTAATTGGACATTTCTCATTGTGCACCATAAGACAGCAATATTTATCAATTGAGTTATCTATGAATATCAGTACCAAAATGAATTTTTGTATGTAATGAAAACGTTTAACTTGAATAGCACTTACAGATGAGTATTATTTTCTTATATAAATTAAAGTAAAAGAAATGGTTGCAGTTTTTTTTATTAGATCCCATAATAGGTTTGATTTAGTTCTCATACCCTACCATTTTGGGAGAAATGATTAACAATAAATAATTAATTATTAATAATAACTTATTGTTTATTTACCAGAAATAGTTACTTGACTAAAATAAATAATATGAAAAGTTTATGCAGATTCACTGACAATAATTTGTGATCAAATAAAAATTTCATAAATAATGTTTGATAAATTATAATAATTAGTTTCTCATTACAAAACAATATCATAATTTTATTACTTTTATCTAAAAAATAAGGATGGGATGTAAATGTAATGGTTGTGTTGCATTATTTATGTGATGTTAATGTGGCCTGCATCTCTGTAATACCATAAATATTCATTATTACAGTTAATTGATTCCTGAACCGTGCTAAACTAACAGTTTATTCACTTTATTACTTTCAATTGAGTGTGTATTGAATACTCTTCAATTATTCTTAAATATTAAGTCTTTTTTATGGTTGTGCTGTGGTTCAATAGATTATGAGACACGAAATATGGCCAAGTTTGCCATACAATTAAGATTATTTGGCATTCCCGAATGCGGTCAAATTTATGTATATATGAAATAACTGTATAATATAAATTTGTAATATTGGATACTCCAAGTTATTAAAAGAACCATCTACCTTGTGCAGTTGGGTAAAACAGAATGTATAAAATTTTTTATAATTTTGTTTATTTGAAAGGTTTCAATTTTGTTTTATTTTTTAAATAATAATCGACAATCTGTATAAACGTGATATACATTTTTTTAACATATTGTACATTTGCCATTTACTGTATATCATGTTAGGCTGAGAATATGGGAAGTATATTTCTGGGGCAAATGTTACGAGTCAAATACTTTAAATGTTTCATTAAGTTTATTGCAAGTTGATGTTTAAGCATGAAATTAACACTGCTACCCCAACAAGCAATGCGACACAATGATTACTGACAAGAGTTTTAGTTTTGGGTCGGAATGCAGTATGAGCTACTAAAACATAACAGAAAAAATCAAATAACATTTTATACTTGTTTAAAGATGTACATTTATGGAATAATATTTCATTAATTGATCATAATTCGGTATAATTATAGGAAACCTGTTAAAATAAACATTAATACATGTTTCTGAATGCAATGCAAGTTTTCCTTAAAGCTTGTTACACGTTTGTTTTAACTAATGTGTATAAACTACACATTATTTGTGTGTTTTTAGTATGTATTATTAATTATGTTTGTTATTACTAATTGTTATGTTTTTTCCCTTTTTTATTTGGATTTTTTATTTTTTCATGTTATGATTATGTTTTGCAATTGTTAAATGTATGTGTGCTGTTTCTTTGTGGAATAAATATTTCTTTCTTTCAACATCTTACATTTGAGATGAATTGGTTAGTGTTCTGCGGCTTGGTTTCTTTATCTGGATATTATAGGCATGTACAACTAAAAATAGGACATATTTTGATTATAAAAATTTTCAGTTCAATGAGGTCCATTAATGATACATGTAGAATGCAGGTCAATAAACATCAAAACATTGTTATAATTTTTTTGCTAAGCACTGTTTGTATTCACCTAATAATATTAATTTGTACAAGAGCTCGAGAATGTTAATTAGTCAATATCACTTTAATTGGAATGCACACATTTGTGTAAAAACTGTGAGTTGACATAACTACATGCAGTGTAGTTTATTAACCCATCTAGCCAATTAAACTAATACTATTGCAAGGACATCTGATAATAGTATTGATTTTCCTGTTGTACATTTGTAATTTCAAGTAATTTTGAATGTAATAAAATTTTAAATTTATTTTCTACAATTTCATTATATTTCTATTTTATTTACTCCTTGATTTAGTTGCTTATATAATAATATGCACTAATGGTTTGAATATAAAGTTGAGTTTTGGAACTAAAGTCTTTATGTGTAAGCATAATAATAAGCTTAATAATTGCTTTACTACTGGTTATCACACAACTTTAGTAATTATATTACACTAGTCATTTGTGTTTAGTAATTATATTACACTAGTCATCTGTGTTTACTGTAATATCATGTGTAATATGTTGATATCATTTAGGGTTCAAACACTGACTCATTGTCAAAGAAGAGTGAGGCCAGTCTTAGTACCAACAATGATGAATCAATGGTGGAGACCGCTGATATGGATGAAGTGCAGCTACGGAAAAAGCCCCCACTCATCGCTGAGAGAAGCTCCGTTAACCAATGCATCAATGAGCTCTCATCTAACCTAGCAGCAGAAGCCGCCAGAAGAAGATGCAACAGTGAAGTTATACAAAAAACCAACAATAACAGTGATACTAATGGTATGTAGAAAAGCTAATCTATTCACGTATTCACTAGTCACTACATGATTGTGAAGTCAAAATAAACAATGAAGGTTAATGGCTTAGATATTATAGTTGGGATGAATATAATAATATGTAATACGTAGATAGTGTACATTGTTTTTGATTTTTGCAGTATACAAAGTGACAAAATCTTGATATTGTTTATTATTACTTATGTAATGATTCATTACTAATGAAAACAAGCCATTATTGAATATAGTTAAAGGAAATTTGATGCATGACATTATGTCGTCATAATTATACCCAGTAGCTGTAGAACAAACAAGTCCAACGCCAGCCAAAACCCGTCCAGCATCGCAAGCAGGTGATTTCGTCACTGTCATCGAAGTGAATGGGCTAAAGGTGGCGGAAAGCGCCTCCAAAAAATCCGAAGAATCTTCCCAATCTTCTGAAAGTAGTAGTACTGTCGATCCAATTGTTGCAGCCAAGAAAAAAGTCCCACCAAAGTAAGTGATTGTAATTGTATCGAATTCTAGCTTTCTAAACATATTGTGGTCTTTCAGAAATTCTTAACATAGGCATGTCATAACTCGCACTTAATTGCTTCGTCATGAATTGGAGAAATGCTGCTGGTTAACAAATGTTAAATTTCTATAAATTGTTTCATCACATGCATGTTTCAAATGAATGATTACATAGTCTTCTGGGCGAAATTAAGTACCAATGTGATGATGTTTGAAACGTCTCATGAGAACTTAAAAATTAGAGTTTATTTTACAGACCACCACCTAAAGTGTTCAATAAACGTGGTTCATCGATGCCTGAAACTGGTTTGGTTGAAGACAGCCCGCCATCCTCCTTAGGAAGGAGGTTACGAAATGCCGAATCAAGGGAATCTATTACAAGCAGAGCTTCCACACCTTCTATCAGTGAGAGGGTATGTTTATTTGTTTTATTCAAGTTTCCCTGTATATATATTTATATTAGTAGCAAAGTAGATATATATATATACCTATATATAGCAAAGTCTATGAAGAGAATAAAATTAAGAATGCTAAGTACTTACATAATGTTTTATTACCATTTCAGGTAAAGAGTTATGAATCAATTAATTCTTTGTCATCGGAACGTAAGCGCTCGGGTGGCGCAGCTACACCGCGTTCTATCGACGAAGAAGTCACTTCGACGACACCAGAATTGGCTGAAGGAGAAGGTGATAAGTCAGCCCCAGAGTCTCTAGAAAGCATACCAGCTGCGGTTCCCATTGCTGAGGATGAGCCATATTACGATCAAGTTCCACTCGATGTGAATGATGGAGAATACGTTTATATTCAAGCAGGTAATTAGACACGTACATGATTTAAAATTAAAGAAGTCTTATTATTCCTTTGGACTATTGTCAAAATGTCATTGGCGAAAATGTAATATTTTTAACCCGAGGTTTTACTTTAGGCGGTACAGGTTCGAGTACAGAAGACGGCTCAAGCGGGACAAGTACTTTGCCGCTGCATACCCCGTCTGCGACTGCACCAACCGCGCCGCAAGCGCCTGACTCGCCTCCCAACGTCACCGTGCCAAATTATGTTAACATACACTATTTTATACAGTAAGTTGTTTAGTTTTTCGTACATGTGGCCTATACTTAATATGACGTTATATATGTATGATATGGCTCGGCAAGTGTAGTGTAGGACGCCCTTTGGCTAGATGGAGTGACGATCTGCGAAAGGTTGCTGGCAGCAGATAGATGCGACAAGTCGAGGACTGGGCGAAATGACACACGTAGGGATAGGCTATTGTCTATTAGTGGATTGCTAAAGGCTAAAGACATGTATAATAAATTGTATCCTTAAAACTATCTCAGAATCTCTACCATCACATAAGTTTATTAAATTAGTTGCTTATACAATATATATACAATAGTTCAGTAACTATGTCTTTATGGTTTGTAAAAGTACCACACTTATTTTAAAGGCTATTTTTTAATACAATCATATCATTCTTCACTTCTTCTATCGTATTCATACCGCAAAGTGCAAATTGAAATTAAAAATATTTTTCTTTTAATTTATTTACTAGCTATCACCCGCGACTGCGCTCGCGTTACATTTTTACATACATTACTAAAACACAAATGAAAAATTTAAGTTTGCAAATGTAAGGAATACAATTTTCTATAAATAAGGCTTTTAAAAATACTTATCTAAATAAACAACTTACCCCAATGTAGGGGTTATTTTGAATAACCCTGAATCATGTTTTTTTTATAGCATACAAACCAATTTGAAGTAAATCACACCACGCGTTAAAATTTTCTACTAACTTTAATACCCTATTGCGCGCTATTTAATAGTTTTGGAAAAATATCATACTTTTTTAGATTGGTCTTTGTAGAATATTTATACAAAATTTCATCTGGGTGATTTGAAGGAAATCAAGGAATACAATTTTTACTATATACCTACTTACGATAACGTCATGAAACATGAATGTCAATACATTGACTACAGTTTTAAAAATACTACAAAGATTAGCAGTATTTTAAATTTGTATTGATTTAGAGGCTTTTAGAATGTATCTTGGTTGTATATGATGGCATTTTGAATGATCATGATGACAGACATCTGTGATCATGACTAAATCCAATATTTTCTTTAAATAAGTTTTCAGTGGCAGATTTCAGACGGAGATTTAAGGACTTGGTAATCAAAATTGGAATGTTCGTAAAAACTTTCCGAATGCTTTAGTAAATTCTACATTGCATACTGTATTTGCAATGTGATAATTGATTCTTAATTGAAAATCCAAGTTGAACTCGTTCATTTTATTATATTCCTAGTAATTTTTATTACATCTATGATGTTTTTAATTGTATTACATGAAAACATTAAACGTGTCATATTTTGAAATACCTTCAAACAAAATCATGAAAACTGTCAAATATTGTAGATCTTTTCATCGTAAAGGTTATGTAGCCTTTGTCCACTTTTACAAATTCCCATTGGATTATTAATTATTAAGGACTTAAAAACAAAATTGTTAATAATACTAATTCTACTATATTTAGTGCCGCGTTTTACGTCGTCATCGCCATGTTAAGGTAAAAACAAGTAGTGTTCTTATTTATGCAGACATGGCAGCGAGGTCGCAGAGCCTAGTGAGTCTGGTTCGGAACTCGCGGACTCTTCTGATACTCCTCTATTTCTGAGGACTCTATCTTCCGACACTGAAGCCAGCGCCACACCACCAGTATTAAGAAAAATGCAGCATCAGGTAAGAACATTGCATCTATTCAAACGAAAATTTTCAGTTTTTTAAACTGTAATAAAGGGATCCTTGCGATAAGATTTAGATTTGTTTAAATTTACTTACCATCATATAGCATAATCAGGCAACAAGGTATCTAGTTGTATTTTAAACCACTAGTTCCGCCTTTATGACACGACTGAGAGATATGAAAATTGGCATACCTTTTGGGATTGCTAAAAGAATTTTGGAAATATTTATACAATTATGTACAAATGTGAATGCAGGGGTGCTAAACCTTCTATTTATAATGGAATTAGAAAAGGAGGACGTTCTCATTTTAACAATAAAATACTTTTACAACAATACAATAATTAACCAACGCACTACTACGAGACAAGAAAACTTTCGAGTTCGAGAGACCATGGACCAATAAACCAAGAGGGCTGTTGATCTCCATACTACAGATCGTAACTTTGAAAAACGTCAAAATTCCATATTATATCTAGATGACGCTGATCGATAGCCTGGAAGTAGTTTATACTGTGTAAATTAGTTTTTGGGGGAGGCCTATGTTCAGTAGTGGACGTCTTTCGGCTGATTTAATGATTATGATGATGTAAATTAATATGAAGTGTAATTAGTCAGTTTTTTCCTCGTAATATTATTCAAAAAATATTTTCTGAACTTCGACAAATATGCGTGTCAATAGATGGCGTTGTGTGTTACAAACTAATTTGTACATTAACGCTTGCTGGTGTGGGCAGGTGGCGCTAATCCTAAACAAAATGCAAGAATAGCCGGTAGTATCCGTAAAAATCTGTGCAATAAGCGGCATCTAGTTAATTTATTTGTTATCACTAGAAATTAAAGTAGCTTTGATAAAATTGTAGTTCGTCAATTATTTACAAATTAGTTACTATAATACCTATTTGGTACTCATCGCGACACCTGGTGTAGCAACAGGTAATAAATACTTTTTTACGATTAGCAGTTCTCTTGAATTATTGGTCCATGGAGAAACGAAGCACGAATGACATCTATGACAAGATAAAATGGCGGCACAAAAAATGTTTTTGAACCCAAATCTTTATTTAAAAAAATGATTGGTTAAAATATGCGGTACTTGGCTAGTTCTATCTCTTTGGTTTTTTGTTTTGTAGCGTTTGTTTGGCTTTCGTCTGAATATATGAAGAGGCTGTATGTATGGTGGAACTTTTACCTACCTGGGTTAAAATTTATAAAAAAATTGCGTTTGTTGTCATGGATTGTTAACAAAATATACATTAAATACATTGGTTCTGTTCATTGACTTACAAATAAATGGACGACGGGTCTAATACAAAAACCACGAAAAAAATGTCCCAAGTCAACCTATTCGAAATTTAAATTGTAATGTCATCGCAGTATCGCGCTGTCAGTAGAACAAATGTAGACTAAAGCGGAGTGTCGCGCTCTGTATACGATTTTAGCGCCTTACAAGTGCGGACACTTTTTAGCGCGAACCCGACGTCCATATAATTGTAAGTCAATGGTTCTGTTACATAATTTAGTTTACTCGTAGAATAAATTGCACATAGCAATCATTACATAATTAGGTCTTAAAATCTCGTACCTATTACTTGGGCCGTGTTTAAGAACACTCATTATGCAACGATTGCATAAAGTATTATTACGCAGTAAAAATTATAAACCTAAATTTTATTTATTCTTCACTTCTCATGCTCTTAAAGTTCATGTATATGCTGGGTGTAGGCTGCATAAAATAGGATTTTATGTTCTAATTCTAGTGCATAAAATAAAATCGTCGTTTAAGACCGGGGCAATGACGCCTGCGCCAACAGCCACGCACACTAGAACTTTATAAAATAAAGTTTTACTTTTGATTTTTTAATCCGTGTTATACAAAATTAAAAAAGTAGGCAATAGTAATTCTAATAAGTTATAAGAAACAGAAAAGCATAAAAATTAAAAGCTTGTAAAATATAACTGAGCATTATGTAGTCCGACCTGAGTCACGTGTAGAAAAAAAAGTAGTACATTGGCGGAAAGTTCTTATTTTTTCTTGGCAATAGTTGTGTTATCGTTTATTTGTAATATTGTTATTTAATTTCCTCGCAATCGAAGTGAAAAGCAGAGTGTATACTCGTTCATAAAATTCATTGTACCTTCGACTTAAGTATCCACCCTCGCCTGCCGCTCGGGTGGATATACTCGTCTCGGGTAACACGACGCGTTGTATTCACTTGTTGTACAATCTACTATATTTATTATATTAAACAAAATTAAGTAAAAATATACATTGCAAAATGTGAATTGTTCTCAGTTTATCAGATTACAGTTAGAAAAGAGTTTGTTATAGTAAAAAATAGAAAACTATCATTTAAAATGTATTTTTTTGATCGATTATCCCCTTTGTTTACATTTTGGACATCTAATTATGCTTCTTGTTATATTGGGGGTGTAGTAGAGAACAGTTCCTATTCTTATAGTGAATCATCAAGTTACACTCAGAAATGGATTTTCACGGATAAATAAAACTATATGTCTCTTTCGATCTTTTATGGCGTTGGCTTACAACTTTAGCCAACGACATTCTGTTATTATATTTTTAAAACAATACATGTCAAAGCAAAAGCACTCGCGTTTTGTATTATAACTCTAAAATCATCACTTATGTAATATTCTGTTAATAAGTTTTATATTAGTTTGTTCACTATTCTCTGCGGGCCTATTTTTATTCCTATTCTCTGCGGGACTATTTTTATTCCGGTCGTCCGAAAGAAGAATGTTCTTGCTAAATCGATCCAATTTTAATATACCCATAGAGATTTTCTTAGAGCATTTATTGTCATCATTCAAAAGAATGTATTGGCAGTATTCAATTTCGCACTTAACGCCCTCGCATTTAGAATAATAGCATATTCCATCTGCACATGAAGAGTGTATATCGAGATTTCAAATTAGTTTTTTGTAATACCTGTTGCATAAGTCTCTATCATGGAAAGAATGTGTTGAGATAAAATTTTATCAATTTGAAATAGGTAAGAGTAGTCCCTTTGCTGATAAGGTGGCTTGTTTAGACCTGAAAAAGATTCTAATGTTAGAAAGAAAGGGAGTGTTAAAACTTATCGAGTTCTTTGGTTTTCGCGATTGTTACACATAGGAAATGAAACTATTTTTCCGGATTTAAATCGCGTATATTTTTATTTTATTTTTCAAACAAACCGAGACGTTTCGGGCATTTTACAGGTCACGGCTGACTGAAAATAAATATACGCGATTTAAATCCGGAAAAATAGTTTCATCTCCTAAGTGTTAAAACTTGTTTACTAATAAAATCTTTAGATACAAGTATATTATTGGTAGAAATAATTTTTGTACTTGATATAGGCATACACATTCTGACTTTGTTTTTGTTGTAACGTAAGTGATATTATTATGTTATTAGAATCCTGGAATATATGGAGATCGTTTTTCATAGGGGGAGCAGTGTGTTTATTGTCTTTAGCAAATTTTTATTTGCAAAAATATATGTATGAAATATACCTACCCTACGCCACCTACCTTATCTAAACATTAATCAATGTTATATTGTATGCATTCTTGTGATATGCATTAAGCGTATCATAAGAATTTACTAACCTTATTTTGTGGATTTGCAGGCTTGTCTACTTTGACTTGCGACCCTTTGTTTGCCGTTTTTTCAGTAACAGTTGACGATAGGACAGCCTCTAGTTCTAAAGGATGTTCCTCAATGGATTGATTGGCATTAGAATTGTTTTCTGTAGACAACGAGGGTTCAGGTGCTTTCGTAGAATCCGGTATATTGTCTTGCACCGTTGGTTCTGTGTTAGGCGTAGGTTTCGGTGGTACGGGTTGTTCAGGCTTCACAATAGTATTATACTCCCTGCATTCTCCTCTCAAATCCGTATCATAAATGTTGCAAGTTGCGTTTTTACATCCGTACTTGTCGCACTTCATCGTAGTACATGTTTGATCGTTGCACCACACAGTAACGTTGTGTTTTGCAATCTCTATGTTGTCATATGGCCTATAAACAGGTGTACCATTGAGTTGCTCGTCTACGGCAGGCGTATCAAATTCGCTGGAACTCCACCACGAAAAAGGATACGATATCCATCCCCATATTGTTGAACCAATCCCTCTACCCTCTGTTAGGTAATCTGCAAGCGATGGCGTTACGTTAGTTACATTTGTAACATCTTGTTACATCATTAGTATTCATTGCAGAATCAAATTAATCTGTACTTGTATAAAAGTTGCATAAGTTGTTGGTATTAAAGTTAATACTGTAAAAAAAGAAAAAATCTGTAACATTGATCACGTACCTGATGGCTTAGCTAATGAAGAAGATGCAAGACACAAAATATAAATGTACTTTACGAAAAGCATGTCGACAAGTAACCGTATGTTGGCTATCTGGATCACTGGAGTAAATGTGGCTACCCTCGTCGCTGTCTTATATACCCCCCATGGCCCAAGATACGCTTCTAATCTGACAATGTGATAAGCACCGTCGGGAATGTTTACTTAATGAGAAACAAACGACTGCGCCGTTTATCCTGTGACTTATGATGTTACGTCTCTTATACAAGATAAGAAATACAAACAATCCATAAACTAATCTTTTAGCGTTATATATTATGGCTAAACACGAGTCTCCTGTAAGTAGAACTCCACTTACTCTTGTGTCTCTAATGTCTTTTTTAATTGATCTCACCATATTATGGGATTATAATGCAAGAATTAAATTGTGAGAGTTTTTAATTGTATTTTGTTCCCTTTCTGGAAAAAACCGCAGTGCATTGAGTGTTTTTCATTAAAATAACTATATCTATTGATTTCTTTACGTGTTATACTGTGTAACCATGTTTTAGGCCGTCGTTGAATTTCACTTGTATTTATTCTCAGAAAATATACGTTTTATGAAATAACTTAGTAATAGGAATTTTTGGAGCAACTAGTTTTAACTACCACTACTACCACTGATATAGTTTTATTTAGGTATGAAATAAATAGCAACATATTTATGTTGCTATAGAAACTAGCTTAATGTATTTACATTAAACTAGTGTCTATTTCGCGCTTTAACAGAACGAGAATTACGAATCAGCTTAAGCTCCGCTACGTTTCATTGTCAGGAATTCCTTCCTTATGGTGGTACTTCACATGGCTGTTTGTATTGCATATTTGATATATTTGGAAAATGATCGCCATAAGTAGATAGCATGAATGGCAAAGTGTTCGCCTTGTTTGCTTATTCGACAAATACAGCAAACACCAAACACGCGTTACCGCGAGTTGGTTCGTTCCTCGATGCACATCAAAGTATTCAAATACACTATAAACCGTCCACACTATGGTCATATTCTTTATTTGAACTCCTTATTTGTCTGTGCTGATTGTTTGTCTGTGCGACAAATATTTTTTTAAGTATAAGAAATACCTAATAGCGAATACAAATGTCATGTGAAGTGCCACCATTGTAGTTGTACACTCGTTTAACATATTTCCACGAAGCGAATTTACGGTGTTTTGGCTATTACGTTATTATGTAAAGCTGTTTAAAACGCTATAACGAAAAGACATCACCACCATCACCATTAAGTAAGTTCGACGGGTTAGGCGTTACCCCCACCACCCGACCCAGTGTAGATTAGATACTTCACAAGTCTTCGAGGTTTTAACACGATATTGTTATTAATCGTCAAGGCATAGTGTGGTGCAGGCCATTTGTTGAGAATCAAACCCAGGGTCACCTACATAATTATGAACAAGTTATCGCAACTAAACTACCACTGCTGCCGTTTTTACGTCTAATAATTACTAATTTTGGATAAAATTGTAAGACATCCTTTCGTATTGTAGAGGACGAAGTGACGACTGGCCTTTGTGGTAACGCCTAGTATGCGGTATGGTGATCGCATACGCTCCGGGAAAAGCTAGTCTAAGAAATGCTTTAACACATTAACTTAACTCACGAAAAGAAATGGCACGCCATGTATTACTATTTGTAACCGTTGCTTATCAATTTCTTAATTTAGAAGAACTTATTTGATAATAAACAAAAGATTTTTTTATGTCTGTCCCCTCTTCTTTGTACCGGTTAGGATACTTTACCGTGTTCATTACTCTTACTACGTAAATAAAATACAATATTAATTTCGGATTAAAATACAAACATTACCACATTTGTATAAAAATAGGTGTCTTTCGTTTGTCGTAATGTAAAAAACACATTTTCCTTGGTTTTTGGGAGCGTATTTAGGCTCAATTTACATTGCCGCGGAAGGGAATGGAAGCGCATTTTTGTAACGAAATAGGACGTAGCATAATGAACTCTATGACATTTTGCGTAACGAGCCAAAAAACAGGACGTGCGTCTTGCGAAAAATTCTCACGCAATTTTTATGACAATTGACATAAAGTTCGTATTAAACAGAATACCACTAAATGTCCTATTTGCTACTTTAGTGCGTCATTGCTATATGCCACCATTATTGTACTCTTTTATAGATAGATAAATAGATAGATAAAACGTTTATTGTTTTGCACACATACAACAATATAATACAGTAAATGGATTAAAAGAGAAACACAGAAATTAAAATTAAAGAAAATAAAAACAAACAGCAAAAGATTAAATTAAAAAATATATGAAAACATAATCTAATGATCAACACCTTGTGTATGCTGCAGCAAGCCAAATAGGTCGTGGCTCTGATTATCAGCCACCACGTTAGTGTGCATATCTGTTAGTACCGAGACGTGATGTAGGTTATAAAAATTAAAGGTTGTAGGTTATACAAATTAAAGAGAAAGAGAAATAATTGTATGGTCTACATTTATTTTTCTCGTGAGTTTGGGTGTAATTTGTGATTGTCTATGTGTGTCCATGGCACCTGCGACACAGGGTTTCCCTAGTGCGGGGCTATTTTGAGTGTGTGCGTTATTATTATTATTAAAATAATGATAATCAGTATTTATTATCTATGAATTGGTAGGCCAATGGCTACGAAAGTCATTGTAAACATTAAAATTAAAGAAAATGCCTATGATATAAAGGGACTTCATTTTACTAGTACGTGGGGCTCACTATAAGTTTCCGGAATGAATATGAAAAAAATACTATAAATGGTAAAAAATGAATTGATTGTTTCTCAAAATATTCTCCGTTAGCGTAATTACTTTTAAAGCACTTTTTTATACGAATGAACCAATTTTGAAAACATTTATGCCACTCCTCCGTGACTATCTCTGAAACAAATTTTTCATATTCTTCGACAGCCTCTTCAGGTGAGGAAAATCGTTGACCGCGAAACTGGATCTTAATTTTTGGAAATAAATAAAAGTCACAAGGTGTCAGGTCGGGACTGTACGCGGGATAGCTCATAAGGTCAACGTCGTTCACCTTCGAAAATTCATTTGCCTGTCTGGCCGTTTGAGAACTGGCATTATCGTGGTGGAAGATGATACGGCGTTTACGGTTATTTTTACGGAGTTTGTCAATATTTTCCGGCAAACAAATGGTCGTGTACCAATCACTATTCACGGTACAACGATTCTCCAAAGCAACAGTAGCCATATGTCTAGTTTTATTAAAAAAAGAAGCAATCATTCGCTTAGAGGCACTTTACACGCGCGCCACTTTGGTTGGTTTCGGCTCATCTCGAAAGACCCATACGCTCGATAGCTGCTTTGTTTTGGGATCGTAACTGTAAATCCACGTTTCGTCACCTGTACTATGTCCCACACCAAATTTGACGCCCCTTCGTTGAATTTGGTTAGCATGGCATTTCACCAAGGGACGCGATCCGTTTTTTGAACCTCAGTCAAATTGTGTGGGATCCACCGAGAGCACAGCTTTTTCACACCCAAATGTTTGTAGTATTGGTTGTATTTGACTCATGCCTATGCCTAAAGATGCCCGAATCTCATGGTATGTCACATGCCTGTCTGTTTTGATCATACGGCGCACAGCATCGATGTTTTTGTTGTTCACAGCAGTGGACGGGCGACCATGACGAAATTCGTCACAGAGATTCACACAACCGCGTTTGAATTCTACAAACCAGCTATAAATAGTCGTCTTGCATGGAGCTTCATCGACAAAAGCAGTTTGAAGCCGAGCGAAGCTCCGGTGAGCTGTCCGGTGATCTTGACTTGAGCATTGAGTAGAGTTCTAGAATACGAACCCTTAAAGTCGTAGAAAATCATACTACGAAAATTTTCACGAGTTAAATCCATGGTGATGTACACAACCAATTTCTAAAATGACGCAACAATGTAAAAACAAGTGACAGCCAGATGAAACAAACTGTATTGCACAGCCAAAGAGTTCCATTTTCAAATGTTTTAATTACTTTTAAATACTGTTTATGTAAGTGGCCAGTTCCGGACACTTATAGTGCGCCCTATGTAGAAGCCTCCGCTGCGTAAAGCGTTTAGGAACACCCAGTTTTTGCCTATCAAAAATAAATTTCCATAAATGTTTTTTAAAAATACCTAAACTTAGGTTGAAGGACGCTAAGCAGTGTTGGAATATTATTCCAACACGTAGCTTGATAGCGGAAGCTACCAGTAAAGGCCACAGTGCGCTGAATTTGTCCCACCAACAAAGTTTTCACGGCTCTAGTGGAAAATTTGTCGTGAAAATTGGAGAATTTTAACTTTCCGTACAAGTACTCCGGTTTTTGGAACTTTATCACGCCAAATAACATACACGCGAGATGTAGTTGTCTTCGCGAGTCCATATTTAACATGTTTGCATTATTTAAATGTGGCTTGATATGGCTGCGAGGTGGGATTTTAAAGCAAAATCGATAACAAGCATTTTGTACACATTTAATCAGGTGTTGGAATTTGCTCATCAAACGAGGACCGTAAACGATGTCCCCGTAATTAAGTTTGAAAAGGATTAGTGATTCGCAGATGGTAATATGGGCATGCTCACTTAAATAATTACGTATTTTGTATAAAATTTTAAGACTGTGATAGGTGTTTCGTAACTTGATGCAGTATGTGACTCTCAAACCGTAATTGACCATCAAATGTAATGCCAAGATTTTTTGCCTCTGTAACTCGAGCCACATCACTACCCGCGACCTCGATTTTTGGATCTTTGTGTAGCTGATTTGTTTTTTACTACCAAATACAATAAACTTGGACTTATCGGATTTAGAATTAGTGCATTCCGAGCAGACCAATCAGCAACTCTCTCAAGGTCATCGTTCATACATATCTTCGCTTCGTATAAATTATTGAGTGAATCTCAATATATACAATTGATGTATTCAATATATATAATTGATATATACAACTGAACGTCATCTACGTAACAATGGTGCCTACAATGTTTTATAACTAAGCAAATCAGCAGTAAATGACGAACAGTAGTGGTCCCAGTAATTATCCTTTTGGCATTCCACTTTTTACTTGAAGAAAGCCGAAGACCACACTGGAGCCGTCTCTCCCAGAGAATTTGACTGCCTGGGAACGGGTACCAAACCAATGGTTTGAGAGCTACTACTTTGTTTTACATAAAGTTTCATTCACGAAATGTTTTTCTAATATTCAAGGCAAATTTTTTAAATTTATAGTTTTTATTTAAGTTCATAAAATAAAACACTTACAAACACATGTAAATACTTTTCAATGTCATCTTCTGTGGTGTTCGAGGGGAATCCATACAGTGTTTTGGTATATTACATTTTTAGTAGAAACATTTTGACAAGTTGTTACTTTGTTTTCGGCACTGTTTCCTAAAATTGGTCGGGGGGCCAAACACAATACACAAAATTTTGTGATGTTAGGGCACGTTAAGAAAAGGCAATATTTTGGACAACATTGTAACAGAATTTTCGTTTTTACGGCCTTTAACTCGAAATTGCTGCCAGTAGCATCCTGTATAATATCGAAAATATTTTTTTTCTTCACTGCTTTCATACTGATGAAGTCTTCCGCGGATACCAGTTTTGTAATCATATTTCCATGTTTGTCTAAATCAATTATTTTAGGTAAAGCTCGCATATTTTTCCAGGGATTCAGGAAGATTTCTTTTTTGTTCTTAATTAAAAATCACAAACCAATGTCATGTTATTATTATTTTAGAAGCGACCAATAAAGCAAAAGGAAATTTAATAATTTATTTACGAATTTAACGAAGATTAATATTAGTCAACTAATAAATACTCACATATTTTGAAGTAATTCTGTGTGTTGGTTGGTGGCTGTTGACTAAAGCGATAAAAACTGTCAATAAGATTGTCTCATATATATGTCGTTCCATCTTGAGCAACTAACTACTAATGCTTGCGCTTAGATTTGAACTTTAAAGTGCTTATACGTGTTGTTTTACAAACAAAGTTGTTTTTGGTCGGTTCACCTAAACATAGTTTACACAGGTGTAACAAAAGAAGTCATACTTAGGTGGTCGTGAGAGTGCAGTTTAAAAAACCTTTGAGTCCCCTTACAAATTTTGGATTAGCACGTGAAATCTTGTAGACTTTCAGTCGAAACGTTTTGACAAGTTAGCGGTTTCTTGCCATCTGAACGTTGTCGTCGGCGTGGAACTTCACACACTACACAAATTTATTGAATGTTTGGGCTTGTTAAGAAATGGCAAAAGAATGCAGAACATTAAATTTCAACATTATTTTTGATTTCTTTAGTTTTTTGCGGTTCTCTGCTACGCCAATGGCGTTCTGAATGGTATCATAAATATTTTTCTTAATAATAGGTCGTTGCTATCTGGAGTATTTGTTTTTGTAATAGATTCCTCTATTGTTTTCATATTTACCAAGTCATCTTTGGGTACAAGTTTTGACGCCATATTTCCATTGCCATCTAAATTTATTATTTTTGGAAAATCTCGCATTTTTTTCCAAGGATTCAGGAACATTTCTTCGTTGTTCTTTGATAAAATCACAAATAATTACATTGTTATTATTACGAAGTAATCAATGTTCTCTAAAGAACAAATTGTAAGTCAATGAGAATAAATAATAGTGAAATTAAAAATTAACATTACCAAATAACAAACACTTACATGTTTTGACTTATTTCTATTTGTGGTTTGGATGACGTTGAATAAATTGATAAAAACGATTAGTAAGAACGTGTTACATATTCGTCGCACCATCGTGAGCGACTAACTAGGCGTGCATGCGCTTAGATCTGAACTTTTAAAATGCTGACGCTTGTGGTTTTATAAACACAATTGTTCTTTTAACCGTTTTATTACCTAAACACACATTACTGATAATAACATTATACTTACAGGAAATTACATAATTTTGAAATTCTTTATGTTCGGACAGTGGCCTGTCTTCAATTCTTTTACTGAACATTTCGATTTTAAGAAATTTTTCTTACTCGCAACAAAACTGATACATTTGGAACTTATACAAAGGGTCACCTTTCCAAATAGCTTTCCCAACATCTTGTCTTGTAAAATGTCTACAATCTCAAAAGCAACATTAGAAGGTAAATCCATGATCGATTCCAATGATGCGACACTATCTGCAACCAGAAAAAAAATTATTATTATAAGGACGAGTGTATACAATATTTTTGCAGTAAACATATTTATGATACTGGTATACTAACCGGTGTCGTTAGAGCCAGAACAGTGTCCTCTGTGGTTCCATCGCTCATATGGTACGCAAAGTCTATGGACACAGGTTTTTTCAGCACATTTCATGGAATGACATACATTTTGAGAACAGAAAGTTAATACCCCTCGTAAGTATTTTCCTACAAACGACATGAATACCGGTGCTACTGTGTCTATATCGTCCCAATTAATGTCGCCAAATATAGCCCTTTCTAATGCCCTTGTACGGTTATTGCGTATAGCTTCTTTGGTCATATTCACCTTCGCTTTTTTATTCTCTCTTTCTAAAATAATTGTTGTTATATTTCTTGAATTCACATTGGATTGATTCTTATAAACTGTTGGCCAGTACACTAGCTCAGCGTCTGCTACTATTAATTTATCTGATTTTTTGGTATCATTCTTCTTATTCGATTCATTTGTGATGAATAACTTATTTTGTCTAGTAGCATTTATTGAACTGGTCTTATTATAAGCTGCTTTGGATTTAGCGGCCGGCGTCATTTTGTGTGTAGCAGGTTTCTTTATAATTTTTTGATTTGTATGGCTAACCTTCTTTGGGGGTTTTTCAGAACTATTTTTTTTCGAAATTTCGCGTTTCTTACGCTTATTGGATAATTTCTCGATAGGCGCGTTCGAATCCACTTTTAGAAATTCAGTTTCTACACTGTTTTCAATTTTGTGAATGTCTTCTGTTGTATTGTCACCACTGTTCGTAATGTTTACCATTACAAAAATACTTTCCTCCGTTTGTGTTTCATGGGCAATGGACGATTCTGTTGTTTTATTGACAATGTTAGAACCGCTGTTATTAACATTTGTTTGTAACTTATAGGTGACTAAAGAGTTGTTTGTAGTGACTTGGTTTGTATTGTTAATTTTATCATTAACATCAGTCCAATTGAAGTTTTCGTCCATGTACGGCTGTATATTCAAAGATGGTTGGGGTTGAATGTTTAAATTGTGAAAATTTACTGTCTTTTTTCGGTGCTTTTTGCTGCCACTACTAACCCGCGACTTCTTTTTTTTATGTACTGCTGTTTTGTGTCCTGAATCATGACTATTAATTTTTGACATTCTTTTATAACCAAACATATCCATCGGTATGGGAAAATTAAAATATGGAAATGGTAAATTCAAACTAGATTCTTTAGAATTTCCAATGTCCTCGCGTGACCTGTTCTTGAAAAATCTGCCAATTGTTTCTTGAGTTTTAGGTAATTGTATATCAACTTTAATTCTTATGTTTAGGGTATTATCAGAATCTTTTAAGTTGTCTTCTGTAGTATATTCCGAGTTCTGTGTTTGCACAATGTTGTCTGCATGCTGCATATAATTTTGTGACATTGTATCAAATGGTAATAAACATTGTTTGCATTTACAGTCACATGGTAATTGAGGGTTCTTACAGTAACATGAAGATTTGATTGGTTCTAATTTCTGACTGGGAAATATTGGAGGTAGTTCTATCAATCGTTTCTCTACAACGGAGAATTCGTCGTGGTTTACCTTTGGGTGAGGTGTAGTTAAGTCGAATTTCGTAAAGTATCTTAGTTTTGGATTGGAATTCATTGGTATAAGTATGTCCAATGGATTTGTCAACGGCATTTGAGGGTACTTGTTGGGAGAGTAGTAACTGTTGGAATAGTAATAGTCATCGTACTTGGGGTTCATGCTAGGCTTTGTTTTAGCAAACCTGTCACGGCGCACAGATGGTACTTTGTTTTTAGCTTTAGTTTTTTCATGATAATTTATCTTTTGTTTGTGTGCTTTATCTAAATAGCGTTGATATTCTGTCAGTAAATCTTCGACATTTTCATCGCTCTCACTTCCACTTGCAATGGCATCTAAAGGCGTGTTCTGGATTTTTTTGAAATATTTACTACATTAGTTACATTAATTAAATACTTTCAAAATCAAAGGAATGATAACAAAGCAAACAATACTTGCCATATTGTTTTCGAATTCGTTTATGATATCAGCCACGTCACTTAGAATGATTGTGTCGTAGAGAGGAGTAAAGTCGAGTCTGTTTACTTCAGAACCTGTTACAGCAACAATATTAACTACGAAACCGTTATAACAAAAGAAAAAAAAAGTATATATGACTTTACTTACTATCCGCCTCGTGGCTCTGGGCTGTATTTAACCACAGTATCGAAAATAAAATTAATCTAAATTTCATGGCTCGCATGTTTCGAACGTGTCAGAAGTCAAAATGTCGAGCTTTTCCCAGAATCATCAGTTTGATCCTAATGTTTACAGTTTTATAGAGCTTGTTGCTCAAACAAAAGACCTTAAATAGCTATTGTACAGCGTTACGAAGGAAATTATACAACCTTACTGATTAGGCGTTAAGTAAGCATGCTGTTTTCACCAATTTCTAAAAAAAAAATACATGCGAATAGTTATATCAGATTGTAAAATAACTGACGATTAACAGGTTGGAAATGAAACTATTTTCTCAGATCTGAATCGCGTAATATATGCGATTTTTTTTTCAAACAAACCAACGTACCTTTACAGGTCCCATTATTATCACTGACATGATAATTGATGATTTAGGTCCGAAAAAATGGTTTCATTTCCTACGTGTAATAGTCACGAAAACCTAAGAACTCTGTATAGATTAGCAGGTTACTTTGTAAGTCATTCTTAACACCATTTGTTTCTTCCAATAAGATGAACACATACTTTGGACATCCGTTTGCAGTGATCTTATCCTGTTTCATTTCCTCGACTCAGATAAGTCTTTCATGCACGCTCTATTTTTTATTTCAACGTTCATCTCGCGGTACTTTTAACCTAACCTTTTTTAAGAACATCCTCGCCATTATATTGCTAAAATCCAGCTTTCACCGTGCTCCCACCCACATACACTCTAAAAATTTATGTCGTTAAGCTTGTCTGTTATCCATGTTTTCCACATGACATACAATCGATGCATTCCATTTCCTATCGTTGTCCCTAGAGAAACACATTTATAATAACGATATCAATTTCAGCTTCATTATTATGTAAATAAGTAAATTATCAGCAAATTATGAACAGTAGGTGTTTGTTGTTACTTTCAAATGATGACGTGTCAACATAAGTAGGATTACAATCTGGTACGGAACTTTCTATCAATGCAATTTGGTTATCTGTTTTGTTGTACGTATAATAAATAAGTAAAAAAAACCATTTATAATTGAGTATTTTTTTATAGGACTCGAGCAATAGCAGCAATGCGGAAGCCGAACGACTTACGATGCACCGATGTATTGTCACTAGCATTATCGAGAGCGAGAATGTTTATGTGGAATGCCTTTATGTTATGGAGAAGGTATTAAACAAGTTCTTGGACCAATCACTTTTATTCACAAAGTTGCAGACATATTTTCGACGCGATCTCAACTTTGTTTTAAGCTTCCTAATGTTTATAACATACTCTTGAATAGTGGGTTTTGCTCTATTTGTCTATTAAACCGATGCCACTCTGTCTTAATAACTATACCGGAGTGAAAGCTATGGCGACGTGATGCTATATATATATACTATATATATATATATTACGAAAGCAATTTATTAACATTGAATTGTCATGACAGTCATTCACGGGGCTGTCGCCATGATATCTATAAGATTGAGTTTCAAGACTTTGTTACGACGTACGAGTAGGTACGCCCGGTACATGCGCACGTTTTCTATGATGGTTGATAAAGAGAACATGATACTTAAACATGATATTTTAAAAATAATTTCTGTGCTACAGTACATGAACGCGATAAAAGCCACACTGTCAACGTCCCAACCAGTCATAACACAGGAAGAGTTCAATACGATTTTTTACAAAATATCGGAGCTGCATGAACTACATAAGAACTTCCTGGAGGGACTGAAGAACGCTGTCGCTAGTTGGGAAGAGCCTCTTTCTGTTGGAGTTCATTTCAAGAAAATGGTACAGACCTTTTTTAAATTTTGTACAGACAGCAGCATATCAAGCGACATATTGACGGATCTTGTAGCGTTACACTGAAGGCGATATTCGAACAAAAGTGTATTGCTTGATGTGCTGTTGACTCTACTCTACTGTTTACAATTTTTATAACAATGTGTTCTTTGTACTATGCGCATGTGTTTTGACATAAACCTACAAATAAGCCTTATTCACAAAATAAAAAGGAAACATGGACGCGGGTGCTGACTGCACTCCTATGGTGTTATCTCGCTGCAATCGCTCGTTGACTATGAATATGTTCGCTTGACTCCTTATTAAGTAGAAGAGTTTGATTTTTTACCACGGCCACACCCGGGCTGTCATTGTGGGGGATAAATAAATTACGATTTGTATAACGCAAATAAAATCACTGAAAATATTGGCACTTCTAGTAACAGTAGAGGTCCTTGTAAAAGAGTTCGTCCAGGGTGCTGCCGCCTTACATATCTCTGCCGCCAAACAGTAATGTCATCGTTACTGTGTTCCCGTTTTGAAGGATAATGGTGTTGGTGAAATGACAGGCACATGAGACTTGCCAACTTATGTCTCAAGGTGACGGGCGCAGTAGCCGTGCCTCTCAGACCTTTGCGATTTGAAGCTCTGAGTGATACTGCAACTGTTACCACCAGGCACACGACTTGCTCGTCCTGTCACTTGATATTATAAAAAAACCCTCTTTTACTCTTAATAGTACGTAATAAATATGTTCAATAGAAATAACATATTTTTAGATCTGTGATACTAGGTGAAGAATTGCGAGTCACAGCACCGTCGCCATTGTGGAACTAAAGTTATTGCATTGTATTTAGGCTGAAAACATAAACATATATGGAGCGTTTCTACATAACTACGGGCGTGCGACTGACGCGGTGCGGAGAAGGTGTGCCAGCTCGACTCGATTTGCTGACCTCACCAAAGAAATCGCCTGCCGCGGGCAGCCGATGTCTCTCGACGACCTGCTGCACAAACCTGTTGCTAGAGTTCAGAAAAATGCTCTTGTCTTACACGTAAGCTCCTTTGTATACTTTAGTTGCTTCACTTTTAATTTTGAGGAACGTCAAATAGCATTCTCAATGAAAAAAAAATGACGACTAATTAAAAATACATTTAGAAACAAAATCATATTATTATGTTCTTTTGTGTGTAATGTTAATCAATCTCTTGCAATAATTACAGGATCTCATAAAATACACGCCAGCCAGTCACCCCGATCATGCGATGTTAACGGACGCTCTTAATATGACTCAGCATTTCCTCGATGAGTTCAACATTATTCAAACGAAATCTATGTTCCCTGTAAGTAAAAAGACAGTTATTTAATAGGATTGAAAATAGCGTCGACAATTTGCTATTTCATGATTGATCAGTTTTGATTACTCGAGTTGAAATAAACGAATGTTTACAGAATGCAGATCGCGCACAAAGAAGACTCGTCAAGAATTCTTTCATAGTGGAACTTTCTGACGGACATAGGAAATTAAGGCACCTGTTCCTTTTTAACGACGTTATTGCTTGTGCCAAATACAAGGTAAACTTCTTGGCAACATGAGATCTAATTTCATTCCTAATTAGTCAAATAGTCTACAAATAAAATTATAGTTAATTTAATTTGTTAATTGTGACTTATTATATTTTAGATTATTCTTAGTAAAAATCATTATAAGTCGGCAGCAATATTTCACTTTCAGGCTTCGGGTCGTGACAAAATCGCGTACGAAGTGAAATGGTTTATTCCGCTGCCTGATATAGTAGTCGTAGAGGAGGATAGCGCAGGTGTGAGCGCAGCCGACGCTAGAGAAACCTCTCCCGCTAACATTGTAGCTCTCAAATCGCAAGCGTCGACAGTACGAGACCAGATCCTTGCGGAGGAAAGGGCTGCGCATGATGACAAGGTAAAGTTTTAAGGTGACTTTTCAAATGACGCAGTCATTATCGCCTTGTAGCCAGCACAACATGACCAGTTTACGTTGAACTGTGCTGAGTTAATCACAGACATATATCTAGATAGATCAGAATCGAGAAGTGACTAAGCGGCCGTACCATGAAATTGAATGCTTTATACAAAAGTATCGCTCGTTCGATATTCGTGGCCCACTGAAGAAGTCCACAAGTGTACCGCAGTAAAAGCCGCAATGTATTACAAAGCGGCATACACTCGTATGCATATTTGTTTTCTTGAAATTCATTCGGAAAGAAAATCATTGATTTTAAAATAAATTTTTCTTACAAAATTACATAACTATGTAAGGAAACGTCCCTGCTTATTTAGCTTCACACAGCTGTGGTGTTCTTGCAGTTTCTAATGGCACAATTAGGCATTTTTCGCGTTTTCGACTGATGTTTAACTACCATAACGGCCGAGCGCGTTCTTCGTAGCAACGGCAACTACGTGTTTATAACTTACATTGGGCGCCCGAAGTAGGTATACTTGCGGTGTCTACTTAGATGTATGTCTGTGGCTTCTATAGTTTATGTCATTTACCATGTCAACAGCGGTTGTTCATACGACTTTCATCCCGAAGTCACAATTCGACAGCGAGCGATCGCCGATCATTATAAATCTATCACAATTTTGACTTTCCTCGAATACGTAAGGGAAGCCAAAGACTTAAACAATGTGAAACTGAGGCATATGTGTAAATTTGTGTTGTATGTTACGAGTTCTAATAGAACTGTACAAAGCTTAATTTACATCTAAATATATTAGATTGTCGCTTTATGAGAAACTCTTCTAGTTCTTTAACGTAGCCATATCATACAGTTTACCAGTTTTTGTACTTGAAAAATATATTTCAGAAAATAAGGCTAAGTGGTCGCGGCGCGGCTGAGAAGCAACGAAAAAAGCTAGCCGAACTTGAAGGTCAGCTGGTACTAGCGTCCCCTAACCTCATCTTCCGCGTTGGGGCTCGCATACCAGGCTCCACTGCGCTGCAGCGACAACATATATTCTTCCTCAGCTCAGAATATGAGAGAACACAGTGGATTGACTCTATACACGCTTTGCAGGTGAATACGATTTCATTTTGTTTAATTTTTTAGCAATTATTTGAAACAATGTATAGAAATATTCAAATTATGATAAACAACCATTGTTATAAACAACCCTGCAAGGGTCAAAGAAGAAAGCTAGACCAATCCATTATTTTTATAAAAAAATTATTTCAGGCATCGTCAGTGCCGCCAGCAGGCTCGCACACAGTATCAGTGCTAGAACTACAAGCTTGGGTGACGGCCTGCCGCAACTACCTCCAAGCCGATATGGGCTCGTACTTACTTAGAAGCGGGCGCGACGACTCGTTGCTCTTAGGAGATCTACAGCTGCACATTGGAGGAATGACTGCGCCACTTGACACTTCAGCAGGTGACCATTTTGTAAATGCTATTTAGTTAGTGTAGTGAGTAATTAAGTTTTACTTTTGAACTACATGTCTGATTGAGGACCTGTCAAAGCTAGATGCGAACTAATATTAAGTCGTATTTGCTGCTGGAGCGAACAAAGTAGGAAAACGGTAGAATCCAAGTAACTACATAATCACTTGCCTACCCAGTGAGGCGATAGACCTGAACGCTATATAAGCGGTAGCGTCCGGCACTATTAATGATTTGTTTATAATATTGTCGCCAGATTATTACGTAGTCGTCGAAGTGGACTCTTATGGACACTACTTCCGTAAAGCAAAGTCTAAGTTAGTATGCCGAAGTGCCCAGCCTAGGTGGAACGAAAGTTTCACTATTGATTTGGAAGGTTCGCAAAATCTTAGGCTACTTTTGTATGAGGATGCCGCAAGACCTGTATTGAGAGGAAAATGTACGCTTAAGGTGAGTTGTATCGCGAGAATTATAACAAAGAGAAAAAAAACAATGATTGTCACAATAAAAGTTTGCTTAAAATACGCATTGTCCGTGTTTGTTACCCAGCTGTCAAAAGAATGGATAGCAGAAAGTGCGAGCGGCGGTGTGACGCGCACTGTGTGCTTGGGCGGCGGGTCACTACCACTGCGCCTGCGTTTGCTGCCGCCCGAGCGCTCCGCCCGGCGCGTGCCTTCCGCCAAACCTGGTGCACTCTTCGGCGCCAAGATAACGAATGCCGCCAAGTAAGTTAAGGAATTAATTGCCTCTACGACTTGTTTGTACTTGGGTCTAAGATATTAAAAGTAAGCGAGGCGTATTCTATATCATGAATACTACCTTAAACCGTCCCGTGCTGTATAAAAAGCGAGTTTTGTACTGGAATTACATTGTATCAAGCAGTAGCTTCATACAATATGAAATTTTGTATAGGCGCGTTTTAGATATATACGTATATATAATATCATTATACAGTCTGTCTGAGTAATGTGTGCGTAAATAATAATGTAATCATTACGACATCTCCAATGAACACTATGCCAATTACAATAATACGTTTTATTAAACAGCCATATTTCTTTACTAATACTATGCTCCCCGAATTTTGTGAAAAAAAATAAAGAAACAAAAAACCAAATACGAAAAAAAAACAAGTTTTGTAAAAATACAAGAATAAAAACAGAACAGGTCCAAAAATTAAGTAGGCGTAATGTCCATTAGAGGTATATTACTTCTTCAAATAAATAACGCAATAAATGTGTAATTAATTCTATGTATATAATATCTAAATAACTCTAATGATTTTAATATTTGTAGACGCGAGAAACGCGAAATACCATTTATAATAAGTGCATGTGTGCGCGAAGTGGAACGACGAGGCATACATGAGGTCGGCATATACCGTGTTTCGGGAAGTGCCTCAGACTTGAACCGCCTCAAGAAAAGTTTCGAGACGAGTAAGTTTATTATTTATGACTGCAAAGAAGTACTACTAGTAATCAGTAGCTATGGAAACCATTCATATAGACTATATCAGCCATTAATTCCAATTCATACTATATTTTTTCCAAGATGGATGAAATGACGTTTGCAGTGTAGCCACTTTTCGTAAATTTTGAAGAAGTCAGTTGTTATAATTATTAATACAGTCAGTTGTAGCCGACAGTTATATCGATACAAAGTGAAAAGAAATTAAACAAAGGAAATATTTTTTTGGAAAAACGCTTGAATACTAAATATTATATTGATTAATTATTGCATTATAACCTCTTATTTTAGTTATTCTTATTTTGGCAATTTTATGAATCATATTTTTTTATTTAAGTGAAACAGTTTTGGCCATTAATAAATGGAGTAATTGTAACTAATATTCAGTGGAATAGTCGATATAATATTTATCAACTGCATTAATTAAACTGACATTTTACTCCATCTTGGAAAAAAATATATAATAAAAATAATAATAAATAAAATAACACACACACTCATAGCCCCGCACTAGGGGAATCCTGTATCGTGGGTGCCATGCACACACACATAGACAACCACAAATTACACCCAAACTCGCGAGAGAAATATATGTAGACCATACAAATATTTCTCCTCGCCCGGGTATCGAACCCGGGACCTCTGCGTGCCAGACTGTTCAGCCACGGAGGCAGCTTACGCATGAATACTGGATGTTTTTTATATTATTTTTTGCATTATAATTTTTATTTAAATTGAACAATTTCGGCCATTAATAAATGGTGTATGCGTAACTGATATTCAGTGGAATAGTGAACATAATATTTATCAACTGCATTCATTAAACTGACAATCACTCCATTTTGAAAAAAAACCATAGTTTATAATCATAATCGTACGTAGTTGGCCAGCAATCGCAGTTAAAGAATCATACACGGAGACACGCTGCTGGCCATTAAAGAGTTCATATTGAATTGCCTTCGTCAGTTCATTGAATACACACTGTCTTTCATTTTTCAGATGCATATGAAGCAGAGCAGTTGTTGAAAGAGGTTGACATTCACTCGGTGACCGGAGTCCTAAAACTGTACTTACGAGAGTTGCCTGAAGCATTGTTCACTGATGCCCTCTATCCTGAGTTGCTGAAAGCTTGGGGAGCTACGCAGGTTTGCAAATATTTAATTAAAAGTTTATTTTATTACACAACAAGATTAAAAATGTACGCTTTTTTTATTGACTGTTTGTGATAACAAGCGCAATTCTGGCTATCTACGAAGCTATACACAAATAGTGTACAACATATCGCAGTATACAATACTTCATTTCATACAATATTTGTAAGACCATAACCAATCTTTTTTACACAGGGAGCAGGAACGTCTTTGGACTCCGGGCCAGCACAAACACGGCGGCATGCGCTACTTAAGTGCTGCGCACTATTACCTGTTCTTAACAAGAAATGCATTGATTTCCTGCTAAATCATTTTGTCAAGTTAGTTTTATCCACTATCATAACTTATAAATATTTATGTACTATAATAATATACAGCAATGCTGTATTGCATCTTGTATACTACAAAAGTATTTTTTTACATATTGAAAAATTTTTGTAAACATTTGCAGAGTGAATCAACACGAAGCAGAAAACAAGATGTCGTTACACAATCTTGCGACTGTGTTCGGACCGACACTGCTCCGGCCTGCTAGTGCAAATGCAAATTCTAAGCAACGAACCGACTTACTAGCTGCTGGGACCGTGGATGCCATGGCGCAAGCTGGCATTCTATATTGCCTTTTGCAGCAACGCCAGCTCGCGGCACAACTGTCTTCACACCACAGAGGGCCAACGCTCCTCGAGTAATCATTTGTGAGACTAGGCTATTTCAGATTCCACCATTGTTTACAGTACGGCACGACTTTATTCATCCTTAAGGTAATGTATTTAAATCCTTTAATACATATTTTATTATATTATTATATTTTGCTGATAAAGCATTGTAAACAATAGTACAATAAATCAATTATATTACTGACATTCTAACCATTGCTGACAGCAATATTGCTGAAAGCAATGTCGCTTTTGTCTTTAGCGCTAGAGACATTACATTGAATCTTATGCATATTTATTTTAATAAGCGTTGTGATCCGATTGTACAGAGTATTAATGCCACATCACGGTATGTTGGTTGTATGATTTGATTATGCCTGTCTTTTGTAACGTATCCTCCGGGTCGAAAGATTTCACTGAAAGTAATAGTTATATATAGTATTTCAAGACAATTTGTAGTTGTTTATTGTATGTACCCAGAGCTTTTATTTAATTACATATGTTAAGCACAATTTTTTCAGAATTATACATTCGTTTTACATATTTCCTGAATCAATCGGCGAAAGTTTTACATTCCATAAGTACAGACTGAAATAGCAAGTATTGATTAGAGGAATATCATTTACACATTTTTTAACGAATAGGGGAATATACAAATCTAGTTTAAATAAAGACTGCTCTCATAATACGAAGCTATTTTTACACGAAATTCAATTAATCAGACTTTAGGGCCAAAAATACCTCATCCAAAGCAGTCCAGTGTGAGAGTAATTTTGGATTGAGAAGCAAATTAATGAAGTATTATGAAGTGGGACCGAAAACGTAATAAAGTAAATTAGCGTAAAATTGCAGCAGACTGATATTTAGTATATTGCGAAACCTTGTGTTGTTTTACGTGATTATTATGTTTCAACGAATACCTAGTTTCGTGCACAGATATTTCCACTCTGTTCTACTAAAGTTAACCTTAGATAATAATAATAATAATGTGTTGCCTAACCGTCACATGAGTAATCCATTTCTACAAAAACTGATTATAATCCAAGCCGACGAAGAGGCCGAAAAGTATTATTGCGCGATTATGTAAACGACGCAAATTTAGGTAAATAAAAAGAAAATAATACCCTAGGTTTGATTAGATACCATAAAGTAATGTTGTGAAAAAGTATTGTGACTATTTATTTCGGATGAATACTACAGGATGATGGACAACGCAATTTTCGTCCATAATAGGTAGCATTTTAAATGCTAGTAATTGTATTCCGGTACTGTAGCACCTTTATACTGTGTACTCTTCTACGATCGTAGATAATTTTCGGGATATGTAAAGGTTCGCTAGCGTGACTATTTTAGTATTTTATTTTCACACGTAGTCTTAGATCAATGGTTATAAATTAGTACTTAAAATTTTACCAAAAAAAATGAATTTCTTAGAACAAAGTTTCTTTCAACTTTTTGCATTGTTTTTTTTTTGTCAACGTACATAATGGTTGACATTGATTGATTTTGTTAAAATGATATATATATCTAAGACATTGATTGAAGGTACATAAGTGGTGTACTATGTACACCTTATTTCTTCACCAAAGACCACTGTCCATTGTATTCTATGTGACAAAATTTTTCAAATGTCTCAAATATTCATACCATTTTGTCTTAAGAATAGGCAGTTTTTTTGTATATTGAATGTTACATATGTAATTGTATTCAGTTATGTACAGACGACAGCACATTGCGATACACATTGATGGGTCTTGTTCAACGGAACAACAAAGGAAAGTGCAACGGCACTGGAGGTGATATTCGAAAAAAAGTCTATAAGCTAGATGTGCTGTAGACTGTACATACTTGAGTTCATAAACACGCAACAGATGGAAAAGTATGAATGCTTTTGTCAGCGCTGCTGGAAAACATATTAAAGTTAATTTAGTCAATAAGTAAGATTTATTATAATTAAGATTTCAATTTCGTATAGGGCACTTCAAATTTGTTAATTGCTTTGATACATCACAGAATCACATTAGGAGAACTGCACTTTTTGAGTCATTATTTTTCTATAATTCTCTTATAACTAAGATTCAAACTGATGGTGTATACTTATGCTTGCTGCCAAATTAACTATTACCAAATTCTTGGAGTGTAGAGTAATGCATACCTAAAGTGGTAGTAGTAATTAAGACATTAAAAATTGTGTAAAAAAGAAGGGAGGAGAAGCACAGAAGGCTTATTTACCAATGAATAAAAATCAATCTATTATCTCTTAGCTCTTGTTAGCTACCTAATATAGGACCTTTCCACACCTATCAAATATGTCAAACTGGTTAAGTATTGCTACACATGTTACCCTTATAGGTTCTGTATTTTTGTTATACAAGTTGTAGTGTACTGAAATGAGGTCGTCTATTTATGCTTTTTAGTTAAAAATTTGTATTTACACTTTTCGTTTTTATACTTAAACAATGTATTTAATTTGTATATAAATGACATTAAAATGTAGTTATGTATGTACCTTTTGCAATAAAATGTATTTTTAATACACCTTTATTTGGGTTTTTTATTAGAGTAAATAATGAGAGCTGTGATATCATGGGTCTCCTTTTATTATTTTTTAGATTAAATAAATAATTATATCTATCTAAAAAATAAATTGTAAAATAGTAACATTAGTAAAAATTTGGTAACAAAATCACAATAAAATAAATTATGCTTAAGTGTAATAATTCAATAATATATCCACCGCATTCATTTTTGATATTTTTTCAGCAAAGTAAATGTAAGATGCAATAGCCATTACTATAACTGAAGCTAACAATACTGATGTTCGTGAGACATAGTATGTTGTACTGAATAACAATAAGTAAAGAATTACTCTTTTCAGGGCATCATACAGAAGTTCATTTTTGACTATTTCATCCACACAGACTCCAGACCAAAGCGAAAGGGTGGCATCACAAGATGTACAATTTTTAGAGCCAGCTCCACTACAAGTTTGACATGATTTATCACAGGCTAAACATTTATAAGAACCTTGTTTGTTAACGCAATATTGGTCAGTTTTACACACACCATTATTAAAACATTCATTTACATCCACACAGTTGCCAGATTCAAGTCTCCATCCAGATTTGCAAGCAACACAGGCAGCTGCACCTTTTCCTGTACAACCATCACAAGCTTCATAACAAGCCTGACACAAGCCTTCATGATTGTAGAAATTGGCAGCACAGTCTTCACAATGCTTTCCTGCAAACCCTCTATGGCACACACAAGATCCATTTCCTTTTCGTGTGCCTTCGCCATTGCAGTTGCCATGCCCACTACAAACTTCATTATTTTTATTGAGTGGACATAGATCACAATTTTCACCATAATGCTTCTGAGGACAACAATATTGGAGATTTTCAATGCACAGCCAAGTATAAAGATCTACAGAATTGGGATCTTCATGGAACCACCATTTTTCCAAAGCTTGTTCTGCCTGATCAGCAATCACGTAGCATGGATCCTGATGTTTCTTTAGTTCAGAACACAACCCTTCTTGTACTTCAACAAGTCTAATTTCACTTCTTGCGTATGATTTTAGTTTAGATTCTTCCCAAGCGGCGTCGCCACCTTCGAATTTCCCACGGGAAGTTTTGTCGAGCCAGTGGTTAAACGAGTCGGTTAACACTTTACATCGCTGGCATTCACTAATTTTACTAGATGAAATATGATCGAGGTTTGTCATGGGCATTCTCTTGCCAAAACTTGGTTCACTAGTGATTAGAACGTATATCAACAAACATTTTACTATTGCGAACATTTCTGCCAGTTTTATTCAAGGGGTTCTTTCATAAAACATAAATTACACTTCAAAATAAATTTGTTTACTGAATCCTATCTAACCTGCAAGGCTAAACTTTTTTTTTTACTTTGACGAGTTTGATGGCTTTTCTCTTTGTAGTTTGTGAGCTAGCAAACCGAGTGACGACGTGTCGCGTTTTGAATGCACGATATTCTCAACTATACAGTAGCGATGCGCGACTTTCAATGATACTAATACTAATCATTCGAATAAGTCGAATCCAAGCACAATCATTCGACTCGAGTTGAATGATTTATCAATACCGAATGACTTATAGTCGGTTGGGTGCACGAGTCCAATGATTATTATATTCGAACACCTAATTCATCATAACCATACCACAAAATATCCCTGTCCCCGTCACATTTACAGTGTTTACCACATGTCAGAGAGGGCTAGATGATCACGAGCAGAAATACTCTATAGAATCTATGGATTAATACTACTAATTAGTAATGAATGATCATTCGAATACGAAAATTAGTAGGTTACTAATTTGACATTCGAATGACAGGAGTAGCGATTAATAACGTGTCGAATATTGAAATCATTCACAATCGCGCATCGCTATTATACAGTGTATGATCTATGACGATATGCATGCACGTTGCACATCTTGCTTGATTGACCACGCCACAGACAAACAATAGATAATAAAATAGAAATAGACTGATATAAAGTCTGACTATTTTCCATCCTTTATGGCTAAAGTACTAGCTACACAAAGAGGAAACACTGACGCTACTACCAGCATTTTGAGCACCTTGCCGCGGGGACTCAATTTTATTCATTTATTAAACTTCAAAAGATATTTCTAAACGTAAAACATAATCAAATTCGGCTATTTTTGTTGAAATAGATATGAATAAAACTTGACCACGATACAGTAGGCCAACTGTCTGAATAAAAGTAAAGAAGACAATAACGGAATTAGTAATCACGTAATATTCACAATTCAGTCATTTTTGGCAAATTTTTATCTTCTTTCCACGGACTTACAAATTCATGCTTCTTTCACACTCTATCAACATGACCAACGACATTAACTATTTAATTTTAATTTAACTTTTTTTTTAATTTTACGAAAACTGACATCTTTACAAATGTCATTTTGCTCTGTCTTTTAGACAGACCGAAAGTACTCTGTGGTCTAAATATAATAGTTTATTTTGCTAAACTAGTCTATGGGCACGAAAGAAGCGAATTTCGAAGATTTTATGTGACTGCAATTTAGCAGTCAGTTTTTCTTTCTTACTTTAAATTAGTTACTTTTACATCAGGTGTTACTTGCCTAGAATAGTTCATTATTGTTAGAAATTGGACTGTGAATACTTTGTTCTAACCTCGAAGAGCATGCGATTTTCTTTTTGTGTGAAATCTACAGCTTTGTTGTAAGATGGCAGACAAAATAAGGTAATTATCTAGCAAAAATTGTTAATCTATCTGCTATTGGTAGTATTTCATCTCTACTTGAACTCATCAGTTTTTTTTTTATTTTAGAGTCAACTCTAAATTTGATATGAAAGACAAATATGAGCCTTCGGATTCAGAAGATGAATATACTTCTACTGAGAAAAAGCTTTTGGAGAAGGTACGCAAGAGGAATCATTTACATTCTGAGAGTGAAGATGAAGTCTATGGAATCTCAGAATCTGATGAAGATTCTGATAAAAAGGACGACTTGGGTATTGCTGACAGCGACATTGAGGGCCAAGAGAAGTCAGATGATGATTTACCTGACTCTAAAGCATGGGGAAAGAAGAAAAAATCTTATTATGCAACAGATTATGTGGATGAAGACTATGGTGGATTTGGAGATGACGAAGAAGCCGCGCTTATGGAGGAAGAAGAAGCCAAGAATATTCAAAAACGACTGTTGGAACAGTTAGGAGATGAAGATTTCACAATGGAATTCTTTACAAAACAAACTGCAGAAGTTGAACAAAAGGAAACTGTGATAAAGAGTGACCTGAGTCAAATGTCTAAAAGACAAAAGGTGCAATTGTTTGAAAAAGAGAGCCCTGAATTTGCAGGCCTTATTGACGATTTCAAAACTAAGCTAACAGTAGCTAAAGATGACTTGCATCCTGTACTCGAACTTGTTAAAGATGGTAAACTTCCAACATGTCCAGCTTCCAAATTTGTCAAAACAAATTATCATCTTATTTTAAATTACTGTACTAACATAAGTTACTACTTACTTTTGAAAAGTCAAAGAATAAACATTCAAAACCATCCTGTTATAAAGCGGCTGTATCAGTACAGACAAATGTTAAACAAAATGGAACCTATTTATTTGGAAGTCATTAAGCCTCAAATAGATAAAATTTTGGAGGCACTGAAGAGTAACTTGGAATTACGTGTCACAGAATTAAATGAAAAGGAGTTAGTAGGTAAGAAACGGAAATCTGGTAAAGCAACACCAGAATCAACTCCTAAGAAACTTAAACTTATTGGAAATCTGGAGAAAGATGATGGGGAAGATACTGGAGTTTCTGACAATGAAGAAGAGTATGAAGGAAATGACTTCTTTAAGAGCGATAATGAAGCTGGACCTGTGCAAAGAACTAATGATGAGTCAGAAGAAAGCGGCTTCTCGGACAATGATGCAGCACCTACAGATGTTGAACAAGATGAGAATAAACCATCAACATCATCACAAGGAATAATAGCTGTAGAGATAGGTGACAAGCGTGAGATAACATACCAAATTGCAAAGAATAAAGGCCTGACCCCACACAGAAAGAAGGATCAAAGGAACCCTAGAATAAAACATAAATTGAAGTACAGGAAAGCAAAGATAAGGAGGAAGGGTGCTGTACGAGAGCCCCGAACAGAGGTTACTAGGTATGGAGGAGAGGCATCAGGTATAAAGGCCAATGTTAAGAAAAGTATCAAAATCAAGTAACATTTTCTTGTATTGTTTCATGTTTACAAAGGTACCTATGTAACATTATTACTCTTAGTCAAATACATAATCGATCTTAATTTCATCTTGTTTTAGTGTTGCCACCTGAAACAAAAGAAAGTAGTTAAGAAACTACCATTAAATCTTCAATAATAATTTTGCCACAAGATAAGTCTGTTTAAGTTTTTGAAATTTGACTAGCCAAATAAAAGTCGCCATTTAAAAACTAGACCGCAAAAAACTAGATTTAGTCACTCCGCCGTTCAAAACTTAGAAGGATGTTTGTCTGTCCACGGTTTATTCCAGCGGCACCATTTCTCGGTATCGTGACCACAACGCCTAGCTTAGACCTGACTACACAAAAAAATCGTGAATTTGTAAAAAAAACTACATAAAAAAGTTGGCAATTTTGTAGCATCTTTACTTACAAAACTGCAAGTACATGCAGATGGATTATTTTTTTCTACATAGAAAATGTTTGGTACTATACTGTAAGTAACCCACGCACATTACATTATCGTATATTCTGAGATATAAAATAAAATTTATATTTCTCCATACAAAATAATAATATTTTTTCTCCGAAACTATCAACTTTTCAAGAAATGACACAAAAATAAAAGTTGTTAGGAATGTTACTATGTGTCATATTTAAAAAAATCAGCTCTGTAGTCTAACTCTGTAGTGTAAAAGCTGATTAAAAAATGCCGAAATAAAAAGTATAAATTTTAGGCTAAATTATTATTTAATCATGGGAACAATTTTAGGAATACAGAGCTGATTTTTTTTCATATGATACATAATAACATTCCTCATAACTTTTATTCTTATGTAATTTCTTGAAAAGCTGATGTTTCAGAGAAAAAAGCAGTTTTTTTTTGTTTGGAGAATAAATATTTTATTTTTTACGAATTGTAGAAAAATGTAATGTGTGTGGTTTATTAACAGTATAGGTCCAATCATTCTCTATCAAGAAAAAAAAATCAATCTGCAGGTATTCGCGATTTTATGAGTAAAAAGGTGGCAAATTTTTAGATTTGTTATTTATTTTTTAACACAATATACTAGTTTCTACTTAACTTTCGTGTTAATGTTATAACACTCTTAGGGTCGTATTCTAGAACACTACTCCATGCTCAAGTCAGGATTGCAATGGAAACACAAACACTGGAAATACGACCCTAATGGCAGGTACTTGAGTATGATTTCGAGTGCTTTTAACTATACTCAAATCCTGACTTGAGCATTGAGTAGAGTTCTAGAATACGGCCCTAAATTACACTAAAATATTTTTTTCTTTAGTCGAAGCTCATGTATTTTGTTAAAAAGTGCATAACATAGTTGGCAATTTTTGCCGCACCTTTACTTACAAAGCTGCAAGTACATGCAGACGGATTATTTTTTTCTATATACAAAATCATTGGACTGTACACTACACTGTATGTAATCCACGCACATTACATTTTGGTATATTTTGAGCTAAAAAATAAAATGTATATTTCTCCATACAAAAAAATAATTTTTTTTCCCGAAACTATCAACTTTTCAAGAAACTATACAAAAATAAAAGTTGTTAGCAATGTTATTATCTATCAACTAAAAAAAAATTAGCTCGATACTCCACAAGTTATTCTTATGTCCAAGAATTATCAATTTGGGCCCACTGTGCGGCGGACCGACTAAATCTATTTTTTGTGACTAGAACTGATTAAATAGCGACTTTTTATCTGGCTAGTCATACTTCAAAAACTCGACCATGGTCACGCTGGAATAAGGCACGCAGGCGTCACCAATGTGAAATATTAATTTAATAATTGACTGTTTTGACTAGATAGTTGCCAGTACCTATATTTATTGCTTTCCAAATTAAAATATTTTAATTGATTGAAGGCCATAAGCAGCCTGATGTTGCCGGTGACATTCATCAACTAATGTACCTGTTCTGCATAGTTCTGGTGGATGGATTCTTACTTACAATTTCAATACTTTATCCTTTCCACCAGAGGCTACGTAGGCGCCGTCTGGAGACCAATCCACAGCATATACTTCGTCAGCATGGCCAGGTAAATCCAATTCCAATTTCTTGGTTTTAAGACTCCAAACTGTTACGAAATCAAAAGTTAAATTTAATTTAAAAAAAACGTGTTTTCATAGTGTTCTCCTTGTGTGGCGTAGGTACCATTAAGTTTTTGTTCATGATAATAATTTTGATATAGTTCATGGTGAAACATGAGTTTCCCGTAAAAGTAGGTATAAACTATCTTTTGTAAATAAATTCAGTTTCATTTTAGTATCATTTCATTATATTGCTATTGCAAAAAATAAAATTAAAAACCAAAAAAGAAAGATTTCCAAGAAGCACATAGAAAAATGCGAAAGGTCTTAGGAAAGGTGGTTCGTTTCGTGGATTAATTGGTAGAACATCTGGCACAGATTGCCTGGGAGTTTGAATCCAGCCGGATCGAATGAATTTTTCGAAGTGTGCGATTTTCAATTATCATTTTATATGAAGTGGAAACATATTTATAAAATATCACCTTTCAATGTAGAATCAGCACTTGAGCTGAGGAGAAGCCTCGAGTCTGCGGACCAGGCCACCATATAGACAGCTTGTACGTGCCCTCTTAGCGTTGTGATGAACTTTCCAGTAGCTGAATCCCACAGTTTCACTGATTTATCAAATGATGCTGACGCTATTATTCTGTCAAGAAGAGTAAAGAGTGAAAGTGTACGTACGTGCGTAAGTGTAAGGTGGCTTTTTTTGCTTTACAAACAGGCAAACTGTTTAATATAATCTACTAATTATAAATCTTTCATGAATAGTGTAGCGAATCGCAGCAGTCAGTTGCATATTATAGTATTTTTAAGCTTAATTTTTTAATTAAATTTTAATTTAAATGCGATTGTTCTTGGCGCCTTTTCTTCACTATTTTTTTTCTGTTTTGGAATGACAGTTCTACGTGTTTTTATGGTAAATTAATACACTGTAAGCGCATTTGCTTTGGTTTTGCTCATTCTTTGTTAGCACACTCACAAACCCTTTGATACAGTCCGATACAAATAGTAGATTATTGCAGAGCCCGAGGAATTAACGGATTGCGAAACGAGAACACGAGTTAGACAACTATATAAAATATGGTGCTTTTCTCAAACAATATGAGGAAATAATAAAATACTCTAAAGATAATGGGTTCTCTCTGCCAAATTTACAACAAGAAGCAAAATATTTTGTTGCATGCATTTATTTCTCTCGTGAGTTTGGGTGTAAATTGTGGTTGTGTATGTGTATCCATGTGAGTGATACAGGGTGTCCCTAGTGCGGGGCTATGAGTGTGTGCGTTCTTATTATTATTGTTATTATTATTATAGCTCTTTGTTAGTATAGTATAGTTAGTACTTAAAAGTTTTGTCGGCCTTAGCCTGCAATGTGTAGTAAGCAAATGACAAGCGTTGTATTTTTGAAAGTAATGCAAACATTGCCAAGCAAGTTTAAGAAAAACATAATAATAAACGTATTTTTGTAAAAAGGATCTTGGATTACTTAGACGTCACAACGAAGTTGTAGGATGTACAGAGCCCAAAATGTTCTTTGGTACGTACCTAGTATCTGGCGAGAATTTGACATCATTGATAAGTTGTTGATGGCCAGTCATCCGTGCCTGCGGCCGCTTCTCCTTTTCAGGCAGCCAGAGGAAAAGAGTGAAGTCGTCAGATCCCGATACTAGTTTTTCAGCACCTTGTTGGCACACTGTTTCATACCTTTTTAGAGCACGTTCCTGGAGAATATTCTCTGCAATTAACAATGTATATAAATATTAAAATAAATAAAATAACTAAAAAAATAACATAAAATAAATATTAAAGCTACCATTACACCAATTACTTATCTGGCCTGGTATTAAACTAAAAATTCCATAAGTACTAGAATGAAGCAAGTAATGTAACTCCGTACAAAAATAGCAGCGCGTCTTGTATGCGTGCGCAACCGCCATGCCACGTGTACGTACGCACGCATTCGCATAATAATTAAAGGCGTGTCGTTGGAATGGAACGGCCAATGTTATGTAACGCTAGTGCATCGTTAGGTTATACAAATGTGTGCGTTCGTACATGGCGCGCGCAAGCGCCCACACATATAAGCTGGGTTGCGACGTTTGTATGGAGTTATCATACTTGTACTTATTCTACTATGGTTCCACTGTGCAATCTTTCATTGCAGAGGGAGTGAGAAATTTTAAAATTGATACACAATGCAATGAGAAAACTTACTATCATTAGTTGGTTCCTGATGATCTAGAATGGGATGGAATGGTCCAGTTTTCAAAACATAATCCGTACTTAGAGCTAGAGTGTTTACCCAATGAGCATGCCCTTCTAATGTTCTGCACAGAACTCCATCTTCTGCACGCCACACCTGCAAAAAGCAATTCCAGTAGCATTAGAGCTCCTTGTGAAAGAGTTCATCCAGTGTAGTACTGCCACCTTACCTATCTCTGCCGCCAAGCGGTAATGTCAGCATTACTGTGTTCCGGTTTTTGAAGGGTAAGGGTGCTGGTGAAATTACAGGCACATGGGACTTGTCAACTTATGTCTCAGGGCGACAGGCGCAGTGATAGTGCCCCTCAGATCTTTTCAATTCAAAGCTCTGAGTGGCACTGTAACTGTTATGGACATGCGTGTAGCTTACTATCAGACGCACGACTTGTTCGTCCCGTCACTTGATGTTATAAAAAAAGTAAAAATACTGTCTTCAAATAAAATTTAGTCTTAAAAGTATTTATTTCTATTGTATGACATTCAAAAATTTGATTATAATAAGTGACTGGGTAACCTATACAAACAACATATACAGTGTGTTTTTGTAACTGGCACAGTATAGTTAAATTCGAAACTATAAGAGTTACAGGGAAACTCTTTTGGGCTGCTAACAGATTGACTGCATGTTTGCAGTTAATGCGTGAAGTAGTAATTAACTTCATGCAGCCGAGACCTCGACTGCATGAAATTGATAACGACTTCATGCATTAAGTGCATGGCATACCTAGTAAACTTTTTGGTCAAGCGTGAGTTGTTTATAAAAATGAGTAAAATTGGTTAATATTTTTTGTGCTGATCAGTTTCATGTAAAGATCATTGTATTGGAAGAAAAAAATCGGGACAGCAGAAGTTAAAATAAATATAAAAGTCAAATTAAATAAAATGTTTATCATACAAAATGAATAAAATTGCCTATATATATATTTTTAATACTGATAAACATAGTTTCATGTACGGATTATTTTATAGTATTGGAAGAAAAAAATAGGACAAAATTGATCAAATTGTATTAAATTCAAAAGCTTTTTCACTCGAAATTCATTCTATTCATTTTATTAAGGACCAACTTCTGCTGTCCTAATTTCTTCTTCCAATGCAATGAAATAGATGATCAAACGAACTTCTTGAAGTGTAGTTCGATCACTATTATGTGAGTCGCTTCATTCGAAGATATAATGTTTAACCAGATAGTTTCCTTAACTTGCTAGGCAACACTGTACGGTTTTTAGAGAAAAAAAAAATGTTTCAGGTATCAACCGCCATTTTCTATCCTAATTCCTTTTAGAGTGGGAAGCAAAACTTATTTGGGGGTTTCAGAATCTTTCCTTATGATATGACGATGTCAAGGGAAGGAGAGTGTTGATTATATCTTTGAATCAAGGAACTCACATAATAGTGATCAAACTTCACTTCGTCGTCCTTCAAATCGTTTGATCATATAGTATATATCGTCGCCTCATTCTCGATATAATATTTAACCAGGTAGAGTTTTAGAGTATTCAGTTTTGCTTCTAGTTGGTTTTATGTAAATTAAAAACCAGAGGCTTAATCGATAACTATATTATATTTTAATTAAAAATATATATAGCTATGAACATATAATGATTTTTCTCCTGAGATCACAATCATAACAATTTTTTAATCGTACAATCATGTAATAATTTTATAAATAAAGATTATTATTATTATTAATTTAGAATAGTATAATTTGCCGTTTTATTATGTTGTAAGCAAATAGTTCTTGCGAACGTGTGTTCGTCTTCAGTAAGTATTAGTCTATTATAAAATCTAGTAAAGGATGTGAGATGTCGGAGTCCAACTCGCAGCCTTGCGTATGAGCTCAATCGACACCTCAGCCGCGCGCGCGCGGCCGGTGTGGAGGCGTGCAATGCGCGCTGTAAACGGCCGTGTGCACACTCGCTGCGCCGCATCCAACACTTGCCGTACACATCGACTCACGGTCTGACTCGTGGCTACTCTGTAGGGAGCTCTGTGTGTCACCAAGAGCGTTCCCTGACGTCCGGTTGTCTTATTTTGTATTACCAAAATATAATGTTTGAAAACTGCGACAAGGCAAATATTTTTATCCTCTCTAAAATATGGAAAATTTAATGTGGGCTGTACGCGACCAAGCGCAGACGTTTTGATCAAATCAGGTATTGCAATTTTAATCGGAATATCTGATATTTGTATGTTTTTCATTCTAATCAATGCCAGTTTGTACACGGTGTGCAGTACAAAGTGCAAGTAAAAGAATATGTTTTTTTCGTAAGTTTTTGAAGAGGAAGTCCTGTGTTGGGAAATCATGTTAAAACTAATACGAGAACGACTTGGAGATTCCAAGTATTGCTATATTTTGGTGCACTGGGTTTCAATCTAAATACTTAAGTAATCTTTTTATGCGGACGTCGGAGCCTGTCTCAGGCTATAAAAGAGATAAAACAGAGCGATCGTTGTTCATGGTTCCATACGAACTTATAATTCCTGCGTTTAGAATTTTATTATTTATGTCATTGATATGTTAAAGGGATTTAGACTGTTATTATTGCAAAATTCCCACCAGTTTTAGGGACACATTATATTGTCTAAGTGTATTTTGAGAAAGAGAATCTAAGGGTAAAGTCATCGCCTCTTGTGGGACTCCGCGGGAGGCGAAGGACGCGCTGATAACGGCAGAAAGGGTAAGGCTGGTGTGCATTTGATGAGGCCGCCTGCAGTAAGATTTAATAATGATTCACTTGAGTTAAAATATATCACGTCGGAAATCAACAGGCTTTGCAGCAGGAGGAACCATGGCTTGGAAGGCCAATATGAAAAACTAAGAGTACCATTTGTTTGGTCATCAATCATTTTGCGTATGCATTTCAATAATAAAAAGAAGGGTGGGAATGCGTAGAAAAAAATGAGAATTCCAATTAAGTGTAAGGCATCTACGGCAAATGCATCTGGTTCCTGAAACCGAGAGACAAAGTAGCGGATTTTGCATAGGTGCGGGTTGCAAAACGATCAATCTCGGGTTTTCCGAAACGTCTGATAATGGTCTGGAAGGCGCGAGAGGACAACTCCCACTCGGTGTCGCGATTAGTCTTCCTAGATTCTATATCGGCGCGATTACGTTTTGTATTTACATAATGTGCACATGTGCATACAAAATCATGTTGCGCTTTTCGCACCATTGCCAAATTTGTTTACTTAAATCGTTAACGTGGGAGTATTGGATCCCACCCTTGCTATTTATGCAACTGATCGCCGCATTATTGCGTACTCGCAACAATATAACACAATCAGATTTTACTAATATAATATAAGAATACTGCAATTCTCAGTAATAAATATGGTGTTTCTTCTCAATAACCGTCTGTTGGCCTCCTGTACTACTCGCGTCACATACGTGAATGAATTGAGCGTACTCCTGCATGGTATATCGGGATAACTTCATTATTTTTAAAGTAAATGGTAATTTTTTTTTGCTGTCTCAAATGTGTTACAACTTCTTTCATGATTTCGGTAAACACTTACGATGCTGTGGACAAGCCATATGCCAGAGCAGTAAATGCATAGGTTTCAATTTCATTTGAACCACAAGGTAAATTCTGAAATCTGTGGTACTTTCGATCTGCTTCACAGATAGATGTCAGTGTATACACCCCTTTCATGTCTTTTGGCCATGAAACCCCTGCGAGGTATAAATTTTGAGGCAATTCGGTAGTCCTCCATTTTAAAATGAGTTTTTGTTACAAATTTGGTAAAGGATGTTATGAAACGACTACTGCCGTTGCGTTTTGGCGCTAAAAAAGTACTAAAAATGTATTGATGTTTTCTAGGACAGCACTTGGCCACTGCTCCCAAGTCAACTAAGTTTTGAATTGCGATATGTCCTTTTTTTTAATGTCGTCTGGCGATAAACTAATGCCGGGTATTACAGACTAGTGTTCGTACCTGTTTAGATAATGGTGTTGTTGGCGAAGCCGCATATTGATTTTACATTTGGCTGTCGCCTAAAACCATTAACGATATCCTTTAGAATTGTATTAGATAGGTAATTGAGTTTTAACTACGGCGTGTTTCGTTAACACTTATTAATTGCACGTATGTGGGGTTTAAATTGAAAAAACTCGCAGTTGATTTCTTATTGCAGTTAACTCATGGTTAACCCCAATTAACTTTATTTATTAACACGTAGGTACTAATATTGTTCGAATCAAAATTGACTCGCAGTCGATTTCGTTATCGAGGCTAACTCGCAGTTAACCCCGTAATTTTATTTAAAAAATATACTTTACTAATTAGCATTTAAATGCTAACATTATTCAAATTAAAATCGACTCGCAGTCGTTTTCGTTACCGTGGTTAACTCGCGGTTAACCCCGACGTAAATTTATTTAAAAAATACTTTACATTTTAGTATGTAGGATTTAATATTGTTTAAATTAAAATCGACTCGCAGTCGATTTCGTTATCGTGGTTAACTCGCAGTTAACGCCGACGTAATTTTATTATTTTTTTAAATCTTTATTTATTGTACAAATATTAGCACGTAGGAACTAATAATGTTTAAATTAAAATCGATTCACAGTCGATTTCGTTATCGTGGTTAACTCGCAGTTAACCCCGACGTAATTTTATTTAAAAAATTCTCTGCTTATTATCATGTAAGAACTAATATTGTTCAAATTAAAATCGATTTGCAGTCGATTTCATTATCGTGGTTAACTCGCAGTTAATCCCGAGGCAGTTTTGTTATAAATCATGTAAAATGCACATATTAGTATATCTGTTCGGATTTTCATAAATCCATGTTCGATTTGGTTATCGGGGATAACTCGCAGTTAACCCGATGTTTTATTAAATGTACGTTAGATTCACATTTGCGATGTATGAAAGCCAACATTTATTATCATCGCGGAAGTAGCAAGTAGTGCTATATGATAAAAATGAATATTTTCATTATTTATGAGCGTAAGAAATAATCTTACCTTGATCAATGTCCGACACGTCCGATGATAATATGAGACTATAACGCCGACGACGTTTGGCATGTGTATTTTCCAAGTAACTTTTATAATATTCGATTTTTTCTAAGCTTGCTAGCTACCTGGTTAAATATTATATCGAGAATGAAGTGACGAAATATAATGAGCCTTATATGACTTTGAGTCATTCCGCATTAATAAAAAAATTTCATTTTTATGTTCAACTCGCGCTTGACCAAAAAATTGACTGCCAAAATTGTTTTCACGAAAAAAGACTTAATTGGCTACATAAGACAGTCAACACGTCAAGACATTTGACAAAAAATACAGGATACAATTGTTTGAAGATCCCAACGAAGGACTAAACCTCAGAGAGGTCCGCGTATTCACTGACGGGTCAAAAACAAACTCAGGAACAGGTACTAGGGTATTCTCAGAAGACCTCAATATCAGAATATCAACATCGCTTGGTGACCAGAACACAGTATTCCAGGCTGAATATATGGGTATCAAGTTGGGAGCAGAAGCAATAATAGCGAGAAGAGTAAAGAATCACTCCATTCGAATACTCTCCGACAGCATGTCAGTACTACAAGCACTGAGCAGCTATGACATTAACTCAGGGCTTATATATGAATGCCATCAAGCACTCATGGAGGTATGTACACACAACCACGTAACTCTACAGTGGATTAAAGGACACAGCGGCTCACGTGGTAACGACGCAGCAGACGAACTAGCTAGAAAAGGGTCGGAGACGGATGCTGCAGGGCCGGAACCCATAGTGTCCCTCCCCTACCAATGGTCAAGAACAACTATACTCAAAGGTACAAAATCTTCTCATAATAACATATGGACAACCCTTACGGTTTGTAGACAGGCTAGAGAAGCACTCCCAACGCTCAACGCCAGTCTATCTCGTAAATTAATCAAACTTGAAAGACAAGAGCTGCGCACTCTATCTGCCGCTCTAACGGGTCATGGCCCATACAATAAATACCTTTTCAATTTAGGTATCACGGACAGCCCTCTATGCTAAGCGTGCATGGAGGGGGAGGAAACGGCCGCACACATCCTACTAGAGTGCTCCGGTGTGGCCAACTACAGGGCAAAGTAACTTGGAGTGCCGAGGTCGCTCCCCGAATTCTTCAGAAAACCGAAGAGGCTGCTGAGATTCCTGGAGGAGCTTGGGTGGCACGAGTAGGACCCTGCACTCACCACACGCAAAATAGGCGCCTCGACGTCGAGTTGCGGAAACTAGCCCGTTGCACCAATACCAATACCAATACCAATAAATAAGACAGTTTCCCTGTATCTCCTATGGTTTCAGATTTCCCCATACTGTCCTAGTTAAAAAAACATATATGTATTGTTACATTATATATATATATATTATATAGACATACACTAACCTTTATTGTTCTATCCTGCGAAGAAGTGTAGATAAGTCCTGCCCCTCCCCATTTGACTGATGTGACAGCCTTTGAATGCCCAGACAAGCTGAGTATGGTGAGACAAGTCACTGTATCCCATATTCTTACATCACCATCTTTTGATGAACTGGCTAATTTTCTGCAGTCTGGATTGCTGGAAACACAGAAACCGCGGACAAATACAAATGTTTAAACATTTAAATTAGAACCTCAAATTTTTGAACTTTATTTTTGTTATATATTTTCATGTGAATAAATGAAAAATTTGGTATGTGAAAACTTACATAACAATCACTATGTATTACTAATAGAATATTAATTTGTGAAAGGCATTACTTACAAATACATGGACGTCGGGTCCGCGCTAAAAAGTGTCCGAACTAATAGGGCGTTAAAATCGTATACAGAGCGTCAATCACGCTTTAGTCTTCGTTTGTTCGACTGACAGCGCGCTTGTCAATGATGCCGTATTGTGTGATAAAACCTTGTAAAAATTACTCAAGTAAAGTGAAAAAACAGGATGGTGTATCATATTTTCAGTAAGTACTACATTGTGTTATCATAGTTATCATTTAAAAGTGTTTTATGTATTTTATGCACTAGTATATATAGTATTTAATTTATATTTAAATTAATCGTAAATATAAATTACACAAGCAATCAAAATAATCAAATAGCTAACTGTCTCTTTCCGACTCATTGCTTGCGTAAAGGACTGAACGAGACCCATCACGTCAATTTCAATTGTTTGAAACACAAGCGTTTGAAATATTTAGAATAAAAATTTCATAGAGTCGCTTTGATGCTAATGTTATTATTAAAATATTTTTTAATACATGTTAGTAATACTTTCAAATATTGTAGTACTCTTTCTACGGCTCGGGGTTACGAATCAGAAGACAGAAAATACATTAGCCCGAAATAACGTTTGCATGAATTTCCATAATCCCGAAAGTATTTTTTTGGGTTTTTCGGGAGAAATATGTGTATGGCCTACATTTATTTCTCTCGTGAGTTTGGGTGTAAACTGTGGTTGTCTATATGTATATCCATGGCAGCCGCGACACAGGGTTTCCCTAATGCGGGGCAATGTTGAGTGTGTGCGTTATCATAATTATTATTATTAGATAGTACCTAAGTGTATATTTTGAAAAGCGTTTCTCTTGGGCAATCAATATCGCACATTTTAATTTTGTAATTATCTCACGACGGCAAATACCCTACTACCGTCATAGCCGTACTTTTTCAACCACAAGAAACATTTGCAAGAACTATGAGCAGTACGACTATGCGTGTCGACGGAATCAACCGTTGTCAGTGATAAACCGTAATAATTATATTGAATCAATGTAAGCACTACGGCATATAGAAAAGTGGTGACGTTTTTGAGCGCAGTATAATTTCAGTACTATGCACGAACGGGTTAAGAAAATGGTAAGAAAAGAAAGGAAACCAGAGCTGATGCAAGCTTGATAAAAGACCATAATATTAAAGCTTTGGTATGTGATTACATCAATGAGTAAACTGTGCATAGAAAGGAGAGAATACAGGAATTTATCCACGAAACATAGCTTGAACTTAAGAAGAAAGTGACAAGTATTAACAGAGAACATCTTACACCGCCAAAATGCATTAAAAATCAAAAGTTGGATGAATTACAACATATATCAACTTAAGAAACAAAGAAGGTAATTGAAGCAGACTGACAATGCAAATTAAATAGGATTTTTTTTAAAGTTTAAGCAATTTGTAACTTTCACATGCAAACATTGCATAATAATACAAATAGTACAACCTTGATAGCCTAACGGTTTGCACTGTGGGCACTGGATGAGAAGTTCCCGGATTCGATACCGGTAGGATCAATTTAACAAATTATCTTTTAGGAATGAAACTATTTTTCCGGATTTAAATCGCGTATATTTGTTTTTTCAAACAAACCGACGTTTCGGGCCCTTTACAGGTCCCATGGTCACGGTTGACAGTCAACCGTGACCATGGGACTTAAATCCGGAAAAATAGTTTCATTCCTATGTGTAACAATCGCGAAAACCTAAGAACTCGATAAATTATCTTTTCTAAATGGTTCTGGTCTTGGTATTCTATTGTAAGACAATCACCTGGTCTGAAACTAGGGAACTCTCTGTACATACTCCCCATGAGTATCAGAGCAACAGAATCCCAGACCAGAACCAATTTACAAAAGTTCATTTCCCAAATTAGTTCTACTGGGAATCGAACCTGGGACCACGAATGATGGAATTTATTCCGGGGCATAACTCAGAACACCCAGGCCAAAATAACTTTCGAAAAGTTCACATTTAGTTTTATAGTTGATTGAGCTGGTTTTTGACGGTTTAAAAAAAAAATCTCGAATAACTCGAGAAATCGGGTACGGGAATTCTCGAAACTCAAGAAAAAAAGTCAGACACCCTAGCTCGTAATAAATGGCATTGTATAAAATTCAACATTTACGTATAAAATTTATTTATAAATAATAAAGGCTACTCCATTATACCTGTGTTCAAGTGGTTTTCACTAGAAGCTACATATGGTGCATTTTGGTAAGTTTTCAGTAGAAGCTGAATATGGTGTTTCTTTGCGCCTTTCAATTGTTGCAAGCAAAATTAGGCAGTACTGCAACGACATTACAATTTAAAGTCAACGTTTTAGCTTTTTCATATTCCTTTACATGTCACTACGTTTAAATAGGTTGACTTGAGACATTTTTTTCGTGGTTTTGGTATTAGACCCGTCGTCCATTTATTTGTAAGTCAATGGTGAAAGGTAATAAACTATTAAGAATACATGAAGTATTCAAAGTTTAATAAAATTTTAGTTTTCTATAATTTTATGGATTGGGTGCACATAAAATTGAAAAGTGTACCATTTTATCATTGACTTTTTATTTGTAAGTCAATGCATTTTATAGACTGCTTTGGATGGATGAATATTGGTTGGTTGGTTTGATCGTTCTGAACATTTAGACAGCAAAGTTTAAAAATGACAAACCTATGATATGGCTCCCAAGCTAATGCAGTAATCCATTGCTTGTGTCCGATCATGGTTTTTCCAACCTGTTTGCCAGTCTGAGGTTCCCAAATCATCACTCTCCCTTGCTTACATGCTGATGCCAGCTTATTGCCATCTGGTGACCAGCTAATACAGAGTACCCAGTTTGTATGACCTACAGATATAACAATAGTTATTGCTTTGATAAATATTACATAAAAAAATTATGTCATACATAGATTTCTACATTTAGCTTTATGGGAAGTCACCACATTTATTGACACAGAATCGCATTAATCTGGCGAGAAGCCACTTTATGTCTATTTACTAATAGCGAAAAATTGTTGAGCATTATGTCCGTCCGAGCTAAAGTGAAATGTAAAGCGTCTTTTTCTTTTTTGTTTGGGGGTATGATTCTGCGCTGCCAAGTGTTTAGGCTTTCTAAAAGAAACTACATGCATAAAACAATCTCTTTTATAAATTACTGCAATAAATAAGTTTTAGTTCAGTAAAATGTCGATTTAACTTACCTTAATTAAATTTTTATTGAATTGATATTCAATTATTTTTTGTGAAATTACTCCACTAGTTTGTTATAATTATTAATACAAAGATCGAACACTCAGAAAAATTCCTTTGATCCGGTCGGATTCGAACCGACGTCTTCTTGCATACCGTGCCAGACGCTATACCAACTAAGCCACGGAACGAACCAACGGACCTCACGAATTTTTCTATGTGCTTGCGTCGTGTCTTTGTACTTGGTCTTTCAACTACTTTTTAGTTGTACGTTAATTTACCTTTACAAACATGAAGTGGTGTTTGAGTATGCAGATCCCAGAATCGCACTGTGGTATCGCCAGAGCCACTGGCTAGCTGCTTTCCTGATGGACTGAAGCTTGTTGATATCACTGCTTCTGCGTGACCCGGTACTGAACTAGGTAACAACTAAGTGTTTTAATAGCAGTAAGCGCTCTACACATCCAAGAAGTATTGAAAACTATGTTTTAATGAATCTATAAAAATGAATTGACTAGTTAACCTGGTACATCTTGTGACCGGTCGAACCCGAAATACAGCCTGCTGCTGATATATTATCTCTACGACTTCTTCAGAATTCAAACTTTTGAAGTCCAAGGCATCCTTTAGCGTGTTTGTAATTTCGACATCTTTTACAAAGAACAGGAATGGTTTGTCTTCCTATGAAATTCAATTTCATGTAGTAAACAAATAGTCATTTAAACATTCAAAGTCATATTGTATAATGTTTAAAAATGGTTTTATTTACTTCCTGAAGAAGGGCATTGCATATCAGTTGTAGTTGATCTTTAGTAATGTTTAACGGTAAATCTAAAGGGCTACCCGTGTCTTTACCCGTATCCGACTTTAGTCTTGCTTGTACACAAGTGGGAAGATCACTGTCTATTTCCATTTTAGAAATAAAATTGTACGTCGAGTTACAACTTAAAGTTTCGTAAACATAACCTCAACCAAAGTCACAAGCCAAAGTGGCATGGAATGTTTTCTGCTTCATACAGTATTTAAGCCCATTTTTTTTAATTTTTTTATTATTATTATGGCTTTGCCAAAGTCAACGGTAAGGAATCTAGACTAGTGTTGCGTCATGGAAAAATTTCCATTTTCTTGAAATAATGTTTTTTAGTAAAATAAAAACTTTTCCGTATATTTTTTCGTTACCTGTCACAAGTTGAAGTTACTGAACGAAAATGATGAATCCAACAACAGTGGAATTGTCAACATAATGATGTAATTTGGTTGAAAGCAAGGAATATACTTCTAACTTTCTTCATTTCTTTAATATATTTAAAATAAAAATAATCTTTGTAAAAACTGCACTTGTAACGTACGGTTTTTACAATTAATGTAATTTTGTTCTACGTTTAGAAATATCTTTTGAAGTTTTATTTAGTGTGAATTGTAAAATAAAGTTGTATAGCTAAAAGCCACCTAAGACAAACGAGATTTAAAATGATTTCACAAGCGGAAAACCCTTCGACAGCCACACCTACTTGTTCTGGCTCCATCGTTTTCGTTCAGTAACTTCAACTTTTGACAGGTGCCAACGTCAAATATGGAAAAATAGAGAAAAATTATGCTTTGAGAAAATGGAATTTTTTCCATGGCTCAACACTAAATAGATTTACCTATGATTAGGGTAACGTTTTGTTATTTATTGGCAACCCTTTACGCTAAATGTCTTACTTCGGCATTTCACTTACGTGTTATGTTTATTTTTTAGCAGCCGTTTCCATAAAAATAGGAGATATAAAATGAAATTCTTGTACTTTCTGTTTATTTTGTGGACTATTGTGAATTGTGACGAACACACGCACACTTATAAAGATGGAGAACAAGTGGTCTTGTGGATGAACACGGTGGGTCCATACCACAACCGTCAGGAGACGTATGCATATTTTTCGCTACCGTTTTGTGTTGGTACCAAAATTACCATTGGTCATTATCATGAGACGCTATCGGAAGCACTCCAGGGCGTCGAGTTGGAGTTCAGTGGTCTCGACATCACTTTCAAAGATCCAATACCAGCTCAAGAGTTTTGTGCCATAGAATTAAACGAGCATTCTTATAAGGCATTTGTCTACGCTGTGAAGAATCACTACTGGTACCAGATGTATATAGATGACCTACCTATCTGGGGAATTGTTGGAGAGGTTGATGGTGATCAATATTACATTTGGACCCACAAGAAATTCGACATTGGCTACAATGGAAATAGGATTGTTGAAGTGAATCTCACAGCTGAGAATAAGGAACGACTTACACCTAATGCCCAGATTACATATACTTATGAAGTGAACTGGAAAAAGAGCAACATTAAATTTGAAGATCGATTTGATAAATATTTAGACCCAAACTTTTTCCAGCACAGGATTCACTGGTTCAGTATTTTTAACAGTTTTATGATGGTTATATTTTTAGTGGGCCTTGTGTCTATGATTCTTATGAGAACCCTGCGTAAGGATTATGCAAGGTACTCTAAAGATGATGACCTTGATGATCTAGAGAAAGATTTGGGAGATGAATATGGATGGAAACAAGTACATGGAGATGTGTTTAGGCCAGTTCCACATCTTGCTATTTTCTCTGCCCTTATTGGAGCAGGATACCAGTTGGTTGTGGTTGTTTTGGCTGTCATCATCTTCACCATATTTGGGGAACTTTATACTGAAAGAGGATCACTGCTGTCTACAGCTATATTCATCTATGCTGCCACTTCTCCTGTCAATGGGTATTTTGGAGGTTCTCTTTATGCTAGAATGGGTGGTAAGCTGTGGATTAAACAAATGTTGCTTTCTGCTTTTCTTCTTCCTGTCTTAGTATGTGGAACAGCATTCTATATTAATTTCATTGCCATGTATTACCACACTTCTAGGGCTATACCATTTGGCAGTATGGTGGCTGTCATGTCCATTTGCACATTTGTTATTTTGCCTTTGACTCTTGTAGGAACAGTTCTTGGCCGCAATTTGGCAGGACAACCTGACTACCCATGTCGTATCAATGCAGTTCCAAGACCCATTCCTGAGAAGAAGTGGTTTATGGAGCCATATGTGATAATTATCTTGGGTGGAGTTCTGCCATTTGGGTCCATTTTTATTGAGATGTACTTCATCTTCACATCATTCTGGGCTTATAAGATTTATTATGTGTACGGTTTCATGTTGCTAGTATTCCTGATCTTGATGATTGTAACAGTCTGTGTTACCATTGTGTGTACATATTTCTTGCTGAATGCTGAGGACTATCGCTGGCAATGGACAAGCTTTCTTTCGGCTGGGAGTACTGCTCTCTATGTTTATGTCTATTCCTTCTATTATTTCCTCTTCAAAACAAAGATGTATGGTTTGTTCCAAACTGTTTTCTATTTTGGCTACATGGCGCTTTTCAGTCTTGCTCTCGGGATCATTTGTGGTACTGTGGGTTACATAGGTACAAGCATATTTGTGAGAAAAATATATTCTACTGTAAAAATTGATTGAAGTATAGTAATTATTGAAGAAAGGAATGTAATTCTTTTAAATATGTCTTACTATTTTAAATGATACAAAAAGTTTCTTACTATTTTAAACGATACAAAAAGTTTAATTCTACAATGAACAGGAAAATAAATTTACCTTTTTGCAGCACAGAAAAAAATGTTTTGATGGAATTGTTGTGTGGTTATTAGAATTAGATAAATTCCTGAAACATTTGTGCTGCTTCCAAAGCATTTAACAGTAACTTTCTGGCTACTTGTATATGGAATGTATTGAAGATTGTGTAATGTTTTATTAAGAGTGATAATCTCATTGTTAATGAAAAATGTCTGTAAACTTCTATAAAAGTAGCTATAAATGCTAATGCAATAATTGTCTATTTAAAATTTGTAGCAGAATCAAGGAGTGTGAAGATGTGCTTTTTTATTAATAATTGGTTTGCAAGAAGTTTTGTTAAATTTGAGGGCTATTTTTTAATGTAAATAATTTTGTCAGTTCCACTAGTGCTAATTGCAAAGTATATAGATATGTATAAATATTATGTATTTACATACAGCCTAGTAAGTTGCGTATTTTACGTTTGTTTGTTCATTTCTTTGTCTCTTATGTTCAGAGTGTAGTTCTAATGTTGAAAAAACCAAGTTTTAATTATTTAGGATTACTTAAAATTCTAGTTTTTGTAAATATATCGTAATACATATTATTAAACTTTATTAGTCCTAAATAACTCAAATGATTGTTGTACATAATATGAGAACTAATATGACACAATAATTATTATGCCATCCAGTAATGAAATTCTTGTTGTGTAAATTTGTTCATCAGGAATAAAGGACTACCTATTTAACTTTTGTTTGATTTTTGTTTCCAGTATTTTATTTACATTTCTCCCTGTACTAAAAATAGAGAATGAATTTTGTAGGTACTTGGTACTTGTTTCACATATCGCACTGCTATTACAATAATGTCGTATTTCAAAATTGTGGAATTATTTTTGAGAAAACGAGATTTGAAAATTAAAAAGAAAATACTGAATATGGGCTACCGTCCACGATATCGGTTATAGTCGCAAAAAATTAGATTTCCTGGAATTACCTTACTTCCATCATACTTCAGTCTCTAGAACTGCAGCGCCTGCTTAGACCTAATTACATTAAAAAAAACGAGATTTAATCAGTTCTAGTTGTAAGAAATCAGGGAGCCACACTTACCTACGCGGAATCAACTTGAGCGAGCAAAAAGTTGTAAGCTCATGCAATAAAAGTGTGTTACGCTTATTTTCTACACTAAGGGCGCGTTCAAATTAGCCGCTGCTAGTCGCGCTGCAACGATGCGACAGCTGCGCGTTGTCACTTTTCATACATTTTCTAGAAGCACTGCAACAGCGCCGCATTCGCACGACAGTCGCGCTGCAGCCACGCTCGGTTGCATCACGGTTAGTGAGGTGTGCATGTCAATTTTTCAAATTAACTACGATGGACGAAAATCGAGTTCAAGAATTTATAGAGAATGCAGAACAACACCTTGCAATATGGGACATCAGTTCTGCCAGTTATTCAAATAGACTGGAAAAAAAGGAATGCGAAAATTTATTGACAGTTTTGAAAGTAAAACTACAAATGACAAAAAACATAGCAGGTTGTGAGTAATTTTTAATATCTATACGTGATGTGTGTGCCCCAAGAACTCTGATAGAAGAACTCTGAATCACATATAGATATTAAAAATTACTCACAATCTGCTGTCTTTTCATTTGTAGTTTTAATTTCAAAATTGTCAATAAATTTTAGACATAAATTTTCCCATGCCTTTTTTTCCAGTCGATTGGAATATACGTACATATAGAATAACTGTTTGAACTGATATCCCATATTGCAAGGTGTTGTTCTGCATTCTCTATAAATTCTTCAACTCGATTTTCGTCCATCGTAGTTAATTTGAAAAATTAACATGAATACCTCGCTAACCGTGATGCAACCGAGACGAGAGTGGCTGCAGCGCGACTGTGGCGCGACCACCGCGCGGTTGCAGTGCTTCTAGAAATTGTATGAAACGTGACAATCGCGTGGCTGCAGCGCGGCTAACAGCAGCTAATTTGACTGCGCCCTAATTCTAAAATCACGACTGTTAGTGCAATCAGATCTAAGCTAGGTGCTGTGGATCTAGAGATTGAAGAATGACGCCGCCGAAATACGCTTATTCCAGCCTGCACAAACAAAACATACTTGTAACTTTGAAAAACAGTGGACCGACTAAATGACGATTATTTACTTGAGTAGTAAAATTTCAAATACTCTACTGCGTCGGTATTACCGATAGGAGTATGGCCGTGCGATGCGTATAAGTGGACACAGTTGTATGAATTTGTATACAACGTATACTAAAATGAACTCTGGACGCTTACCTTTATGGTCACACTGGATAAGGTTTAGACTTAAAATGCTTTTAGAATTTTTATCTGTCTGTCTGGATGTTTGTTCAGAACAGGCTTCGAAATTCAGAACTTAAAGCGGTTATTTACCTAATTCGCGGTTAAAGTCACGTGCATCATTAAGTTTAATATTACTCGGCTTGTACATACAAAATGCCACTTGATATAAAATAAAAATCCTAAGTGAATAAAAAACCTTCAATGTGATATTTAGACTTGACTAATCGACATTATCGCTCCTAGATAACATAAAATACTAATTGGTGCTATCAAAATTGTACACAATGTATTTGATACCTTTTTACATAGAAGGGTTAACAAAATACGTTGTCGATATTATTAGTACGATTGTTATCAAAATGTTATAGTAGGTATGTACCTATATTCCAATTATTAACCCATAATAATGTTGAATGTGCTTGTTTCTTGAATATAGTAAACAATATACATATCAGTGTTTGGTACAGTCTAACTAAGTCAATTAAGTACTGTATACCTCATGTGCATATTAGATGTACCAACACAATAAAGACATAGGACCCTTTTTTTTTTTTTGACGGGGGGGAAATCTTTATGGATACCCCTGAGCCCAGGGAGACTCAGGGGTTATGTGGGGACTCTCCCTCCAAGCTGGAGTGCCTACCCCACTAAAACCCCCCCGGGTTTCCCTCTCGCCGGTTGAGTCGGCGCCGTGGGATCAGTGAACATTCACCACGACGAGATATAGGACCCTAGCCTATTTGATGCAGTTAGGTACTGTAATACTTTACAATAAAGTAATATATATGTTGTGATATAGCTGTGATAAAACAATAAGTGATTGATAGGTTTTAATTTCGTATACACTAGGGTCAATTTAAGAGACCTCTGAAATTCTAACACATACGTCTCAACAAACTTGCCAGATTCATTTACAAGGAGCTACAGCACCTAGCTCCACTGCTACTTAACAGTACACTGTTAAGTAGCAGTTGAGTCCTCCTTATCCATGAGTTCGTCTAGTGAAGTGCTGTCATCTTATTTCTACCGTCAATTCCGGTTTTGAAGGGTAAATTATGTTGGACGTATTCAACACAAGACGTACGCCTCGCTGAACGCACCGCTGTTGCAAATTTGTGGCCTAAGGGTGTCGGTGAAATTACAGGCACCTCATTAACAAGTTGACGCGCGCAGTGGCAGTGCCCCTCAGATATTTGCGATTTAAAGCTTTGAGAGGTACTGCAACTATTATGGGTAGGCGTGTCACTTATCACCACCAAGCGAACAACTTGTTCGTCCCGTCGCTTGGTGTCATAAATAAGTTATAACAACATAAACTCAGTACAGAGTACTAAAAAACCAACCTCAAAAGTACGTGGATTTACATCTATTTGCCAGGTTTTTTAGAAATAACCCCTAGTTCGCCACTGTACAGGACTTGACACAGGAGATAATAAAAATCGGTTCTCACTACTGAAAGTATATTGAGAGAGAAAAATGCCTTGAATTGGAGAATAGCAAAACCAACCATTAAAATAATTGCTCCTTAAGTAAAATTTAGGCGCTATGTTTATAAATGAATGTTCATGCGTGATCAGCCACCCTTAGAGGTGGATGATTTTCTTCAAAATGAAATGGGACCACTATCTTTCCAACAAAAAAAGAATCATGAAAATCAGTTCACAAATACCGGAGTTATAGCTTAACATACATACAAAAAAAAAAACAGCCGAATTGAGAACCTCCTCCTTTTTTTGAAGTCGGTTAAAAATATTACTAAAATCCAAACAAAGCCATGGGCTAATATGAAAATAAAATTTTATTAACAATATCATACATTTCAATAAATATAATGACGCTATTTCTTGCCGTCAACAAATGTTTCTACATCGACCGCAGCTTTTCTAGACTTCTTTCCGCCTGGTGTTTTAGCGTTGAATGATTGAGCGGTTCTTTTTCGCAGCATGGTAACGTCTTCGATCTCGTCCGTCTGGTCTGCCCATTCAAGTACTAAACGTCGCCCATACAAATGGGTCGATTGGCATAGCGCTTCGAACGCAGTCTGAAATAGTAGCGCTGGTCGAAAATGTCATAGTGTCATAACTGAGTCTGTTCCTGTGGTAGTTGCGCGGTGTGGGAGGAGAGACAGCTTACTTAAAGGTGCCTACAGATACGATCGACAATGTCGATTAGGAGCCTACAGATATAATCGACATTATCGATCGACAACGAGAATTATAGACTTTTCGAGTTGTTTGGGGGGTGCTTATTGAGAATGTGGCATTAATTTCTAAATCCAAAATGGTTGCCAAGAAATTTCAAAAAATAATTTTTGGTAATCTTTCTGGAAATGGCATTTATCTCTGAATACATGATGGCTAACACGACTTTTCGCATTTCTAAATCCAAGATGGCGGGCCCCATTTTTAAAAAAAATGCAATATGGGTATCCTTGTCGAGGTATTTGGGGATGCTCATTACGTATATGGCACTCATTTGTAAATCCAAGATGGCGGGCACGATTTTTCGAACAATGGCAAGTTGTATATCGTTTTCGAGATATTTGGGGATGCTCATTACGAATATGGCACTCATTTCTAAATCCAAGATGGCAGGCACGATTTTTCGAATAATGGCGAGTTGGGTATCGTTTTCGAGTTATTTGGGGGTGCTCATTACGAATATGGCACTCATTTCTAAATCCAAGATGGCGGGCACGATTTTTCGAATAATGGTAAGCACTGTACGGCGGTGTTCAAGGCTCTGCAGCTTCGCCTCCACTAATTCCGAGTCAACAATAAACTTCTTCGCACGGTTGTCAATTGAATTCAAGGTGGCCAGTTGGTATGTAGCAGAACCATCCTAAAGATGGCAGCAGTACTCCATGCACGACCGGACGTGTGCTTGGTATAGCTGAAGCAACTGTCCCGGTGTGAAGTAATGCCTCACCCTGGAAAGGATCCCAAGCTTCCTTGCTGCATGTTTGGCCATGGATTCAATGTAGAAGACATTGAAACGAATTACTAATTCTAAGTACAAATTGGATGACAGGTCCATTCCAAGTAGCTGGAGACAGTCGGCTATCGGTATGAATATATCACGAAAAATTGGAGTCAGCTCAAAGGGACTCCGTTTTATGGAGAATAGACACGACTGCGTTTTGGTAGCGTTAAATTTGACAAGATTGGCATCGCCCCAACTGGAGACTGCCTGGAGTGTCAAATCCAAACGGCTAACCATGGACTCTCGACAAGACTGTATTTCCTCTCCACTACCCCTTGCATTGGCCAAGTATCTATCTACAACTGTGTTGTTATCAGCATACGCAAAGGTACCTGGAATTGACATATCATTGATATGCAAGAGAAAGAGAGTTGAAGACACATTTTTTTTTACGGGGGGGAAATCTTTATAGATACCCCTGAATCCAGGGAGACTCAGGGGTTATGTGGGGACTCTCCCCCTAGACTGGGGGCCTACCCCACTAAAACCCCCCGGGTTTACCTCGCGCCGGTTGAGTCAGCGCCGTGGGATCGGTGAACATTCACCACGACGCCGCCCGGCCGCCCTAGCTTGCGCCAGGGCTCCCGCGCCAACGGAGGGGTGGGTCGGTTGTCGTCCGACCCGCTCCCCAGACGAGGCCACTAGGGTACCAGGCGAAAAGTGAACTGCGTTCGCCTTCCCACGTACGTCTGCGCCGAAGTGGGTGCGTGTCCGCCGACACAGTACGGAACCCTGAGGAATCTATCGTCATATGTTCGGAAGAGTAGCCTCCTAAGACCACTCGAATCGAACGTTCGCTCAAGAAATATGAACTGCCTCCGTGGCCGAACGGTTACCATACCGGACTGCCACGCAGAGGTCCCAGGTTCGATTCCCGGGCCGGGAGAAATATTTGTATGGCCTACAATTATTTCTCTCGTGAGTTTGGGTGTAATTTGTGGTTGTCTATGTGTGTGTCCATGGCACCCGCGACACAGGGTTTCCCTAGTGCGGGGCTATGTTGAGTGTGTGCGTTATTATTATTATTATTAAATCCGAGATCAAATTGCAAAGGTCAGTGGGAAGCCCATAAGAGCTTACTTAAAAGGCTTGCGTGCCAGATCCTGTCAAAGGCTTTAGAAATATCCAAAGACACTGCAAGTGCTTCACCTTTCTTTTCTATAGCCTCGCTCCATCTGTGACAGGCAAACACAAGAAGATCGCGTTGATCGCCCTCGTCGGAATCCGTACTCGCGATCACTGACAAGGTCGTTATCTTCAAGGTACGAGAGGAGACGGTTGTTGAGTACACGTTCCATAATCTTGCAGAGTATGGAAGTGACTGAGATAGGTTTATAGTTGACAGAGTCAACTCTGCTTCTCTTTTTGGGCACAGGTTACACGTTTGCAAGCTTCCACGACCTGGGAACTACACCAGTCTCAAGTGAGAGGCGGTATAGGCGTAGGCATATGTGAACAGGAGACAACTCAGGCTCATTACGAATATAGCATTTATTTGTAAATCTAAGATGGCGGACACATTAAAAAAAATGCAATGTGGGTACTCATTTCGAGGTATTTGGAGATGCTCATTACGAATATGGCACTCATTTCTATATCAAAGATGGCGGGCACGATTTTTCGAGTTACAAATAAGTGCTATATTCGTAATGAGCACCCCCAAATACCTCGAAAACAATACCCAATGTGCCATTATTCGAAAAATCGTACCCGCCATCTTGGATATAGAAATGAGTGCCATATTCGTAATGAACACTCCCCAAATACCCCCAAAAGGACACCCATATAGCATTTTTTTGAAAAGTCGTATCTGCCATCTTGGATTTATAAACAAGTGCTTTATTCGTAATGAGCACCCCCAAAAAACCTTGAAAACGATACCCATATTGCATTTTTTTCTGAAAAACCGTGCCCGCCAACTTGGATTTAAAAATAAGTGCTATATTCGTAACGAGCACCCCCAAATACCTCGAAAATGATACCCATATTGCATTTCATGAAAAAACGTGTCCGCCATCTTGGATTTACAAATAAGTGCTATATTCGTAATGAGCACCCCATAATACCTCGAAAACGATACCCACCTTGTTATTATTCGAAAAATCGTGCCCGCCATCTTGGATTTAGAAATCAGTGCTGTATGCGTAATGAGCACCCCCAAATACCTCGAAATGATATCTACATTACATTTTTTGAAAAATCGTGTCCTCTATCTTGCATTTACAAATGAGTGCTATATTCTTAATGAGCACCCCCAAATATCTCGAAAACGATACCCAACTTGCCATTGTTCGAGAAATCGTGCCCGCCATCTTGCATTTAGAAATGCGAAAAGTCGTGTCAGCCATCACGTATTCAGATATAAACGCCATTTCCATAAGGATAAAAAAAAAAAATTTAAAAAAATTCTTGGCAACCATTTTGAATTTAGAAATTAATGCCACATTCTCATTAAGCACTCCCAAACAACTCGAAAACAATGTCGATTATGTCTGTAGGCTCCTAATCGATACTATATCTGTAGTCACCTTAACAGTTATTACGCGCTGCAAACGTGATAGTTTTAACAAGATTTTTCAGTGATATCCAGTAACGACTTGATTGATAAAAATGCCAAATGGTTCGTCTATCTATTCAATTTGTCTTGTCTTCATTTCAATAATCAATGAAAGTTTTTTATTTTTATTATGGTTTCACATACCAATAATTGACTAATTTGGTGGGTATTTTTTTTAAACAACTTCTCGTTGAATATCGTCAGAAAAATCTTGTTGAAATGATCCCGCGTGCAGCGCGACATAACTGTTACGTAAACTGTCACTCCTCCCGCACCGCGAAGGTACTAGGGTCCGACTCAGTAATAGTTTTATTTAAAAAAAGTAGCTTTTTATCTACAACTTACAGCAGACAAACACAGACTAAAAGGGGTTGAAATGGGGGATGAAAATTTGTATGGAGAACCTATAAAATTATGAAAATTAGTATAGTAGGCTACTCGACAGACGAAGTCGTCGGCGCCAGCTAGTATTTAATATACCTTAGCATCAGTCTTAGAATAATAATCGCAGAAAGCAAAACCACGATGCTGTTCAGCGCCTGGGGTCAATTTTTTCGGCAATCTCAATGTTTTGATTTCACCAAATGCCCTGCAAACCATGAACCATTAATTATTAATTAGTACATGAGGCTAGTTGGCGTTACTGGGTTTTCCTCGTATGCGTGAGAAAATACAGCGTTAAGTAAAATAAGCAATAGAAACTAACATCACATTTCTGTTATCGCTATTATAAATTAGGAGTTACGTAGCATTGATATCAACCAATGGTTTTAATTACCTGAATATTTCATGCAGCTCGTTTCTGTTCGCTTGGAATGGTACGTTGCGTACTAGTATTTTAGTTCCATTTTGGGTTGTATCTTTATTTGATTTCTTTGATGTTTTGACTTCATCTCTGTAACATTGTAATAAACATTAAGCGTCAAACATTAAACAAAGATGTTACACGTAATAAGTATAACATTAAAAAAATATAAATAGAACATAATATTGTGCACTCATACATTAATGTAATATAAATGTCTCAGTGGCCGAACGGTTACCATGCTGGCTTTCCGCGCAGTGGTCCCAAGTTGGATTCCCGGGGCGGTAGAAATATTTGTATGACCTACATTTATTTTTCTCGTGAGTTTGGGTGTAACAATTTACATTGGAGTTCTATGCGTGTGTCCATGACACCCGCGAAACAGGGTTTTAGTGCGGGACTATGAGTGTTAGCGTTATTTATTATTATTTATTAATTCATAATTATTATAAAGGACAATTACTATTAACTGGGTTCGTATTATGATATAAACTGTTAGTAATCAGATACCACATGACTATATTTTTTTACAAAGTGAGTAAAACTGCCATCATTCAAACTAGTATTTTTCGTTGTGGCGTTAAAAACTTACAAAGCTTTACCAAAGTCTCGTGTTTACCCTTAATTTTTGCCCAGGCAACTTTCTCTAAAACTTGTTTTATAAATAAATGAGTTATGAATTGTGAGGCTAAATAAAGTACTATTACTAAATTCACTTCAAAAATAAACTACACAGTTTCTGCTTGTTATTCAAATTTGATCACTAAAGGAAATGATTTTTTTACAGATGGCGTTACGGAAAAAAAGTAGTTAAAAACAAAGATCTGCAATAAACAGACAGAAAGATTCGTAAGGTCTGCTGGTTTGTTCCGTGGCTAAATTTACAGAGCATCTGGCACGGAATGCCTGAGGGTGCTGGTTCGAATCCAGTCGGATCGAATAAATTTTTTTTTAGTGTTTCGATCTTTGTTATAATAATAACAACAAATAAGTGGAGTAATTTCACAAAAAAATAATAGTAAAACATCGTGTCTGTCATTGACTTACATGTTTCCTCTTTCAGATCGTTTTAATTCGAGCGTTTTGCCGTCCAACATTGATCCTTGAAGAGATTTAAGAGCTTCGTTTGTGTGTAGCTTTTTATAAAATTGTACAAAACCATACCCCATAGATAGGAACTGCCCAGGTACCTTTGGGTCCTTCTTCTTTGCTATAGTCACATTGTAAATATTTCCGCAACTCGAAAAATGCTGCGAGGAAAAAATGTTCATTTAGTGAAATTAATTTTGAGGTGGAAATGGACGATAGTGATTAGGTAATGTGGGATGATGAACAACAGTGCTTTACTTAAATAAGTAGGTATGTGTACGATTTGAATGTGTAAAACTGGTATGTTCATGTCACACTAAAAAGGTAATAGAAAACAATGTGATTTTAAAATTAATTACATTAATATGTAAAACGTTAACTTTTTGGAATAATGAACCAACCCACGAAACAATATACTTGCAATAAAAGATCGTCGGGCTTTGGTTTGAAAAATTGACTAAATCAAAGAAAAATTTAAAAGTAGCAGATTCCCTACATGATCCTCAATGCTACACATAATTCTGTAAAGTTGTTTATCTCAAATAATTTAATTATTCAGTATTCATTTCTATACACTGTTGATACAAAAATCTAATTATCTCGAAAGTGACATTTTGTGGGTTGGTTCTGGTATGTCCATTTACTAAAGGTCTAAAACTAAAGACTAAAGGTCGCAGTATACGGGACGGGGACGGGAAGGGGACGGGACCCGTATGGGACAGGAAAAATCATGTTACGTATGCTGTGGCCCTAATACAGCTCATAATATAATCACGTTCTTTGTTGAATAAAGGGAAAGTATAGCTTACCGATTTTAAAGATGCTTCAGTAGTTTTAAAATTAAGATTTTTTACAAATAATGTTGTTGAATTTTCTGGTTCGCGTGTGTCTATATTATCATCTATATTATCTTGACTTGTTTCGTTTGCGTGTATTTCGTTATCTGCCAAATGTGCCCTTGCTTTAATTTCATTTTCTTCATTTTTCACACTCGTTTTTACCTGTTCCTCATCACTCCCCTGGCTTGGTACAACTTCTGCAGACTTTACAAAGACATTTTCCGGTGCCCATTCTAAATATAAAGGAGCAGCTTTGAACTGAGAATAAGCCAATTTAGTAAACGCCTTTTTAGCTTCAAATGGTTCAACAAAGTCGACGAGAGCTGTAATGCCGTGTTTAGGCATTAGAAATCTTGCTATATGGCCATGTTTTGCAAATGTCGTTTTTATTTCGTCTTTGTCTGTATTCGCTGGTAGATTTTTTACAATTACACATGTTTTTGATCTTTTTTTCGCTGGCTGAAATATGGAATAGTCACATTTATCACCTCTTTAATGTGTATTTGATGCGTGGGTTAACAATTCCATTTTATTTAAGAATTACAGTTTAGTAACAACAGTATTACAACAAGTAATAATTTGAGGCTATCAGCGCAAAAGTCGTGTAACTCACATTTTTTTTGTACAATATTACTTTTTTTTTTATCAAGTGACGGGACGAACAAGTCGTTCGCCTGATGGTAAGCTACACGCCTGTTCATAACAGTTGCAGTGCCACTCAGAGCTTTTGAAATGATACTAAATTACGTAATTATTTTACATTTTGATGTTGTTTTCATGTACATATTAATTAAATTATTAAATATTATTTCGATATAGGTCATAATATATATTATCAACAAACTAGGTGGTGCCCGAGACTTCGTCTGCGTAGAATAAGTATTTCGAGTAGCCTATAGTACTATACTAATTATCACATGTTTATTGGATCTCCATACAAAGTTTTAACCCCTATTGTAACCACTCTAAGATTTATTTTTATGACAAAAAGTAGCCTATGTCCTAGGTCCTATCTATCTCTATACCAAAATTCATCAAAATTGGTTCAACCGTTTAGGCGTGAAAACGTAACAACAGAGTTACTTTCGCATTTATAATATCACTTTGGATGAATTTGGTTAATTTTAAATCCCTCATTATCTTCTATATGCATTTCATGGGCTTACACCACTATCGCGCTGATAGCCTCAATATATATGATAGATAGCATTTTAAAGTTTTGAATTCACTGAAATGAGCATAACACGTGACTTTAGCATTTCTCAGTTTTATTCGGCAAAGCTTGTTACTCACATAGAGTATTATAAACTCCTAGATATCGGTTAGATGAACAACCACAATTTATTTTATAATTTTATAATAACGCAGATGTGGGTCACCAAGCAGGTAAACTAAAGTGAGACTGGGCGGGTCAGGTGACAGCATAAAATTATAAAATATTGTTCATCGATATACGGCTGATATAAAAAAAACAACAAATTGTTCGGTGGCTAAAATGTCTTAATAAAACATGAAATCCGATTCTGGTCTCATCCTTCTAAACGTTTTGTTTTCATACCAAACAATCAGTTTTTTTTATAATATCATGTGACGGGATAATCAAGTCGTGCGCCTGATGGTAAACTACACGCCTATCCATAACGATTGCAGTGTCCTTAGAGTTTTAAATCGCAAAGATCTGAGGGGCACTGTCACTGCGCCCGTCACCCTGAGACATAGCTTGACACATCCCATGCGCCTGTAATTTCAGCAGCACCTTTACCCTTCAAAACCGGAACTCAGTAATGCTAACGTTACTGCTTGGCGGCAGAAATAGGTAAGGTGGCAGTACTTCCCTGGACGAACTCTTTCACAAGGAGCTCTACTTCTAGTGAATTGTAGTGAGTTGTACCTTGTTTCAAGCTACAGGTATTTTCTGTAGATACTAGAGCAATAAAAATAACTTCGCGGACACTAGCTATAGAATACATAATGATTAGTACCAATTAACTCAATGTAAATATATTACCTTATTGAAAGCATCCAAATACACTCCATTGTTCTCGAGGAAAGCTCTTGTTTCAGCTACGAGCTGAGTTTCACCGAGGGCAAGTCTCACGGCCGCACTGGTGTCTAAACATTTAAATTAATTATGTAATAAAACATCGAACGTTTAAATTCATTTTACGTCTTTGTAGGCCTCATTTTGGATTTTTTTGTTGGAAAATAAAGTTTACTTGTTACAATAAGAATTAAAATCATAAAAAAACAAAGCAATTTATTTATAAACAATAGCGAGCTATGCTTCCTTCCTTCTTACTTAATAACATTCAGTTTCGTAATTCATTTATTTTGCGTCCATAACCCGTTTTCCACTGGCATAAACGAAAGAATTTATACCGTAAGAGACGCCATTGTCAATCGACTAGCTTTCTTGCTAACGCGGACAAAGCGTGTACCTCCAATTAGCAATTACCAGATTGGAATCACATTAATACTTTTAAATTCTTGAAGTATGCGTTCTATTTCTATCAGTGAGTCGGAAAGTGTAGCTTTAAATAAGTAAGTACATATAATTATACAGGCTGTATATTTGAAAGTGAGATAAATCATGTTACAACTTAACATAGACTAAAATAAAATTAACATATGGGATAGAACAAAAAATAAATCAACAAAATATGTGTTTTGAAGTATACATATGAATAAACCGTTTCCCTTTACGCTCGATTTCGAATGCAATGGGAATACTACCAAGCGAGTGCCGAATGAGACAGCAACAATAACAATGATTTCACATTTACGTTTTATTACTTACTTATTATTTTTTATGTTAATTATTTTTTACTTGAACTATCATCGAAATGGTTTACGTACTAAAAAAGATAAGTTTATGTTTTAGTAACTAGTTATCATTTAATAAGATTTGAGGTTTTTGCCGTAGTTAAAAAATGATTGATTTTTTAGTTATTTACAGTTTATTTACACTTACGTGGTACGGAGCTTGTGTTCAAAATGTTCACCGTTTTCCACAATTCATAGTCTAGTACGGAATAGTAAATTTTTTTTTAAATTGTTCAACACAAACACATTTTGTCTCACAGTATAAAATGCTAAGATAATCCTCTCACGCAACACTTCGGCACTGTTCACCCCCTCCGCATAAACTCCGATTTGGGAACATTTCAATAGCTTGCCTCACACTATCACCACTTATTGCTTAAAGATGGTGCAACATTTCAGTCAATTCGACGTTAGAATAAATATCTATTTTGCGGCGATCGGGCGAGCGGAAGTACCTACAAATAATTTACGTGTCTTCGTTAGATCAAGGTCAAACAAAGTTTAAGTTCATTAGTTTATTATTTCTTTGGGTTCAGAATCAGGAATATAACGCACTCTATAAGTATGTCCCACTTTCAAATGTACAGCAGCAGCAAATGTACAGTATACGAAAAAGTAAATAAGCCCATATAAATACAAATACAAGATGAAAAAATCAATGGTACATGAAGGAGAAGTTAAAGCTAATAATAATAACATTGATTAACTTGATTCGATTCCCAGCTCTGGTAAAGTTTAAAAAAATCTATTATGTTAATCTATTATATTCATGTTAAGAAAATGAAAAGAATGTTTACTTTAAATAAACTTAGCCATTTTAAGCATTAAAGATATACAGTTCCACTTCATGTCAGTTTGGTTTTTGCCACCCTGTATAACAAAAGTAAATGAGATTAAAAATTAATGATTTGATGATATGCAAAAGCTAAAACGTGTTTATTTGAGTTTAAGTTTCTGGACACAGTTGCCAGCTGAACATGCAAACAGAAATCCGCAATCCAGTCTGCAAGTAGGAAGTTGTACTTCTAGTTTAGCAAAATTGTCTTTAAATCGTATGCACTGCGCGCGGGCAGTGACCACAACGAGGCCCGAGCGCTCGAACGTTACGTAATCTTTCTCGATCGCTTGATTACCTATTTTTTATATTAAGCTTGAGTTATAATTTATTAATTATTTACAATAATTAGGGAAGTTGACTATAACTTTTTTTTGTATTTTAGTTTTGGTACTTACCAATTTTAGGCTACCTATAAGTGTCCACCATCACTGGCTATGCAAAAATTCGAACGTTGTCGAGTTTCGCTTCAACTTACTGAGAACTAACACTTCACAAGTTTGAAAGCGGAGACGGTTTTTGCGCGGAATTGTTCAGAGACTCGTAATCTTCTTCGTGTAAACCAAACGTTTCACATCACCCCATACGTAATAGTCACGCACTTGGCGTCCATAATGAGAAGAAGTACTTGATGGTAATACAGTTCTGGTGAACAAACTAGACATAATTGATTGCAGCGATCTTTATGCGACTATTCTAGTGCGTGAGCGAGCGCACTGATTGATGAGGCGCGCGCTTGCGTTTGAGAAAGAGATAACAACACTGGCTGCTCCTTTGTCGGTCCGCTGTTTGGTAGCACGTGGCGTGCAAAAGTAACCTTTGGATCAGGTGATTGCGAATCGATGTTTACCGCAATTCAATAAAAACCAAAAATTTATATAAATAAAAAAACAAGAATTTAGGATTTTTTGTGAATTGAGTTGTTTCGGATATCGAATAACCTCTGTAAATACGGGGAATTTTCCCCGTATTTACAAATCAATTGCATAGTAAGAATACTAGAAACATGTTCAAAACTTACTTTTGTTGTCGCCGGTAAGCAGCTGTTCTTTAGTGGTGTTATAATTGGCCGCGACGACGTCCGCAATGGCGTTTGCACCCAAAAACAAAACGTTCCAGTTGTGTGAAGATTTCGCTTGGGCTTTCAGCTTTTTCGCTTTCTTCTCTTTAAATGATAATCCTTCTAAAAATATATATTACATATAATACATTAATAATAACAATTTAAAATATTAATTGTTGTGTAATAAAAAAATAAACTAAAATAACGCACACACTCATAGCCCCGCACTAGGGAAATCCTGTATCGCGGGTGTCATGGGCACACCCATAGATAATCACAGTTGACACCTAAATTCACGAGAGATATAAAAGTAGGTCATGTAAATATTTCTTCTGGTCAGCGAATCGAACTCCGACCCTCTGCGTGGCAGACCAGCATGGTAACCGTTCGGCCACAGAGGCAGGTAAATGAAGAGATAAATAAAATAATGCTAGACGGATGTGCGGCGCACTGTTGGTGAGTAGCGTCACCATGGACCTGCGATCGCCATACTGTTTTGCTTGGACTGGGCGGTGATCAGAGTGGGGTGTAAGGCTGCTAATAGATTGACTGGATGTTTGCAGTTAATGCATGTTTGCGATATCGGCTACATGAAGTCCGTTTCAACTGCACGCAGTTAATGCGTGAAGTCGTTATCAACATCATGCAGTCGAGGTCTGGGATTTTGCAATTAAACTTTCTACCGGACAAGGATCAAAATAATTGACTGCGCCACCGCATAAAAGGGCGAGCTGAGGCTCCTAACCCGTTATTATCAGGTTTGTATTTCGTCTCGTAATATTAAAATATCCACTGTCTACCTTAACGATAACTTCAATATGTATTTTTGTAAGCCAATTAAAATTTTTACTTTTTTGTATAAATGGCTCTACTTACCATCATCACTCTCATTGTCCAATTTCTCTGTCTTAGCAGGTAGAAGATGTAGCATTCTACCGCAAAACGCTGTGCCGTCGAGTTCCGTATACGCCTTGACTGCATGCTCGGGCATTACAAAAGTAACCGTTGCGAAGCCTTTTGGTTGTCTTAATACTTTGTCTATTGGCATATTTATTTCGGTTAGGGGTCCTGTATTAATAAAAAATTAAATGATGTTTGTGGTGACCATTTAAGGAAATAAATTGAAACTAAAGTTAATAAAAAAATACTTTACAAGTAAAAGAAACTCAATAAATAATATTATTTTGGTATGGCATTTCAATTCTCATAGTATGTAAGTTGGCCTAAATGCGTCAAAGTAAAGAAAACGGTGAACACATAGTTGTAAAAATGAACAACAAATACAAACCATATTTTTCAAATAGATTAGTAAGTTCTTCTTCTGAAACTATGTAAGGTAGATTTCTCACAAAAATGCTGCCACTTTCGCCAATACTTTCTTCATTGGATTCTTTCTAAAAATATGCCAAACATAACACATACGTTTCAATTTATATAAAATTGAAGTGAAATTACCAATAGTGTGAAGTTAAAAATCACAATTTATTATACTTTAATAGTTAAGAGACAAACAACAACAATAACTTTATTGATAGCCATTATAAATACCATCAAATAATGTAAAAATAATTACAATTAATTAGTTATTGATTGATTGCTGATCAGTCAGGCAACATCCTGACCCCATAAAAGGATTTAACTTGTGTTAGCAGATAGTACTGTTGCCGGGACGATGGGGAAAGTAAGAAAAAAGCATGGCCAAAATTACGCTTATTTACGCATTACGCCAAAATAAATCACCGAAAAACGCAGTTAGTTTTCACTGCGTTTTTCGGTGATTTATTCTAAATTTAGTGATTTATTTCATTATACGATGTAAGAATAAGCAGAATTCATAATAATGAACAATAATAAATATTTATTTATTTTAAAATACATATGATTATAATGCAGAGGATTCACGCTTTTTTGGGAAATGGATAGACAGACCACCAGCCTTTGGCTAGTTATGGTCCTGACACACATCATTCGCATCTTCGACGTTCATATGGTAACTAAAAAAGATAAACCATAAAGATAATTGAAAATATATCTTGTAAACAATTATACTGTTATCCGCGAATTGCTTGGGATCCTACTCCTTTATATACATGTCATTGACACAAACATGATTATTTTTTAGTATGTTGCCGCAAACCATAGCACCTTTATTACTAAGTGTAATAAATGTTCTTTCAGGACATGAGTTATTAACAGTAACAGTTAGTAACAGTCGCTGAGCTTCTTAGAATATTATCTGCCTGCATTGATAGGTGAAATCAAGCCAACATTTTAGTTCTTCACTATCGAAAGCAGATAAATTTTCGTGGACCGCCGCTTATGAATTGTGAACCCCCATTTTTATGTCACGCCAACGTAGACCCCCGTCGAGTCTACCGTGGACCCCTGGGGTTCCACCTGGACCACTTTGGGAACTAAGGGTTTAGATTAACTGGAATAATTTTATACAATAAAGAAGTTGTACTTACTTCTTGATTCTTTATCTTAGTACTTTGTTCCTCTTCCTCAGCTGCTTTCTTTGCTTTATCCTCATATTGGTGTACATGCACACGATGATTACCTGAAAATTTCTATATGCATTAAAATTTTGTAAAAGCAAAATTATGAGAGGTAGTTACTGCGACTTCGGGTGTGTCGCATTATTATGAGATAATAGAGTTCTTTCTTGTAGACTAATTTGCACGTGATTTGCAAAAACCAGTCTTGGAAAAAATATAGTATATATTTCCAAGACTGTAAAATGACAGTTCAACGTACAAGAGGCTTGCCAGTTTACATGCGGCTAGCGATTGCAGTTTATAAATATTCTATCGCCTGAATATTAGTTACGTTTACACAATAAAAGACCGAACTTTTTTAATTTTAATTTAATTTTAAAAACTTTATAAAAAAAAACTGAACTCAAAAGTTCGTGGAATTACATAATATTTTGCCAAGTTTTATTAAGATCGGTTACCGGAAAGTGCGCGAAACCGGATTCATCCCCTAGTTTTCCACCCTTAGAGGTGGAATATTTTCTTCAAATTTAAATGGGACTAATACTGAAGTACCCTCTTTCCAACAAAAAAAGAATCATCAAAATTGGTTCACAAATGAGTTATTGTGTAACATACATACAAAAAAAAAACAGTTGAATTGAGAACCTTTTTATAAAGTCGGTTAAAAAAACCTGGCATCTTGGAAGAATAAGATCATGCCTCTGTACTTTATGAAATGCAAGAATTTGTTAAATGAAAATATATTATTAGAATAATTAGAATGTCACAACATTCGGTATTTATGTATTTAATGCCTCTGTGGCCCGTTTACCATGCTGGAGTGTCGCGCAGAGGTCCCGGGTTCGACGACCGGGCCGGGATAAATATTTATATGGCCTACATTTATTTCTCGAGTGAGTTTGGGTGTAATTTGTGGTTGTACACACATGGGCGGGCTGAGGCTACGAGTGTGTGCGTTATTATCGTAATTATTATTCTGTTACACAACTATTTCAAATTTTACAAAAGGTAGCAACCCTGCAAACATCATTTTACGTTCTGGGAAAAAATTATATAATAATAATTCAGACCCAAAAACAACTTATCCTTAGCAAGTGCTTTCTTCATTTCCTTTTCAGTCCTGAAGCCAACATAGCAGAACCCTGCTACTTTCGTTCCCTTGCCAAGAGGCAATCTGATTGTGAATGGCACTAGTGGCCTAAAGAACTCCTTTATGTCTTTTTTCTTTGTCTTGTACGGCAGGCCAGCTATCTGTAAATGTAATTTTTTTTATGGTTGAATTTTGATTTGGCTTTAAGACAAATATTCCTTCACATTTCATAGATATATTTTCGAAAGTAGTATTTATTGGCTGATGTAAATCTTGTTCTACTTACTTTAACATGAAACAGTGGTCTATTTCTGACTTTCTTTGCCTTTTCTTCATTTTGTGGGATTTCATCTACTTTAGTATCATTTCCAACACATTTCATTAAAATTTTCATGTACTGTAAACAGAGGCTCAATGTGTTTGGTCCACAGATCTATGAGATATTTATGTATATAATTATGAAAAAATTGTTTTATGAAATATCAAATCAGTATCATTGAAAGGCAATGAGTTAAAATTTGTAATAAATTTACACAGTCCATTAAAAAATTGATCTATGTTAGTATTTTTAGTAGATAGATACAATTTTTTGCATTTTATACCTCCAAGTCACTAATTTGTTTGTTAGCAATCTTTTCTTCTTGTTTTGTTTCCTTTTTATCATTAGATGCAGTTTCATGCGTTTCCTTCGTCTCTTTACCATCCATTTGTCCATCTTCCACTGCACTATCTTCATCACTGTTGGTGGTTTTTTGCAGAGCTTCTTTGATCCAAGCTGTGTTATCATTGATGTGAGCATCAATAAACTCTGTGAAAAGTGGATCGTCCTTGTGCTGTGATAGAAACAGAATTTGTTTATATAATCCGCAGAAGTAACTTGAGACCTTAGCTCAGATGAATTACAGTATTCCTCAAAGAAATTAGAACCTATACCACCACCGTGCCTTCTATGAGTCTATGCGGTGCTCCTCTAAAGCAGTCAAGGCAGTTTAAGTATCTGGGTCACTGGGTCGCCGAGGATCTATGTGATAACCACAGAACAGAAAATACAGTAGAAGTGGTTAGTTAACCTCATACGCGTGCCAACCATAGGTCTCATAAGACCTATGTGAGCTCAGTCTGCCATTTTCGCTACGTATGGTTGTGTCAATCTTCGCACAAATTGAAAAACGCCTCGTTGTGCTGTTTTGGAGTGCAAAAATAATAGCGGCACCAAAAATATTACCCGTGGTGGAATTACATATCATCGGTAAGTCTTATTTTAATAAAATTTCAGTTTTTGTTTATTGAATTGATTTTTTGTACTGTAAGAAACGAAAATAAACATTATCTCAATGCAGTATGGTGGAATTTTATCTTTTGGAGAACTAAGAAAACATCTCGAACTTTCCAAGTTAGTAGCAAAAAAATCTTTCGAATTGAGAGAGAGAATGTATCGATAAAATGATCGATACTGTTGACATTGCCTTTGTTCGAGTTTTAAATTTGCAATAGGCACAACCGTTGATGACATGGTAGATTACTTGCAAAATATCGTGCGAAAGTATCATTATGATGAAAGTATCATTATTATTTAGAAATATACCTTAATGTTTTCAGATTCCCACAAGATCCTATTCGAAAAGAAAAAATGGATAGAAGTTACAGGTCGACAAAATTGGATGCCGAATATGCCAAATTGCAGAAACATTTGTCAAAAACTTTGGTGGGAATATTATTTAAAAAGAATTATAATATTAAAATTATAATGAAAATTTCGAGACAGTTTGTTGAAACAAATATCTTCATTACCATTTCCAGTCATCAATTGGAAGAGTATCCGACCTCTAATCATGTAACAGATTTAATGAAAGATATAAATAATTACACGCTACTTTAATACCTGCAGACATCATTTACTAAAACTAAAATTAAAATTATCTTAAAGGCAACTGTTAAACAAGTATGTTATCTTTCACTTCTATCCTCTGTAAAGAAACTATCAACACTCATATCATATTATTCATCATCATCACACAAATCATATTATTATAGGATTTTATCAATTTTTTCACACAATCGTATGTTTTATGTATAAGCCTGTTCATATGTGTAGAAGAGGCTTAATAAATGTTAGTATGATATCCAACCACTTATGTCTTCGACAATACATCCATGACAACATTAACAACATAACTATGCTAACAAATCCAAACAAATTCTTTATACCATACCACTATTCTTATTGCTCATGTGATGAACGATGTCATAGTTAGTTCATATTTTGTAAATTATTTTCATTTTTCCCTAAACTATGCTACTAAATAGCATTATGTTATTTTTTGTTTACATTATAGCAAATCGTATCTTGATAATAATTACTATGCATATAATAAAATGCAATGTATTGCTTTGTAAATATTAATATATTGAGTATTCCTATTAGCCTTGGCTCTGCCCTGTAATTGGTGATGATTACATTAGACGAAGCAATCCTCGCAGTGAAGATTCATATAGGCGCTGAATGAAGCCACCCTAATAATAATAATAAAGTGGCGTCAGCATAAATGCAGAAAGCGGTCCTGCTCGATACGGCACGTATGGTTCGCCGGTTCTTAGACCTCAGTCCCTGACCCCGGCCGACTGTGCCATTGCCGGAAAATACCGTCTCTCCCATTTAAAAATTAAAAATTAATCTTTTAGGCCTTGGGAGAGGCGAAAGTCTAAAATAGATATAATAATAATAATAATAAAAAGACAGTCCGGAGACACGAGAGTCTAAAATAGATGTAATAATAAATCCTATTAAGTACACGAAAGGATAAACGCTATTCTATACCGAAATAAACAGAAACAAAGTAAAACGCGATATATACAGAAAATTGTAAAAATTTAAATAACATCAAAACGTCGTAAATTGCAAAGAAGGTCTTAAACTTTCAATGATATAACAACTGTGTAAAGTTCAAATTATATTAACAGTCCAGGACTTCCCACATCTTTTTAAATTAGGAACTACGACCAATCATTATCAAGATTTCATAGTGTTTATCATTTGTTTGTGTGCGTTTTGGCAGTTCTGATAGTAATAGTGGCTTATGGCTTTTCCATTGTTTTTTTTTTCTTTTGTGGTGATAATGCAGATATAGAGAGAGAGTGCAGGGCATTGACTGTCTGTTGTTGTAATATGTTGGCACACATGTTTGCACAATGGACAGATGAAGTGAAGGTAACGCTTTTCAAAGCATATTGCTAGTCCTTTTACGCATGCAGCCTGTGGATCAACTATACTCAGCTAACATACAGTGCACAGTGCATCCAATACAACAATGTGTTCAGGATGCTGTTCTGACTTCCACCTTTTTGTACTGTGTCAACCGTGTTCACTGACAAATGTGTTGACGATTTTTAGACCATCATATGAAAGCGAAGTGCGTTGGTACTCATTTTTATGCATCACAGCACAAAACGGTGTCCTTAACATATTGGCAGACAGGTGGGAGTCCCCAACGCTTGGGTTTCCAATGGTAGTTCTCAAATTGACCATTTCTTGAATCACTTCTCAAATTGACCATTTCTTGAAATGACCATATTATTATTTAATTATAAATTGGTTTTTTACTATTTTTACACCCTATCGCCAATTCAGGACCCTCAATGCCCAGACATTTATCTAAACTTAAAATGAACTGTTTGAAATGTTTTATTGGCCAGTTTTTGTGAAATGGTTGCGAAATCTAGTAGCAATAGATGGACGGACATTACCTTCCAGGGCAATAATAAGCAATATCTAATGTATATACTTAAAGGCCCATCGTCAAACTTGTGGCAATGTTCCTAATCCAAAGCTGAAACATATTAAATTGTAAAACTGGTCACAGCAAGAAGTAGCCATTTCAAGAAGTGACCGTGTCAATAAGTGTTCTTTTGTAGAAGTAGTACTTAAGAAATGGTAATTTCAAGAAGTGGTTATTTGAAGATGTTGTCATTTCTCATTGTGGTCCTAAACCGCCGAAAGGTGCCCAATAATTAAGATTTATTTAATAAATAATGATTTGGATTGGTAGTAAAAATACTTAACATACCTTCTTGAGCAATTCCGTAATTTTGTTTTTATTTTTTACTAGTTTTTTTTTTTGTTTCACTAATGTTTTCTTGTCTTCATTTACGTTTTTATGAAGATTCTTGTACGCTGTGCTATCTGGCGCATATTTACTCCATGCTCGCGGCTTATTTTCATTACCCAAGTTTGTGCAAACTTGCACTTGTATCTTCATTGAACGGATGCAGGTACCGTCAAAATAGGCTTGGGCTTCCGCAGCCTGCCCCTCTGTCCGATATCCGATGAAGCCGAAGTTCCTAAACTTCCCATCTTTCGTATATTTCAGTTGCACGTCTGTGATTTCCCCTTTTTGACTAAAAATCTCCTTCAGACTTTCATTCGTCACCTACGACACATAGTCACAATTAATGCGGTAACTTTAGAAATATATCATTTCTTTCATTCCATGATGCAATTGCACTTTGTAACGCTAAATGATATATTTCTTACCTTGTTCGGCAAGTTCTTAACGATTAATCGAGACATTTTATTCACGAGTATTGAAATAATATTTTCTTTAATCAGAAATAATATTTTACTATAGATTCTAACTTTTTATAAAATCGCAACACGTGCAAAACGTAAACATGTTAATTTTTTGGTATTGTTTTTTCCATTGGAAAAGGCAAAGGCACTCACGCGCTATACAGCCAAGACAGAGTAATTTAGAATTCCATTACAAAATGTCTTCCATAGTGCTTCTTAAGAAATTATATAAATTTTTCCATCCTAGCCAGAATAGCATAATATACACAGTGAATAAATTTTTTTATGAAGTTACAAAGTACAGTTTTTACGAAGACTATTTTTATTTTAAGTATAAGAAAAAACGAAATTAAACTGTATTCCTTATTTCAAACCAAATCTTCAAAATTTTGCTCGCTCTAACTATTAACTCTAAGGACTTGTATCCAAGCCAAAACTATTAATAATATTATGTATAAAATCATTGTAAGTCAATGTATAAAATAGTGAAAATGATTATACCATAGACATCGAGTATACAATGTGGTATACAACCAGAATCATAAACAAGACTTTATGGCGAAGCCCCTTAAAGTTTAAAGGATGGAAAAAAATCCATAGTATAAGGCGAAACCAAATGGAAGTATGATCCTAATGGCAAGGACTTGAATATTATTTCAAGTGCTTTAAATCATACTCAAGTCTCAAGACTGAGGGTCGTATTCCAGAACTGTACTCAATGCTCAAGTCAGGATTTGAGCAGACTTGAGTATGATTTCAAGCACTGGAAATACTACCCTAATGGCAAGGACTTAGCTATGATTTTCAGTGCTCACGAACTCAAGTCCTGACTTGAGTATTAAGTAGAGTTCTGGAATTAAACTACTTGCTCAAGTCAACTTGAGCATTGAGTAGAGTTCTGGAATACGACCCTATATGATTTATTATGAATTTTTATTCCACTCTATAGGTTTGTTATAACTACGATAGAAAAAAATCTTACCTTCTATTTGTTTAGATTATGACGTAATTTGAAATTTTGTTCTAAGTCCCTAAGGCTTGGGTTTTTTTTGTTATTGATAAGACATAAGATTACGCTCTGGACCTTTTGGAGGGAAAAGTATCGTTTTTATTTTGACTTTCAATTATATTGTGAAATCTAGTTTAAAGTGGAATAGGATAGTGCTAGTGTGCCTTAATCGAAGATTAAAACGCGAAATTATACGAATCTCGAACTAAAATACCCGTATCGGCCCGTTTTAAGGAATCCCGAGTCAATCCAAGCACGCCGTCTCAAATTGCCTATCCTCTTTGTGGCGGCCATATTTACAGAAACATATTTCAACTTCATGTTTAGGCTGATGGCTTTGCCAAAGCCTTAATAAATAAAAAAAAAAAAAAGAAAAAAAAGACATAATGTCTTTGACTTCTTCGGCTTCGACGGTCTTTGTATCCAGGTTATACAATACCTAAAAAAAAAAAAGTCAACATTGTACTGTAGAGTAGTTTGTGAAAATCAGCTGTTGAGTGGATTTGCATGGAGAGGAAAAATTTGTTTTTATAAAATCAAATCTCACCAGACTATTTTATTATAAAGTACAACAACAAAAACTACTTCAATTAGTGAAAATTTCTGATATCGTCTACCAATAGTCTGAAATTTAACCGAAAACATGTCGACTGCTATGACTTTTGGTCAGAAACAGTTTATACCAACTCCGCCGGATAAGGGAAGTTTTCCACTGGATCACGAGGGTCTATGTAAGAAGACGATGACGAAATATATGAAATGCCTATTCAACAACAACGGAGACAACGCTCTATGCAGGACAGAGGCGAAAGAGTATCTGGCTTGCAGAATGGAAAATAACCTAATGGCAAAAGAAGACTGGTCTAAGTTAGGCTTCAAAGAATTTGAAATTAACACAAAACAAGATTGACTCAGAAAAAGTGACAGTTTATGTGATAATGTAATTTAGGTAAGATTCTTTATACAATAAATTTACACTTGTAGACTGAAAGTGCTTGTTATTTATAATATATTTGTAGTATGTATAGTCTGTCTTTTCCGAAGATGGAGTGAAATGACAGTTCATTGTGCAAAAGTGTTGTGTATTCTTTATAAGGTGTTCTAGAATGTTGGACAGGGCTGTCAACAAGGTGATAGGTCGGTATCCAGATGGGTCGTTAAATAACTTTCCAGGCTTAAGAATGGGAACAACTATTTGAGTTTTCCAGTCCTCAGGGGGAGTGCCAGAGAGTAAGATATTGTTGATGATATTAAAAAAATAAAGTTTGGAAGAAGAACTAGAGTTAACAATAAGGGAATACGGGATTCCATCAACACCAGGAGATAAATCCTTAAGATAACCAATAACAGGAAGAAGCTCCTCCATAGAGAAAGGAGCTTCAAAACTATTGATAGAGTTTTGTGGAGAGGGGACCCAAACTGGAGAGATTTCTTCAACAGATGGAGTATAAGGAGGTGCTAATTTAGAAGCGAGGGAGAGGAGGGGTCATTGGACAATAATCTAGCTTCTGGAGAAAAAGCACCACGAAACCGTTTTATACCCTTCCAAACTAAAGATGGGGGAGAATTAGGGGAGAGGCGCTCACAAAACTTTTGCCAACCAAATTTTTTCTTACTTAGCAAAAATTTTGTAGTTTCGTCTGCTACTTTTTGGTAATTAGTGTAGTTTTCCCTCATCAGACAAGATGAAAGTAGGGATTCAGACTCTCTACGTTTCTTGACAGCATCCATGCATTCAGAATCCCACCAAGGAGAAGGAAGGAAGATTTCTTTCTTATAGGGATGGACCTATTAGCTGCAGACAGGAGGGCATTTTTGAACTCCTCATACATTATGGATATGTTATTCATGTTGGGAGGAGGAAGGAGAGAAAGTCTTCATTTAAATAGGTATTATATTTATCCCAGTCTGCTTTGGCTGTTTGGAATTTGAGACGAGGAGAGGAGGAAAAAGTCAGAACCGGATCAGGGAATGATATTTTAATAGGGAAATGGTCACTGCCTTAGGAGTAAGGTAGGACATACCAGAAAAATCTAGATGACACAGAAGGAGAAGATAAAATAAGATCAATAGCATTCTTTGAATTTTGGGATGGAAGGACTCGTCTTGTGGGAGAGCCATCATTAAGCACACACAAATTAAAGGTGTCAAAAAGGTCAAGAAATAAAGGCGACACTGAATCACAATAGTACGAACCCCATGAAGAGTGGTGTGTATTAAAATCTCCCATAATAATAGGGGAGGCGGGATCAAAGAAAAGATTCAAAGATCAGAGAAGAGTTCAGGGATCATGGAAGAATGAGGGTAGGGTAAATAGAGAGATAAAAAGGAAATATTATTCACCTTGACAGCGACTGCACTAATGAAGTCACTGTGCAGGGGAAGGGAGATTTGGGAAAAGGTAATAGAGCGGGCAACTAAAATAGCTGCATCGCCATGGTCATCCCAGAGGCAAGCGCAGCCTGGAACTCGAAAAATAGAGTCGGGCTTCTACCATGTCTCCAGGACGGCGATGAGAAAGGGCTGGTGTTTATTAATAAGGTACAGTAGATCAGTTTTTTTATTAGAGATACTACGACAGTTCCATTGAAGGAGAGCCTGGGCCATTTTGAAGGGAAATAAGAGAAATCAGTTCAGTCAGTTTTTGACGCATGTTGTTCGGTAAGCTAGAGTCTGAGAAGCGGGATACCATATTCATTAGGGTATTTAGCAGCTCTATGAGATTATCGTTTTGAGATGCTGAGTCCTGGGACAGGGCACATCCATTGGGTTGGGAAGAAGGGGGTTCACAGACAATATTGAGATGAGCTGTTCTGTCAAAGCTGGGGTTAAGAGAAGTGGTGGATGGTTTACGGGCCGACATAATGGTTTTGCGATATGATTGTGAAACATTTTGGGAGTAGGATTGGGTCGGCATGGATAACGTTTGGGACAAAGGAGTGGAGGGGGATCTGCAGGTGTCAGCGAATGACTTTCTAGTTTGAGGAAAACGAGCTGAGAATTCCGTATTCGAGAGATTTTCCTGTGACATAATGAGTTTAATATTACGTTGCCTGAGATGTTCAGGGCAAATGCGGTTGTTGGCACAATGATTGCATGAGCAGGATAGGCAGGAAAATTCGGTCACGTGACGTTTTTTGAAACACCGAGGCTTCGACCTACATTGGGCTTTAGTGTGCCCAAATCTACAACAATTGTTGCACTGGATTGTTGGAAGGAGATAACATTCTACCGGTAAACTGTTATAAAAGCAAAAAACTAGGGGGTAGAGAACGGCCAGAGAAGGTTAAGACCACCGACTGGGTAGGTATCCATACCGGAGAATTGTTTTCGCCGGCAGATTGTGTACTCAGTCGACGGGCTTTAATAATGCGGCCAAAGCCGGAGGAAACAGAGATATTTTCAACCACATCTTCCATAGACCATTCTGTAGAAATGTTACGAATTATTCCCATGCGTGTAACATGGAAAGATGGTATCACTGCAGCATACTTTGCTATGGCAAGGGCAGGGTGGATCAGGCAAGAATTTGCATGTTGAGTAGAGTCAAATTCAACAGCAAACCGATTTCGACCAAATCTCTTTACGCCGTCCCTAACAACTCCAAGGATATTATTCTTAAACAAGAAGTGCCCAAAATTAATGGCACGCATGGATATACCCGAGGAAGGGTCGCTTTCTATGCGTTGGATATTAATTACGAAAGGAGCAATATCTGTCTTCGAGTAAGACGATTTCACAGTTTTGAAGTCGGGAATGTGGTTTGAACGGAATGGAACGCAGTAAATGATTTTTTGGGTGGAAGGGAGTCCTCATTGTTGAGGGCCCTTTTCCGGGATTGGGAATAGATTACATTATTATTATTATTATTATTATTATTCACGCATGCCAAGGAGTACTTTTCAAAATTCAAAATAATCTTTATTTCATAGTTATTACACTTGAAATCGTCACAATGGTTAAACTCTACCGCTCATTTGTAAGGCAGATTCCCCTGAGAAGAATGAGCAAGAAACTCTAGGGGATGCTCTTTGTGAATAACATTTGTACACATTCAACATTTACAATATATATAATATTTTTTTATTTGAAACATCCGAGATCGAGACTATCTCCATGAGCTAAACGGCTTACTACCACGGATTTTTGTCATCCAAGTACGCAGAAGTTGTATAATAACTTTAGTATACAATTTTTGTTTCACTATAGTTTTAAACCTCGTGAAAGGCAAATTTTGCATATCAACCGGAATCTTGATATAGAAGCGTATACATTGCCCCTTAAATGATTTTTTGACTTTGTGAAGACTATCAAGAAAAGGTAGTTTATTTTTATTCCTCGTATTAATGTTATGTCTGTCACTATTTTTACACTTACACAACTTACTTACACAATTTACACAACTGAGGGGACCGTGCCCCCTGGATCAGGGGGCTCGTCCATTTTAAAAACTCACCAGATGACGATGATTATTTACACAAAAAACAATATATACAATCAAATAAATAATATATACACAAATACTACACTCCTGACCACCTAATTACAATTATTATTAAATTTTCAATTTATAAGCCGAAAAAACTTATCCGCCTAAATCGAGCTTTCCCGCGCTTTCCATAACATAGATTATATGCGCCTGATGGTAAGCTACTCGTCTGTCCGTAACAGTTACAGAACCACTCAGAGCTTTAAATTGCAAAGATCTGCACCTACCACTGCTCCCGTCATGCGTCACCCTGAGACAGGTTGACAAGTTCCATGTGCCTGTAATTTATAAATTATAAAAAAACATTTCTTTTTACGGCGGTGAAAAATGCTTTTAATAAGTGAAATCTCTAAAACCCCCGTATTGGTAGGTATCAATCATGTATCAATATACCAAGTATCCGATATCAATGTCGATATTATAATAATCCATGGAATTACTTCGTAATGATGACTTAGAAGTGAATTACAGCAATCGTTGGCGTAAAAATTTTGAACGGTGGATTTTTGGAGTAAAAAATTAAAAACGAAAAAAATTATTCTAATTCATAACAAAAATGGCGAAAAACCAATTTTGGTCACACATTTTTATGAAACACTCATAAAGGCCTCCGCATGCCAATTTTCAAATGGATTTGAGCAATTTTTTTTCTGCCGCCAACGTATGCTTGTATGGCGGTTATATTTGAAAATGGCGAAAAACCAATTTTGGCCACAAATGAATATCAGGCACTCTATACACCTCCGCATGCAAATTTTCTTCCGAATCAAAGTAAGTATTTTCCGGCAGCCATTTTTAAATAAAAAAGAACGTTTGAATTTATTATCTTATTAGAAATTGGTGAAAAAACCTTTTGACTCCTAAAGAGCCTCGCATGCCAATTTTCAGCCGGAACGAAGCAAGTTTTTTTCGGTTGCCATTTTGAATTCGGCGTCTTGAATTTTTTTGACAGTATGTTGGCCACTGTTACCCTCTATGACGTTCCTTCCTGAACCTATTTGTAATAGTTTTCGTGATAGAAGACCTTGCAATTTGTATGGCGGCCATTTTGTTTATTTAAATTTCAAACATTTTTCACATCCGGCGGAAATTGGCCAGGGTGTACTGTACCTCAAAATGTGCACACATATCGCCTCCATTTATTATAGTTTTTGCAGCCCATTGGTCACTTTCATATTTTCCACATTTTTGCTTTGGAATCTATCCCTGTGCATACAATGGTATAAATTTCTTATTTTCCACCATATCGCGAAGTATGCGTATCAGTGAGTAAGGAATTTGAAGCTTTTATTCAGTTTTTTTTAATGGGACAGTAGGGGGAAATCCGAAACCAAAAAAAGGTACATACAAGGAAACTGTGTTAGGAACCATTATGTATTTCTGAATTATTTTTGTTAGCTTGTGTACTTTCATTGCTGAGTAAAGTGATTATTATTCGTAACCATAAATTAAATATGGAATACCTATGCCTTGTGGTGACAGGTTTTTGTCTCTATGTTTTCTCTGAGTACTTTTCTCCATTAACTTTATAGCTTTTCAAAAATTGACTGTGAGGGAAATAAGGCAAAAATGAACATCCTTAGAAAGACTTTTATTTTTTTCTTATATAATATTGAGTATTTATTATTTTTAGAACATTACAAAATTTTGATTTATTTTTATCGCCAATAGCTTAATATGGCATTTTTTTCATAAAAGTAAATATCACAGTTAATAAAATTATTTGTGACCAAACGAATTGTCAAAAACCTAATGTAAACACTAGAATATAATGAGCGACTTGAGAGGTACAACTCTTATTCAGGGACAAGTCACCTCAACCTATAATGAAATTACTATATAATGTAAAATTTCCCCCGTTCACACTTTTACAAAATTAATGTATTATATCTTTATCTAATTTAGAAATAAAATTTAGGCAATAATTATATATAATTAATTACACATAGGATATATAATTAAAGATAAGATACTACTATATACTATTTAAAATTATTTTCAAATTATACCCACTGCTCATTGCATAAGTTACTTTATTATGTATGTACTTAGATTATGCATAAGGTTTAAGTTACATATAGGTAAATGGGTATTAGATTACTTTATTAAAACAGAGTTTGGAAGAGACATTTAGGTAGATTTCTCAATTACAGGACACAACAGTAACATACAAAAATATTTAAAGAGAATTTATTCTGTACAACTAACTAACTATAGTAAGCACCATTATCATTCCATCTAGAATCAATTTCTTCCTTTTAAATTGGCAACACACCTATAGCTTCTATAGCACAGCAATCTTTCCATCCTCGTATAGTTTATAAGGCCATTTCATTAATCTATTCTCATATCTAGTATTTAAACATTACATTACAACAGAATTACAACACGAAATGGTATTGTATGGGAACTAAAGAAGGATATGGCATTTTTTTAGGAGCGCCGCCGCTGTCGATTAATCACTCACAAGCGCACTGCCTCCATTAATTCTCGTATTTTGTCCACCAGTTGCCAGTTATTTGTACCTATTATTGCGATATTGTTGTTTGCAATAAAGACATTATTCTATTAAATAGGTGTTTTGTTACAATTTTATTTTATTTTACAAATTACAGAATAAGTGTACCTCTTTTAACCAGCACATATATAAGATTATATTAGAGAAAATACAGATTACAATAAGTATAGATATTTCATGTGATATTAATAATAATTATATTATGAAAGCTTGAATTTGTATTCATATGCATATTCTACTAAGGCATTCTGTGGATAGCAAATGTCTTTATATGTTCATGATAATACATAGGTATTTAAAATGTAATATCATTATTAATTAAATTCCACTTATAGTAAAACATAGTATAATGTAAGTAATCTTAGGTAAGTATGGATTTCTATGAAATTATTCTATTTTCACATTATTAAATACTGACATCGAGGACACAAACTGTACAGAAGCTAAATGAATGGTGTTTTATACCTTACATGTCATAACAAATCAAACACTCGATCATATTGAGATCAAAATGTACATACAAGAAATAATAAATTGTAACTAGGTACTAGAATTATTCTAATTGGTTTACATAATTTTATATTATTATAATAATATCCAGAATAATGGGAATTAATACTAAACAGGCAGTACAAAGTTTGTGCAATAGTTTACTAACACTTAAGTATTAAATCAGACCGTTCCGATATGTACTTGTTCGTAGACAATTTTACCAACAAGAACCTTTATGAAAAAGGACCAACTTTAGAATAACGAACAAGAGTGTCCGTCGGTTTCACCGATAAAAAAAATTGAAACCTTATGCGGGTGCCAACTGCAATGAAAGTTCCTTTGAACTTTCCTACAAAAATATATAGCAATGTATATCTGTAGGTCAAAATAGAGACAATCTACAAATGTACGTTATCGGACTAATTTATATTTGTATGTAATTGTGCGTAATTTATATAAGTGAGTAATTTATATAAATCCGACAATTTACGAGCCTGTTGCTTTATAAAACATTTCGTATTATTTAAAGCGTGAAAAAGTTTTAAAAAATTTGTTGCTTGCTTGCAACAAATCATGAAATTGGTCATTTTTTACGTACGTGTCAATCACTATCATTTGTAGAGGTAATTTTAACAAACACGTGGCACAAGTCTTAATCGTAAGCAGTCGTATAAATTTTTTTTTCAAGAATAATATAGACTAACGGTATCGAATGTAGCTTATGAGTACTAGGATATAAGAGAAAATAGTTAATTTATTGACTATATGATTTGGAGCGGAGCTGGGTGAGTGTGGTACTGAGCTGGGTGAAGGTGGTTCTGAGCTGGGTGAGTGTGGTACTGAGCTGGGTGAGCGTAAGGTTGACCCAGGGGCCTGTGGTGTCCGAAAAGGGTAGCGACGCCCAGTGCGCTCAGCGGGACAGTTCATCCAGAACTGAGCTGATGACATTTGTCGCTCATGTTCTACCCTCATCTGTAGGTCATTAAACTTCCAGAATCCTTTTCCTTTGAAGAAATATGTCTTACCTATAAAAGAACAAGAATGAGGCATTAAGTAAGAATTTACCTAGAAAGTTGTTTTACAGAAAGCAGCTAAGTTTTTCTTACCATCATTCCACTGGAATACACTGTCGATGTTGTAGCCTACACCTGCCCACATGGCCATATTGCGAGGGTAGTCCGGCTCCACGCGTTCTGCATCTTCATCATACCTGCGATCAAAATTAAAATGAACTTGTTCTAATAATCGGAAAAGCTTTAAAACTTCATGGTTTTTTAATGACTTACTTCCAATACATTGTTCCACTATAGAAGTATGTCTTGCTGTTATGTCCCCAAATCATTGCAGCGTCTAACTTCTGTAGGTCCTCCGGTAATCCTAACTCCACTAAAGATTTTGGATATCCTGCTTCTAAATCTCGTGTATTGAACAAGTACAGCTTTTTGCCTGAAATAAAACAAAGTATTATTTGTCAAATGCCAAAAATAAAACTCAATCATAATTTGATACCTACGTAGTAGGTAAATATAACGGACAATGTCGTTCCTTACCAATAAAGAAAGCTATCTTGCCGTCAGGTCTTTCGTACACAGCATCAACATGAGTAAGCCCTTTTGGTAGTGCAGGCCACATTCTCGTTATTTCTATAGGATATTCAGGATACTGTCCCTTGGATCCTATCCTCCAATGGTACTGAGAAAAAAAACAGCAAATTATAGGTAAATATTCCGAATAATAAACATAAAGCATAATACGATATCTGAAAAATCTTTCTTGGATTCTTGTTATTCTTACTCTATTTTTGAAGATGAAAACTTCTCCACGTATCATTGTTACAGCATCGTAACTAGTATCACAAGCATCAGGTTTATCCGAAGGCGGAGTTGGCTTAGCCGTGGTCTTCTCTGGGTAATACGGTTTTCTTCTTGGGTAATAGTCTTTGTTAGGGTCATTAGGGTAAATTGGCTTGTAGCTAGGATATTCTGGTCGCACGTTGGGATAGCGGGGTCGATGTGTAGTGGGATTAACAGTGGTTTCAGTAGGACGAGGGTAGTGGTGGGTAGGTCTTCGCGGATGATCTTCAGTGGTGTTGTGATGTCGACGGTCGGGAGTTATCCTGTCTGGATAATTCGGTCTGTCATTGTGGTTTGGTTTATATGGATTTCGCGGATAGTAAGTCGGGTATTTGTCGCGCGGGTGTGGGGTATAGCTGGGCTGATGGTGTGGATATTTATCGTAGTGGTGGGTATTATGGTGATAGATGTAAGGCTTTCGGGTTGTAGTAGTCGTAGTTGTTGTGGTTGGACGAGTTTCTGTCGGTCTATAAGGGGGAATTTTTGCCCAACTTGTTCTTTCTTTTGGACCTGTAAAAGTAAATACAATGGTTAGTATTTCTTATCGTCTCATCACCGTTAAGTTTCGCATATTCAATTTCACACATATACCTACCATACATTTGCTGAATGCCATTTCTATCATCGTCTGGTAGCACCAAGTTTGGTTGAACTCCTTGATACCATGGGTACATGAGTGCTCCCTTAACAGAACTATGAAGGAGCCCGAGCGAGTGACCAAATTCATGTGCGGCTACTTCGAATAGCGATGTCCCTGAAATAGTAACCATTTCCATTTTAGCAATATTCGAGTAGTAACGTCATAATTCAAGAAGTACAAGGTGTGTGTATTTATACATGGCTACCCGAACACAAACCGAAGCGTCGATGTAAACGTCCGTTCGTGTAAATTATCACGTGTGCGGTGTAGCAGTGTAATCGTAGCAATCCACACTGCTGTGGTCGCGGTTCATATCGAATTGCATACAGACTCAATCCTATTTGGAAGCGTTAGCTGCACAACGTAGTGCACTACGTGGGACGAAACTAATGAATTCCATGATGCAATTTTGGTAAGCTAATCAAGTTTCTGTATGTGTAACATAGCTAGTCCCACAACTGAATGAAATTGGATTACTGTGAGCCGAATATGTAACCATTCTAAATTGGTAAGCTCTTTGCGCTGTTTAGGTAATGGTATCGGGTAAAATATGAGGAGATTTTAGAACTTTTTATAAATATAATAAAGCCTTTTATAAATATAATAAAATATAATAAAGCTTTTGGTATCTGTACTGTGCTGACTGGGCTATTTGTTGGGCAGTCACGCCCTGCTTTTGCCCCAGTATTTGCAAGTTAGACCAATGGTTACCTCGACACGCTAATTTTTGAACTACGTCACGTGTTGCGGAAAACGAAACGATACTGTTTATATAAGACACTGTTTACTAGTTGAGAGTTTAAAAAAATAGGTACATACAACACATACCTACGCAGCGGAATTCGTCTACCAAAAACATGTAATATGTAAGATACTAGAGCCTCCATAGTTAGATGTTAAGGAACAAGGAAGAACTATAAAATTCTTAGTTGAATAGCGAAAACATTTTTTTATTATTAATAGTTGTTACGCTCACCTTCTTCATCATCGTTTTTCGGTTGCAGCAGCCAGAGCTCGTCATCATCGAAGTGTGCGTCGCCCCCGCGTCCTGAACCAGGGAAGAACGCGTGCGCAAGAATAGCACCACGCCCATCGAATGCGTACGCATCGCCATGAGCTCCTCTGTAACAATAAATTGTTAATAATAATAATCTTTTGCATTCTGTAGAGTAGGTATAACAATGGTTATTAGAGTAATTACTAAATATAGTATTTCTCCCGCATAATATTTGCTGTCATATTTTATATTACCTTACCTACCTAATAACATTGTATAAGTTTGTTTTTAAGCCATTGATCAATCTATAATTTTACATAGTGTGCCTAAAAAGGAGTAATAAATTATTTGTAACGGGTAAACATGATCAATATGACGGAAACAGCAAAGTTAAAGTGGTTGTCTCGATGAAGCACGGTTTAACTGCTGATGAAAATTCCCACTGAACTTAATATATTCATTTCGCAACAAACAACTGTGCCGCAGTGGATGGAGGCTGTGGAGCAATCAAACTTGTGTCCCTGGGTGCTCGCTCTCGGACACTACCCACCTAATCATTTTTCGCGCCGTCGAAACAGCGGAAAGACCTCCTCGGCCATGCATATTTCACGCAATATTAGCTGACCGCTGCGTTATTGAGTTTCCATGTGAAAGTTTTACCATAAACCGGTAAGGCGGGGAATACGCAGAATGTTCTTTAGCTTAGCTGTATATATGTACATACATAATAGGAGTAAAACTTTGTAGTGTTATTTTTGAACTAGATATTGGTATTTAAAATAGGAGTTTGTTTAGAACCTACATACCTAAAGCCATAATGGTGTTTACAAATTTAGTTTATGATTTTTAATACGCTCGATGATTACTCCGTGTTCAGTTTCTTGTATGAATGGTTTAAATTTGTCAGGTTTTGTCTAGGTTCATAAATTCTATGTATGAGTTGTTTTCGAGTTAGGTATATTCTGTAAAGCATTCGCGGTTGGGTGAGTCGTCAGGGTCGTATAACCCTTTTCCACGGAATGAGTGTCTCGCTGACATACGCCATCAAACGTAATGGCTTCGGAATGGAAAGTTTCCGAGTTAGGGATGATTTATTGCGCCGCCGGTGGTGCCTTTCTTCACAATGACAGTGGTGAATCGACATACAGGTGCATTCGTCCAGAGATGTACTGCCACCTTATCTATTTCTGCCGCCAAGCAGTGATGTGAGCAATTGCTCACTTGTTTCAGGGTGACGGGCGCACTGTCAGTGCTCCTGAAATTGTTGCGGTTTAAAGCTCTGAGTGGTACTGCAACCGTTCTGGACAGGCATGTCGCTTGCCACCAGGCGCACGTCTTGTTCGTCCCGTCGCTTGTTTTTGTACAAAAAGTACATTCAAAATGGGTCTTCCATTTTTGTACAAATCTTGAACTATTTGTGAAACTTTTTTCCATAGGTAATTCTTGTTCATGGTTAGTTTTTAAACAAACATTTTAAATTGATTATTTCGGAAGTTTAACAAACCTTGTTACGCCGCTACAATGACGCCACGGCCGATCATGCCTTTATCAGTTTTATTTATAATAACACTAATAACTCAAGTTATAGCTTACAGTGAGCATTTCAATACGCATCCTTTATTACAACAGTAGTATAGTTGAGTTTATGGATGTAATAAATTCAGTAACGTGCTCGGTGTACAGGGTGGTGCGCTTAGCGCAATCACTCTCATCCACACGTCTCGACGGGAAGCGATGATGGAAACACTACCCAGCGTAAAATATAAGGCGGTTTAGTAACAAAGTTGACCTTAAACCGTGAGCATCATGTCAACACTTTTTTTTAAAAGTTGTTGTTCGCCAAAACCTTTGAAGATCTAAGACGAAACAAAGAATACCTGTCAAATCTTATGTAGAGAGCAGTATTGTTCAATTCATTTGCGAAAAGATCCTGTAGAATTATTACACGTATATCTGTATTGAACATCTTTGACGTAGAATATCCTAAGAAACGGAAGATATATCGTATAGAATATATAAAGTTATCGGCACGCATAAAATCTACGACAGGTACCGTATTACCGCAGTTATGCCGTGTATATAACTGCAGTCGCGTCCTTTGACAATGTAAAGAGCGAACCCTAGTTATCGCTGTTCAAATGTAAAAAACATCTTTCCAGAATTCAGTCGAGGATTTGATGTCGTTTAATGAGTCTCTCTGTATGAGTATCGAAGTAGATTACTGAAGAACTAAAGACGAGAATCTTTTGCGTAAGATTACTATTATTTTGAATTTCATGAGCTCATGCGATAATAATGTTTGCAAAAAGCACTACGTACGTTATCAAAACAATATCAAGAGCTGTGGGTTGTATTTCGATTTGTGCGGGTAACTAATAAACTGAGCACGCGTCCAAGTTTCAGCCGCTTGAGTTTGGGAAAAAAGAAAATTTTATGCAGACCACAGTGAAGTTGGTGCTTGGGCTGCAAGTTCGCAGCAAGCCGCAATATGGCGGTCGCAATATGTCCACGGGTGGGGTTTTTGTCGCCACTACTTTCTCATATCGGCGTCGACGGTGATCTAATAAGGGAAACTTCGCCTTGCGCTCATTTGATATGCGACGCCTGTCGGGAACTCCGCGTCATTTGTCAAGCTGCAATACCTACCGCCATTCGGGAGCGGGACCGATACACCGGGACTGCATACTATCATTATCGCGTATTATTTACCGATATCTAAACCACTGTGCGCAGAATAGGTTCATTGTAATTTCAGTACTTTGAAGTGAAATAAATATATGGCATGAAGGCATGTAAAGAGCAGCCAATCGACCTAACATTTTTATTGTATTGTAAATATTTTTATTGTAAAAATGAACTTTGTTCAACACTCTGACCCAATTCAAGTACCAAAACCAAATATTTTAAAAGTCATTTAGACTGAGAGACAGAATAACTGAAGCCTTTAAACAAATGGATAAACAGGGATTGTGGAAACCCATGGGACCAAACTTTTCAGTGCAGCATTCGAAAATATCGTCTTTAAATTTCCATATTCTATATAGTATTATCTACGTTGAACATTGACATTTTAAACAGGAAAATATATAGAGAGGGCTTCAGACAACGAATGACAACCGCGTGCAATGAATACAAAACAAGGAGGGCGCGCGCACTGCATTACTGAGACAAAAAGTTAATTTAAACTAAGATCTTTCTCAAAAATGCTATTTTATAAAGAGAGAGTGAAGGTCTTTACGAAAAGGGAGTAGTCCTGCTGAAACTATTTGGCAGTATATTCTCCCAGGTAAACTATTTCCAGTAAACACGAAGCAATTTTCCGTTTGCAGTATTAGATAAGTAGCAAAGTGGATTTAGCGAGTCACGTCCCCTGAATGAAAGTGAATCGTGAACGGAACATCCCACGACGGGAAGCGATGCGTCAGCGTGCCAATTTTCACTTTAGACACTTATTTTGTTGTGGAGCCATTCTAAAAGTTAAAAATACCGAGTAATATTCAAGTCCACGTAAACCTTGTACATATCTGTGTACATGTAGGTACAAGGTCCATTATAGTCCTTTTCCTTACAAATATCCTTAACTAATAAATAATATTCATGGCAATGAGATGCAAAACCACTAGCACGAATTAATTTTATTTCTTTTTAAAAACATATTTTATTGAAAGTATTGTGGTTATGGTGGGCTACGAGTTGCGACCCTATTCTAATGCCTCGCACGAGAAGCTCACAAATCCCCTTAAAATGGATAGGACGTTTCTCTAAATCCTTACTTGATTATTATTTATTATCAGGGTGATAAATCAGCTAAAGAAATTCCCACTACTTTTTAGAACAAATCTACTCGATATTTTATTTGTAGCCTACGTTCGCTGTACGATTAGGTAAAAGAGTAAAGAATATTCATCGAATTTGTAAGGATTATCTTATAATCGGGATTTTGACGGAATAGTAAATTAACTTCAAAGTCTAAAACAGTTTTCGACAAGGGTTAGTTCATTGTTATTCTATACTTACATACATAAGTTAACGTTCATAAAATAAATTTTCTATTTGATTTTCTCCATCGAATTTCCTTGAGTTAGATAGTTTAAACATATGTAGCATTATACTCAATTACATTTACTTATAGCTACAGATTAGCGAGCATGCCGAGCATGAGCATTATTTGGTAATAATTATAAAATATTCTTTAATGTCTTGGAAGCTTTGACATTCCTATTGTGCATTATGGATGGATGCTATGTCTTATCCCTCCAAGAGGAGTTTCGCGTCAATATGCACAAATTGATATGTTTACTTGTGTAAAAAGAGTACTTACTTGGCGAAAGAGACAACGATATCAGCTTCGTCGGAGTTGATTTCCTTGAATGTAAGCCGTGAAGCCTGCTGCCAGACGTCGAGTGCGCGCGCCAACACGCTGCGGGTGTGGTATGGGTCGACCTGCGAAGGTCGCCTCACCGATGACAAGCTAACAACAAAAGAAAGACATTTTTATATTATACGCTTAAGCTACCGTTAAGTTTTTACACGTACAATACTTATAAATGTATTTAAAAAAAAGTAAAAGAGTACTTCAACCAAAAGCGAAAAATACCGTAAGTAATAATGAAAAAGCATGATACAAATAAAATGTGGATCCATACCTACATGAACAAAACCATAATATGGTAAACACACACAAACATGTACAAACGGTACACACTGGTTTTCCAAAGTGTGATAATTACTTGTTTTCGAATGTGTGCTAAAATATCAGATTACAATAATATGAAATCGAATACGTGTGTTTTCATAACCTAACGACGACTAGTAAACAGATTAGAATTTTATCTGTGACCAGGCTCTCCAGGGCGGCTCCGGTCAAGTCATTAAACGCAAATTGTTTATTGACAAAGTATCATGTTATATAATTAAATCCCTGCAGCGTCTAGTTTGTCCCTCAGATTTCCGTTGACGGACTTGGGAACTTATAATTGCTGTTACCGTGACCTGTACCAGTAACTTAAAACAGAGGGGTTAAATGTCACTTTATCATAGCTTTTGTTCATGAAACTGGGTGTTAACTGGGGAAAAAAACCTACTAAGTCTTTTCATTATTAAATTAAATTATGACTGTTAGGTACGTCTAGCAAATTGTGTTACAGATTGTTGAATAGTTAATGGAATTGATAACCAAGCGAGTGAAGTATTAAAAGGCTTTAAGCGCATATCACGTGTAGGGAGCATTTGGAGTGATCACGGCCAGCATTACAGTACCAGGTAACGAAATAATCGCATTGTGAACAATTTGAGTGACGCGGCCCTATTTAACGCTTGCTGCGTTCATTACTCAGGATTATGCGTTGTCATGTGCACAGTAGACTTCATTAGACCGCACGCAATTTTAATTAGAGATCTAGTGCAAACCGGATATGTCGCTAAGCTGGAATTTACTGCGTATATTAAAAAGCCTTTGTATCGTGTATTAATTTTAAATGAACCCGTTGTATGCATCGCGGGTCGCGGTTGAGCGCAGGCCAATGCTGCGGTTAGGTATTGTTTCATATTTGTGCAACGCATTATGCTGGATAAAATATCGCTTCCGCCGGTTGTGCAAACTAACCAGGGTGGTAACTAACCACCGCTGTTAATTATTTTATTAAATTAAGAGACCTGGTTATATATGTGCTAATAAATTATTTGATCCGAAAATGAGTATTTTTTTCTGCGTCATCCATAAACCGCAGTGGAACGGATCATACATAATGCATTTCTAACAGACTATACATATATTTTATAACTATCACGTGATAATATTTGGTGATGCCTGAATTCGATTCAAAGCCCAATATGTATTTTTGACAGACTGTACATATATTTTATAAATTTATAACGTGATAATACTTGGCGATGCCCGAATTAGATTCAGAGCCCATGTGTTTCTGAGAGATTATACAAATATTTTATAATATTTGGTGATGCCCAAATTTAGAGTAAAAATGAGCTAAAATGATGTGCAAAATAATTTATGAACTCTTTTAATTGTCGGGGCAGGACAGGACAGTGGAGCGGCGAGCATGGAGGATGGTAGCCGCTCGAAATTTATTATTGCCATATTAACATCGCCGCCGGCTGGCACGCACTATATCAGCCAACTAGTTAATTGCAAGCCTTGGATGAAATTCGCAACCGCATTTCAAAGTTAATGTTGTTACATCAGCCCGAAATAATGAGGGCTGTAATGCATGAGGGAATTCCCGCTGTCCGCTTGATAGGATTATTGTTATTCTTCCTAGATTCATGTCGCTTCATTTAATTTTATTAACCATCGTGTCCTGTAACGCCCCTCTTATTGACGTTTCTATGTTTAGTAACAAAATGGGAAGATAAATATGACGTACAAGTACGACTTTGGAAAAAAGAGCTTTTTTTAAAACTACACAAATTCTGCTCTCTGCTTATATTTAGTTCACTCTAACGATATCTGTGTCTTTCGTTCACACTGAATATTTCACTTAAAGACGTCAATGAATATTATAAAAGTAACATATAATTATAATAAGTAATTATAAAAAAGATTGTAAACGTAAGCCTTGCTAAAAAAACAACCAGTTAACGCAGAGACAATATTGTAGATTTTAAGTTATTATCAGTGATTGTAGAACCGGTACGTCAGTATGAACAATGGTAGTCCCAGTGGCGGTCGTCAGTCGAACAGGTTTCAGCCTCAGGCTGCTGCCCTCATCAATATGTGTCTTCACACCTCACTTCACTAATTGTCTGATAATCACGTTCACTACCACCCTCTAGCATCTCCTTCCCCCCTACCAATCTCACGGACGTCGTTAGCCATTCATTCCGATATTATTTTAATTCTGCTTCTTTTAAAACGAAACAAAAGTACTGCAAGTAAATTTCTTACATATAACTAAAAACTTCCTTAAGTTGATTGACAACTCTTAGTTATTGATACAAGTTAAAGGTTAGCTGTTAAAACGAGTCATAATTATGTGGATATGCGCAATTATTAAGAAATAATGTTTGCTCCACAAAACAAAAAGTTGTTTTAAGTAATTTGTTTAGCTTCCCCAAAATTATTACCAAATATTTTTACAAGCGCTTTAAAAATATGGTTTACAAATTCCATATAAAATACTTTACGCAATCAGCAATTAAATTGTACCATTTCTATTTTTCCTGAATTGGAATGCTAAAGATTTGAAACTTGCCCAAGAAGCCAGAAAAATATTGCTGAAAAAACGAGGTCACCCAGGTATAATTTTCATTTACAAGAAACGCGTGAATAGCTATTGGGAAACTTGTTCAACTTTCCATTACTTTTGGAGGACTTCGGCACGTTGTGTGGCGAGGCAGTTTAAAGGAGTTGCGAGTAAACAGAAGCCTACCGGTCGTAGGGTAATTGTGTCAGTTCTGTCCGCGTGACCGGGTGGTTGGGGAGACCGGCCACGTGAGCACGTGACCACCCCTGTTGTTGATAATATTTGGCTCAAGCTGGATCCTGCGCCACCTTGGCGACTCCATATGGAAACCTGTCACTAACAAACTCGTCTATTATTCGCAATTCACAATATATACAGTCCCATGTGCGCCCAACAATGAATTCAACCAATTTATTTGCACGAGGAAAATATCCTCATTTTACAGTATACCGACAATGCGACGTTTATTGTAGGGTGCCCGTCCAACTTATCGTTTCGTTAACAGATTGACACCCGCATGGGTCCATGAATATCTTTATTCACTATAAATAAATCTCATTGTTATATTTATTGGTCATAAACTGTCAGAACTCGTGTTCGATACTCACATTAAAACGTTTCTGTTTAATTTAGCAGAGGCGGGACGAAACTGAGTTTATAACATGAAATAATAAAATATGCGATATCATGACGACATGGCGTCTTGACAACGAACGGACATAATCTCGTTACGATGTCATAACAAAGAGATTTGTAAGCATGAAGTTTATGGTCTGTGTCCAACGAGCTTAAATTTAATTTTCTGAAATAATCTGTCAGCGAACCATTAAGAGCATTCGTCCATGCACCGTACCAAGAAAGTTACGTTTTACGATCTCCGAAGATTCTGTGAGCGAGCGATGTAATTTTGCTACGATTACATTTATTATTTATCTCAAATAGGGTTGGTTTATAATATATGATAAAAATACTCAAGCTACGGTTTTCGTTGGTGAAGATGACATAAAGTTGAAATTACAATGTTATTTCAGTGTTGAGGGAGGATTAGCATAAAAATAATAAAATGTCAGCTGGTAACGGTCCCCCGCGGAGTGACAGGTCCCTGCATGTTCCGCGCGCGACCGCCGACCGCCCTGTCATAACGATTGGCATCCTCGACGACACGAAGCATTTTACCTCATTCGTTAATAATAAAGCTGATAAATAAGTATTATTTGCGTGGTCTCTTTGACGAAACGTTGGATGATGTTTTTTATTATTTCTGTATAATAAATTAGCTATCTAAGATAATTCTCATGGGGCTTTGTGCTCTAGGACATGTCTAGGACAGAATAATTCACTACCAGTCGCAGCCGGAATATAAAGCAAAGCAATTTTGTGGCAATGTGAGCACTGATTTGGAGAATTAATTTATTTGTTGAACAATCTGAATATCGAATCTGAAATTGAGATGTTTCAAAAATGTTTAATGTTAATGCTCACGTGTCGGCCTCATCGCTGCATTAATTGCATACGTGACCCGCATGCCGCGCGGTGCTGCGGTTCCACTCGCAAACCAACTGATTGACCTTTATCGGGTTTGTATGACCGATGACGTCGATCGATAATTGAATTTTATTGTTTAACATCCGGAATGTACCGTCAATACGTTACTGTCGGTTATGTTCCACCTCTTATACTATTCATGTGATTATTATAATAACTAACGCCTTGGCAATAATATGCGCTTTTGAAACGGATCTCGAGCTAGCAGCGGCATCTCTGGGAGGCTCGCCGTTGAACGCGGCACAACGACACCGATAAGCGACGCGGCAATAGGCATTGATTCTCACTGGGGACTTCAATAGCGTCTGCCTAGCTATTCTTCGATCTATAAAAGGGTTTAGAGCGCCTCTTCAAGGAAATTTCAAATTCATTGCTTCATGTGACCTCTTCACAGTTTATAGGTGTGGCCGTTATCGGTTCTCTTTATGAGTTGTCGTCTCGTTAAGCGCTTTTAGTAGGTAGAGGAGAACCATTTTGCGTTATGTCAGATTAAATACGAATTTATTGAGCAATAATTAGTGAACGGTAACGGGCAAAATGGCTAACACCATGTGACGTCAGAGGCGACGTCGTCGTCGAATCCTAATTGACCTTTATCATTTCTCCAATAATGGCTCGATAGCTCCTTTGAATGCTGTCGGCCGCTCTCACGTGAACTATTGTGAATTGACGCTCTGGGGATTTGAGAGGATTTCCAGACAGCGCTTCACTGTCTATACAAACATTAGCTACCAACATTGTTATGTAAGACGTTCATGTTTATAGAGCTTGTAATGGCTTTCTAATGTCTGTCTCATTATAGGATTAGATAGTTGGCGACAACGATTCGGTGTAAAATGAATTAACAAGGCATTGTAAAGAAGTATATGTCTGGCGTGTAATGATGCACTAAACGTCTGCTAGAGGTGTATTTAGATTGGGTTTTCACGCTCGCCGGTGCACATAAGAGAAATTAGCAAATCTGGCGGCCGGGAGCGGAATTAAGTCGAGAGTAACGTTGTTATGGCGGTAATGGCATATTACCGTTCGCTCGCTCAGTGCGGGCATTTGCCGGCGCACTTCGGGACGCGGCTACCAAATTGAAACGATTTTTCAGTGACATGATTGCATTGGCGATCACGTTTAGCAGTTCTGCTATCTAGTCCAGACCCCGAACTATGAACGATAAATAGATTTCTTAGAATTTTTGAGATGTATATCTCCTCATAAATACTTAGAGACGGAAAATATTCGCGTAAAAATTAAAACGTGTGAGGAAGGAAACGTCTTTATAGCTTGAGCTATCAAAGTGCTACATGAGCCGTATTGCACTTAAAGTCAGGTTAGCGACGCCTTGTGAACTTTTATATGAGTTAGCTAAACTGAAAGAGATATAATTGGAAACTTGAGACTGCAACGACGGCACTTGGCTGTGTTACGAGCGGTTACGACGTTAATTTTAGCCGTAAAACAATAGTTTTTGCAGATATATCTGTTAACTGGCTTTAGTGATGTAATAAGACTATACTAAAAATACTAAAACTAATTAGAAGTGCAATAAAATAAGTGATATTAGTGAAATTGACTTCAGTACAGTTCAGGCCGACATTATCAGAATATACACTTGAACATTCTAATAATATCGGCCTACGTATTTTTAGATAACCATTGTATCTTGTAAGCAAATCGAAAAAAAAAAATTAAAATTTAATTATAACTAAAGCCAGATTCTCGAAAGATCCGTAGTTATTAAGTTATATTGCCTATAGTTAAATAGGAAATGACTGGTGCATACTGCCAAAGTGTCCTATAATTTGCTATTTGGCAGCTCATTCCGTGCATCCTCGTTCAAATATTAATGTTTCGGTTCATGTTAGAAGTTGCTACGCTATTAGTGCGAATATTGTAGATAAGAGAAATCAATAACCTGTGTCTATTTGCGTAGCAATAATAACCGTCATTTCTAGTTAAGTGTAGGAAATGGAAAAGCTCGTAGCGGTGCCACGAAGCGTAGCGTTATGCTACGCGTGCAGATTTTTCAGAATTCGTAAATTAGATTTATGGTATGGAAAGGCTTGGCCTCTACTTGGTAGCATGACTTTATTCCATTACGTTCAATGTACAGTGAGCACTCTTTCAGTCTAAATTGTAGATATTATTTAATATTAACAGTCGATTAGATTTACGAGTGTTACTACCGTTGACTATCACCCCAATTATATTTCCACTACTATACAAATGCTACGGTACCTTGCAAGCAATGTGCTAATTAATGTATTCAGGCAAGTTACAATGGCTCTCGGAGTAAAAAAAAGGTGTAATAGTAAGTATCGAGGTGTCGAACGCGATAACCGCCAGAAGCAACTTTGTACCGTGCTTTTTGAAAATTCGCCTTGCTTAGATGAGTAGCCGCTGAAATCACGGTAAATATGCTTTGCTTTTTCTTTTAGCTTCTAACGTTGTTTTTAACCTGTGCTTAAATGACGAAAATTGTTCGCGGCTTGAGATTTTTGATTTGGTGAAAATCAGAGGCCCGTAGTATTGTCTAAATTGTTTGCAAACTTTTCGAGTTTGCTTAAATTTATGATGTTTAATATGTTAAATGTGATTTTATTCTTAAATCGACCCAGTTTAAGCACTTGTCATATATATGAATCGCGTTCAACATCAGGACGTAACATTTTTTTAACAACTTAATATGAACTGTAAACATGAGTAAAGAAAATAATGATTTAAACTTGTATTTCCAGACAAAACTCAAAATTGTTAGATCTAGTTTATCTATCAAATAACTCCAACGGCTAAGTCAAAGGGGAGCACTGTGCTCGACTCCAATAGACCGATCCACCTTGTTCTAAGTGTCCCAAGTTATTTTTACTGCTCCCTTGTCGCGTTGCTAAAAGCGTTTGCTTTGAATTTTTAAAGCATCAATTGAGGTTTTAAGCTTAGACAATATACGAAATAAAAAAAAATAGATTTTTTTTGACAAAATTTTACTGATTGCAAGTTTACAAAGAAAACAAAGAAGTGAAAGTTAATGCAATTCATCTTAGATACATGTGACATAAATACAAGTCTGCCTTGTTCGGTGTACTAAGCGTTTCGTGCAAAATAATCTGTAAAAAAGTGCAACGACGTGCGTTCACACGTAGCACATAGTTTTATTTGTTTCAAATAACCTTTTACACGGTGCATTATTGAGATGCGCATTCGAAGTTGTGCAAGCAATATGATTATAATAAGAAAAGGGTATAAACAAAAGACAAATATCAAGTATTCAGAGCGGCATTCCGAGGTCGATTGCGGAAATGACAAACCGATTAGTTGCAGGTTCTCCCCGAGAGACGTATCCGCCGGAACTCGATGGAATTGCTTCCCTTCTGATGCACCGCAACAATGTACCGGTACATTATAAGGGGGTTCAGACCCGAAAGCCAAAGGTCAGAAATTTTTTAAGTAATTCTGTATTTATTACTACAGGAGGTCTGTATCGCAGGTAAAGTTTCAGGGCTTATTCAGCTTTAACTTGCATCAAATAAAGAGACAAAAACGCTTTTCATTAAAAAAATACAACTTTATTTGTTGCTTTATTAGAATGACTGGACTTAAAATTGTACAATCTCATACAGTTCCACTATGGTGGACTATGACTATGGTCGACCCACTGAGACACATAAAGAACCTATCCCTGCCCGAACTTCCGAGTTCATTACAATCGAAATTCCCACGGTTCATTAGAATTCTCGACGTTCATTAGAAATACCCGGACGGAGTGGGCCCGGACGTAAATAAGTGATTAACGCAGTCGGGATTGTTTTCAGACGCCGCCTGGAGCAGCGCCGGTGCTGCAACTAGTTGGAGTGAGTTTTTGATACATTTCAAATGACCTGCCATTGCTCGCCTTGCCCTCAGTCACCCCCACTCGCGCCAGTTGGCACGCTAATCTTTTATGAGATTACAAGATTTTCCTCAAATTGTCTTCCGACTTTCACTTAATACCTTAATTATTATTTTAATCCTCTTCAGAGCTTGATCACTGAACTTTTTATTCTACTGCATGACTGCGTACTAAATGAGTGAGAGTATCTGATTCCTTGTTTTAATAAAAAATAGGAGTATATCATTTAAATATAAATAAATAGAAAGAGATAAGGTTTTAATGTACCCATTAATAATACGGGAAAAGTCAGTTCCCACAGATATTTTCACGTCTTGAAAGGAATATTTGTACGAGAAGCTTAGCTGCTGCTAGGACTTTTAAGCTGAATTTTATTACATCGCTGTGAAAGAAGGTAAAGTTAATCCAAGGTATTAATCTGGACCACACCGTTTTATGGGAGTCGTATTTGAAATCCTTACTTCACTCACAATTTTTGTTTCGTTTATTTATACGGTACAACGGTACGATACGGTTAAAACTAAAAACATGCTTTCATAATCACAAAGTAGACGATGTAGGTCGTAGACATAATAGTACATATGATTAAAATAGGTACAAAATATTTCTTTATATCCCACTAAACATGCACTAGGTAATATAATAAATAGGTACGAAAATAAGTATATATTATAATTAATAAATATAGGTAAATATAAGTACGAAAGGATTTTCTATGTAATAAAACTATGATCAATTTAGGCCATTAAGAGCAGTACTAATGAAATCTCGAGGGAGAGAGATCCCCTGCTTTAATTCTCACTAGTTACAAAGTATTTTCCGGTATGTAACGAATTCGGAAATATTGTTATATCGTCGGAGTGGCTGGCACCATAGGGAGGCTCTTGTATTACAGTGCAAGTTCAGAACTAAGTTTGCGAAATGTCAGAAATCATAAGACAAGTTTAGAGGTGGACCCTGATTCAATGCGATGCGTGTTCTACAATTTTACTTTCTAGTTACTAGAGGAAATTGTTGAGCTGAGGTGAGAGTATCTAATTCCACTTGTGAATAGTGTTTTGTTTTAGTTTGGATTCATGAAGTTCAATTTGAAATTTGAAGTTATAACCGCTCTGGTCGGACGTCTTTATTTATGCCAATTACTTTGTAGTACATTTGTAGAACTTGGTAGTACTCACCGTGCGTTTCTATCTGAACACTATGTATAAAATATCGACATCACAGAAATTTTATGTAAATCTACTTTTTAGGTTTCAGAGAGATCCATAATTCAAGAAGTTATTCGTAGCGATAATTATATGATAAAATCTGCGTTAGTTATCAGTGCTTGCACAGAAGTTAGCGGTATGTTTAGGGACTAAATGGACCCGCACGTCCGGGCAAACATCGGGAATTCGCAACTCAAACAAGTTTAAGCAAATTTATAACTTCCGGTTTGGAAGCTGTAGCCTTCTTGCGCCTTATGGTAGTTTACACCGACAATGTTGCTTAAAGAAATTGTCACTACCATTTATCATTATAATTGTATTCAAAAGCACCTACCTACTGTTACATGTACAATCAACCTTAAGGTCGGAAATATTTAATTGTATTTAATGTTTAATCAATTAACGAATTTATTGAAACAGTCTTCGAACAGTATCGATGTTCAGGGAAGTACTGCCACATTACCTATTTTTGCCGCCAAGCTGTAATATGAGTAGTGGCAGTCGCAGTGCCCCTCAGGACTGCAACGTTTTATACAGGCGTATCGCTTACCACTAGGCCCACAACTTGTTCGTCACTTGGTGTCATAAAAAAATGCTAGTAACATTATTAATGAAAATAATTTTGTGAAATATTTGTAATAAATTAATTAATTTAAACTAATGTACATACAAAAAATGTATAGGCATGATGTTAATATTTTATCGTCTGACATATTAAGTAGGTAGGTATCTACCCCATTTCTATCATTTGAATTTGAATATGTAGTTTGTAAAATGCATTGGTTCCTAAGTAAAATACATAAAGTAAGTATACGTATTGCATTAGAAACTACACGCGGTAACGTAACAAGAATGAAATTCATTAATAAGAGAAAAGCAGAATGCAATAAATATTTATTTGCCCATTAAGATATGAGAATTAGCATGCGAATAAAAATGGCTGAGTATTTTAAAGCAACGTAATAATCACCATCATAAACCTTTGTTAAAGTATCCATAAAGAGAACTTTGAAACACTTTCTTATACATCTTAAATAAAAATACTTTATTGTATGTTGGAAATATTACGTCACGTTGTTATGAAAGCATTTGAATGCTGAAAGCAATTGAAGCAGCGATTGCTGCAACTTATATGGCAGCGGAAAGGTAATGATGAAGAGATGATACGAAAATACTCAAAGTTTCCATTGCACTGCGAAAACAAGGCGGGGCGATGCCCTTACGGTTGACGACCTATGTAGCTCGTGTGATGGCTTTTTATCATTCTGTTATTGATTGTAAAAGTTAGTATTTTAAATAATAGGTGCCACTTCAGCTTATTTAATGGTTTTTTTAAGATCGGTGAGCACTTAATTGCTACCTGACATGTTTAGACAATATTCAAACTCATACAAAATTCATAGTAGGTAAACAGTATTAGCTATGTAGATAAGATAATATTACATAAACAGGAACATTCTGATTTATGTATACACTAATAATGATCTAATAATTGTTAATATTCGATATTTGAATACTTCTAGGAATATGACCGTGGGCGAACGTCATTTAAGATTTAAAAATTTCAAGTGTGTTGCAGAGTTGAGTAACAAAGGAAGTTAGCCGACCTCCGAACCCGAAATGAACTCGGTTCGCTTACCTCGCGGTCGTCGCCTGGAATATTATGCAACTTTTACAGGGGCCCGTATGATGCACTGCCACAAGACATCGTAGCGACTGATATACAAATCCAAGTTCACTTAATTTGTTTAATGTTCGAGGTTGTAGACATGACAATAAATCTGAGAAATCGGTTTTCAGTTTCTCTCTTTTGAGTCAAGTGCGTAGTTTATACTTTTTGGTATGTTTTAGTACACAATGCATCAATATTTCTGTATACAGAAATATATACTGCTTGGCCTTACTAACATAATTCAGGTTAAAAGCTAGGGTTAGACAAAGAGCGCTAGAGCGGGCAAGCACCTCGGTGCATTGTACCCTTGGGCCATGCACCCTGCACATTGCACCCTGATGCACTCTCGCAGCTTTGCATGCATTTGAGATAATATTTTTACACCATTACGTAATACACCTTGCTAGATTTTAGTAGGTATCCTGGTATTGGAAATTCTATACACTTGTAATTATTACTTGGCGTGCTAACGTTTAGTCTTTTACTGGAGGAAACATAGATATAGTTTCCTATAGGAGGAAATTGTATTTTAAATTTTTATTGAATTGATATTCAATTATTTTTTGTGAAATTACTCCACTACTTTGTTATAATTATTAATACAAAAATGGAATACTCCGAAAAAAATCATTTGATCCGGCCGGACTCGAACCGACGTCTTCTAGGAACGAACCAGCGGACCTCACGAATTTTTCTATATGCTTGTGTCGTGTCTTTGTATTTGGAAACTGGTTAAATTATGAGAATTTTAAGTAACGACTGATCTACATTAAAGTTTTCCTTCCACTTGTCGAAGTGATTAAGTACTACTATATTAAATAATAATAAATAAATATTAGACAACATCAAAAACTTTCCTCAGATGCAAAAGTAATCAACTAAAGCATGTTATGGAAATCGGAAACAGTGACTACCACAAGCACCCACACCCGAGACAATATAGAAAAGTTAGATTTTCTACATTGACCGGCCGGGGATTGAACCTGGGACATCAGAGACGGCGACACTTTGAAAACCGATGTGCAAGCCACTCCATCATGAAGGTCGTCAACAATATATATATTTCAATAATAGAGGATCTAGTGTCAGACTGCTTTGGCTTTAAGATAAATACGTATGTTAATATTTTTTTAAGGTTCAAAAAATGAATATCCAACATAAATATGTAAAATGAAATGCTCACCAATTATTATAGAATATTATTACTGACTTATTACTGAAATTTATTTACTGTACAATTATGATTGAATTCGGCCCATTAGTGATCTAATTGGCTACATTTATAACGGAATAAGTAATATATGTAATATGGATATATGATTTGAAATTCAATTGCTATTCATTGATTTCTGAGAAAGGAAAATTGATTGTCGAAGATATGATGCGCAAATACCTTAGGTACTATCAGAAAATGGATATTGAAATATGCGATTACTTCCAAAATCTCAACGTACTCGTATAAAATTTGCGAATGGTTATTTTACAACAAAACTGCATTCGTCATAATATTTTTACAAGCGCTCACTAGACTCGGTTGTGGTCAGCTCTAAATCATATCACTGTTTTCCCGATTACAGAAAACAAGTTGCAGAGAAGATGACCGTAACTGGTACTCTGATGACATGGATTTATGAACTTTTTATGTAGTTAACAATTACGGATATGGCTGCCCTTAGCTACATATCATATGGGTGATAATACTTATAAATAATTCACAGGACTGGAAAAAATATCTGTACTAAAGGTGCTTTTGCGTGGACTTCGCGCAAATTGTAAAAAAGGAATACCCAGAAACCTACATTGGACTTCATGGAGTAAAATGTTTGGGATACAAATATAACTATACTTGTACAACTAACTCAATTTGTTTACAAAAACGTTTCCTTAGCTTTAAACAAAAATCACATATTTTAATGGCTTTTATAATGCTACGAAAGGTAATTTGTAATTAAATTTACGATCAAAGTGGCGTCTATGCAGCACGTTTCTCCCAAAAGAGTTTCCGTAATCAGGTACCTACTGCCTCAGCGATTTTATTTAAATTAAGTCGCACGTTCTAAAGCGAACCTCATTTGCGTTTACAAAAGTGCAGATCATATTTTTTCTGGATGTTCGAATTGTAAACGGTGTAATATTCCTTTTTTGTCTCGGAGAGAACAACCGCGCCGCGCTGCCATACAAAGCCTCTGGTTTTGTATTCGTTTCCTCACTCACCTGGAAAGGAAAGAAAAGAAAATGTTAATTAAGAGCCACCGAGCAAAATAGATATCGTTAGCTATGAAGCTGCTACTGTTATTGTAAACAGATGCCAGTGGCGTCAATAAATCGAGATGAAGATATTAGCAATTGTAAAAGTTCTTGTTAAAATAAATAATGACATCTAAAGATATCCGGCGATCTTAAGCATTGTCATAGTACAATGTTTTTACGAATGCTGTGTTTGGGCGGGAGGAAGGACGGGGATACGCGAGTCGAGGCTGGAACCTTCTTCTCATTAACACGTAGCGTGCGATTATTAGGGAGAGCGGTCCGCGGGCGGTGAGCCGCGAACTATCATTTGGCAGCGCACAACCGTGCACAGCTCTCTCTAAACTAAACAACTCGTAAAAGTGTAAAACTCGTAACGATAGCGACGAGAGGAGCGCCTAATATGAGCGCGGCGGCGGAGGCTGGAGCCGCGCCAGTCTCGCTCATTATCTGATGGGACGTTCCGGGGCGCAACCCTTTCGTTTTACGATTGGCCTCTAATTACAGCAGCGCTCAAGGCAGCGTGCTTTTTCAGTTGATAGGAGTCGGGAGCGAGCGCGCACTGCCAAATGGACAAATTTATCGGCCAGCCAAATCGTTTACGCGGTTCGACGCAGCGTTCCGCACGTTAGTTTGTGCTGGAATCGGCCGGCTTTTGGCGATATGAAAAAATCTGGAAAAATGTCGCAGCCGGGCGCAATAACGGGCGCTGGTTTACGAGAGGCAGCTGATAAAGCCGGCGGTTCGTAGTGTGCGGGTCGCCTTAACGACGTGTCGCCAATTTATACTGCGCGATAAGCAGAGTTTGTTTAGCCTTGGAGCGGCGAATTACACCGTTGAATCACATGTCACAATATGCGTCCTCGTGATTTGTCTTCGTGCTTTGTTAAAGCAGTGGGATATAGTGTGACTGCAGTTTGCTTACGGTTTGAGTTCTGAATAGCATTTGTGAGCAGCTGAAAGATAGAAGCATATTCAAGATATTGGCAGGTGAAGCAGGAAGCGTGGGAGGGTGGAGTACGCCAGAATTACACGGAATCGCTCGCAGGCACTATTAGTATGCAGTCGCCGCCCGCCACTGGAATGAGTCGACGCCGACGTGACGCGGCTGGGCATCTTGGTTGCTATGTCAAAATGCAATAACATGAATCATAAACTAGCTATGAAACAGTTATGTAATGGTAGTAGGGGTTATAAAACTTCAATTTAATTTTTTATTAATTTTACGCTTTATAGCTCCGGGATAGTCGATGTATTAACGTATAAAACGCAAAAAATAACAATAATGCTATTTTTGTTCGTGTATGAAAGAAAAAACATCGAATTGATGCAAACACTTCAAAAATATATCGTATTTATATCAACTACTTATATAGGAGTATATTTGTTTGTGTTTTGTTGTATTGTCTTTAAACTTACATTGTTACCTCTAAAACTGTTTGTTTTAGAAAAATCTCTAAAAATTTTTTCAGGAGTAAAATTCGACACATCTGTCAAGTACACGCCATGTCGCGTTGAATATGGCAGGATTACCCACACGCACCGACATCTTTCTACTCATGCGGATCACGTGCCTGTTCTGAGGCGACAAAAAGGCCTCATCCTTCAACCGATTTCCCTCTAAATAGGTTTATAATAGCACCGTGATAATATCTATATTGTATTTCTGTTATTTTACATCATAGGTACGTCTGCTTCACTAGCGTAATTACACCTAAAAATATTTATCTTTACCGAAATTTAACAGTGCCAAGATTCATTATACTAATTTAAAAAATGTGGATTATGTAGATAATAGTGTGAAATGCCGAAGAAAGATAATCTTAATATTTCGTAAAATACGAAAAATTAGTAATAGGATCGCAAAGATTATGCGTAGAGTCATCAAGCCCCGCGGGCCGCACTTCGCCCCTCACCCGTGGGTCGAGTGAGGGCGCGAAGTGCGGACTGGGGACGTCAACTCAATCTTGCCCCATTACGCGCGACAAATTGGAAAAATATTCAATTACACCTCGCTAAATATTGAATTATATTATGGCGTAATACAGTTTTACATCGGGGATGTCGCGCTGCAACATCTTTTAGCGTCGAAATCAAAATATATTACCAAATGAATAAATTAGTTATTGGCAAGTCACTCCTTTTAATTTGCGGGAGACAGTCGGCTAATTTCGATATTATTATATTAAGTATACTAACCACTGTTGATTTCCCGCAGTTTCATTAATCAGTGCCCGAAAATCTCGTTTGGGGCGTAACTTCTACGGGAATACTACGTATATATACAAATATTTGAAATCAATTTATTTGCAGTGGATGCGAAAATAATACGTGGGCTTAAACGTGGCGACAAGCAGCGTGGCGCAGGCATTTCTCGTCGAACTAATTGGCAATTAATCACCGGCCGTTTTCTATTTTAGTTGTCGATGGTTCTAGCGCTAACGAGATTGAGACTGCAGCGTGTGTTCCCTCCTCGAGACACACAGCTACATACGAACAACGTGCACCATCTTACATACAGTACTAACTCACCGATATTTTATAAAACTGGAGAGTAATATCAGAGCACTCCATTTTCCCGTCAGTAATAAACGATCAAAAGGTTATTAACGGAACTTTATTGAACATCCCTCGAGCATTTCAAGCAAGAGCTTTTAACCTAGTTCATTTTGTTTTCTGCGAAATATCCAAACTGCTAAGATTGACTTTCTACGTACGTATTCTAAGATAACGTACGAAACATGAATTGTGTTACCCTTTGTAAAATTTTAAAACAGCACCAATACTTGACACTATAATAAATTCTGAGTAAAACTTATAAAACGCAAAGTGGCGAGGAGCGACCACAGACAGCCGTTAAGCCGCGCTTTTCCTCGCCGCGAGCCCATTTTATTCAGATCGGTATCTTTATAACATAATTAAGTAAATTTCGAAGTCGTCGCGCCCCATCTCCGAAAATAATAAGAGTGCGAGCTTAGATAACCCGCGATTTAATGTAATTTTCTGTTATTTTCCCCATCTCTCGTGTAATTAGGAATTTCATCGCGAGTAACAAAATCATTTGATGTATCACGTCTCCTGGGAGAGATTTTGATTCGATGTCCTTTTGTCGAAATATTTTAACAGCGCTGCCATCGCCAACTTGCCGGATTCCTCCGAAGCGGATTCCGATGGTACAATTGATCTGTTCCAACTCTATCTATGTGTATTTGCAAAGTTATAATAATCTTTTATTGATTCCTGACAGTTCATCGCACAGCTCATAATAGAGAGTGCCGGTCTGCGTATCTCAATACGGGAATCGAGAATTAAAGTTAAGTGTATATATTGGCATTGGTTATTGTGGTAGATTTTTAATCTTGACTTTGCTCTTCTTTTTAAATTGTTCTGTACTTCATCCGCACATTAATCTATGTTTTATCGGAGCATAAAATAGTCTCTGCAATACCTTTCTTAACAAGGCTTTATGATCCACGATATGGATATATGTATATGTGCTTAAGGAAGATTAGCGCATTTCGTGTACTTTATTGTATTACATTACATGTTTATAGTACGTGTGAATAAAATGTAGATATTATTTTTATGTATGGTAAAATTGGATTTGAAAGCATCATAAACAACGTTTAGAAATCTTTCTTAATATCGTCACATGACGCTCAGTTTAAAGACACATCCACTTGTCCGGTTAGGAAATGGCCGGAAAGGGTTATTTCCTCCGAGTGATTTATATACAGGTGTTCGTAGTCTGCTTTGACCACAGAGCAAGGACA